AAAAACGGTGCCAAAGTGTGATAAAGCGCGTCGTGATCGTGTTACTGTCGTCTGTCATTGTTCTGCGCTTTGTTGAGCACGGAGCTTATCTTTGCCTATTTTAGTTTTTTGTACGCAAAAAAAAAGATACAGGAAAGGAAAAAAAAGCAAGCGTCCCTTCTTCAGAATCTCATTGGGCCCCAGACCAGCGTTCTTTTTGGAAATGAACTTTGCCCATAAAAAGACACCCACTTTCCGCAGCGTGTTGCTTCCTCGCTTTTTCTTTCACTTTTCACTTTTCACTTTTTCACGATCACATATGGTAAGTTCCTCTCTTTTTTCTGTGGATGTGTGGGGAGGGAGGGGGGCCAACGCGGGTTTTTGTGGGTCGTGGGTGGGTCGTGGTGCTTGTTTTGTAGGCACGGGTCGACGGAAATGCAAGGTAGGTGGTTGAAGGTAAGTGGGTGGGTGGGTGGGTGGTGGTGCTTGTTATGTAGGCACGGGCGACGAAGGCGTAAAGGTAGGTGGGGGGGCGGGGGATGATTGGTGAGACCGGACTGGGCATCTCAATACCATTTAACTTTCGATGATCCACAAAGCGACCAAGACAAGCCCCTAGCTTTGTGGTAGAGGGTTACCGCCTATGACATCGACACCCTATTATTGATTAGTAGTATCATGTATCAAATAAAAAATGCTTCTCGTTCGCTGAACTTATTTGTGCGGTGTTTTATATTGTTGTATGCCTTCTTCATATATGCGAGCGAGACTCGTAATTCTCGTTCCTAATTGCACAATAAAGACATTTGCTTCGAGCAACATGGTTGCCATTAGAGATCGTCGTCAAAGTGACATTGATTTTATCACGAACAATGCTGTGATTCGGGAACAAAGGAGTCGACATTCAGAATGAGGCAGCCAACACTGATGCAGCTCTGTTTGTTAAAGGCTATTAACAAATAGAAGGGCTTCAAAGACACTCGACGTCATCGTCATTCTACCGTTACCGAACCTCACCACTTGTCCTTGGTGTACAATTTGCTTTGGATCACGCGTCTACTCTATCTTCCTTCTCACTGTACTCATGAAATTGTTTCTAAAGTAAAGGAAAGCAAGAACACCACAAGGAGAAGACTAGCGGGACAATGGTGGCACCTTGAACCACGAAGCACCCATACCACCAGAGCAATAGCCGCAAGGGCAACAACAGCAATAACAAACACGATGAAGAGCAGTAACTGCAACAACAACAACAAGAACAACAAGAACAACAAGAAAATGGTGGTGGTTTTGATGTCCACCTTTAGCACGACAACCATACTTTAGACACATGTGTAGAAGGACGACGTGCTCACATTCACGTCGGCAATATTTGTGAGAGGCTCGCTAAACTTTATTTGGATGCCGAGATGGCCGATTCGGACGCTTTGTCCTCGGCTTGATTGCCTCAAACCTAAATTCCATAAAACAAGAGACAGTGTTACGAGATGTGAAAATAATAAACTGCTTAAATAAAGGTGTTTTGTACAGCAATCTAAGATGAACAAGCCAAAGAGAGCACCAACGCAACCTTACAGATAGTTGCATAATGCAAGCAATGTCATCCAGACAAGCTGTGATCTATGAAAGCGATCAATACTTGTCCGTCATCTAATTAACGGTCCAGAGGCACTTCCAAAGCCCAAATGACTTGACATTAAGGGACGAGAGCGTGCCAGCCTCATGATTGCCTTAAACGTCCATGCCTTAAGAAGTGATATGGTAGTGCGGTTTGAGTGTAAAGATTCTGCTGCCACTCGGAGTCGCCCGGAAAGATAACCCATTCCCCATGGGCGATATAATTGATGAGTTTTCGCAGAGAGATATATCATGGACGTCTCCCCATCTTTGACTGTTCCGACATGCTTTTTTGCTCGTTTTTGATACTGAAGTCCTCGTGCAACTTCAATGACGAGAAGAAGGAAAAACATGCTGTCTTTGCTCAATTTTGACCTAAATAATTTGAAATAGCCGTGTAAGAAGACGAGAGTAGTGTGTACACGTACATATCCTGGAACGTGACATAGCAAAGGGAAATGTCAGGTTGAATGTCATTGCTTTGGGGGATGAATGACGCGTTGCTCGGCGTGCCCAGTGTGCTCGTGTAACATGGAAAGACCTGCGTAAGTACGTAGGTGACGCTGTCAACTTTTTTTGGGGGGTCAAGGTGTCCCTGCACAGGCTGTTTGTACCCTGCCACCCCACTGATAGGTACGAACAGGCGAAGCAATAATAGCTCGTAATATAGATACAAATAAGCACAGAGAGAACTACAATGGTACCATTGTACGCTTCTTAAATGGATGCCAACGTCATTATCTATCGAGTAGATATTAACCTTTGCTGCTTGCTAGTCAGTACGTTCTTTACTCACAGTCTTTTTCGAGGCAGAAATTCAGTGGCATGTATCCCACATATGGTACGTAGGCACTGACTTGACCAGCTTACGTAATATCGCATATCATAACCCTCTATCATCAACTTTACGAGTACTGTACGGCACTGGCAAGACATATGATGACGCAAACTGCATGATGTTATTTGTCAGTTGAAATCATGAAGAACAACCGGTGACGCGAAGATGGCCGTGAAAGCCGGATTAGTAAAGCTGTAGCAGTACTAGATATATAGCATGGCGACCAGGAATAGAAACAGTTATAGGTTAAGTGGGTTGATTCAGCGAGAAGTATAGCGGTCATGATGAACTAGCTAATTCAATTGATATTCATGTAAAAGATCGTTTTTGTATATTACATACAGTACCCGCAAATCTGCAAGCTGCATATGCCTTAAGAGTAGGTATGCAACAAAAATTATAGCTGCTCCTCTAATCGCACCATTGCTATTATTTCACAGAAAGTAATGTACATAAAAAGAAAACAATGATTCATTCAATAGAGATCACCGCATCTACTTTTGTATGTATGTTATGGTGCTGCGGGCACAGGACAAACACACCAGTTAGTTAGTATTTCACTTAGTTACTGTACATATTTATCATCAATTAGTGCATTAGTGTAGTCTATGATACGGATTACCAGCAACAGCTGCTGTTTGTGAGGAAAATAGCAGATAATATGGGGAGACAGCACCAAACTGCAAATGAACATTAAGCCGTGTATATGATATGTACACCTTCATTGAAAGGCCGCTTATGAGCAATAGCAGTAGCTATCCAGTCTATCGGCTATATCTTCACATACAATCAACAAGCATTGAAACAGTTCCGACGTTGTTGCATTGACGAGTAATGACCCAACCATCATCGAGTAGTGTTCAGCGATCCGCATTATATATACACCCACAGTTACAAACAAGAAGCTTATATTCAACCCATAAAAGTCTTAGCTAGTTATGTGTGTTACCTTTGGCGCATCGTAATGGGGTAGAGGGAGGCAAAAATCCGGAGCATGATCTTTTGTTAAACTTCTTGTAGTTACAGTACTTGAACTAGCCAGCAAGAACACTGCAGAGTGGTAATCTTCCTTTCCTCCTACTTATTTTTAATTCATTTACACTTACGAAGCAATACGAGAAATTTTTCTTTTGAAAATAAATCAGGACGAGTATATCTATTTATGCAGTTCATGGGCAATTGATTAGAGCTTTACTTGAGTTGCTAACCTTGAATTTTCTAAGTTATGGAATCTCAACCAATATTCTATGGCTACTCGATTCGGTATAAGCGACATAGCTCTGGCAGGAAAAGATGCTTCTGAACTACCATGCATTCGAAGTACATTCGGATGGTGCGATTAAAAATATGTAAAGACGAGAAGAGAGCGGAAAAGACTCGGGTTGTGAGATCTCGGATGAAAAAGGTGTTATTGATCTTAATGGATAATACGAAGCTTCGTATAACTTTGTTAGCTACATATAGGCATGTGCGGTGTAATTCCCCTTCGGCAAAAGAACGGAAACAGTATTTCTGAGTAGTTGGCAATTGGGAGCACTAAGATGTAGACAAAAGCGATAAAAGAACACACGGTGTTGTCCAAGAAGAGAATACTATATATGCGCTTGAACAATTACAAAATGCATTCAGCGAACGGCTTCACCCATTTAAAATCATGATTCAGGAAAGTTTGTGGTTGACCGAGTTTCGTCGTAAGCATGCATTTTGCACAAGAGGTATTAGTATATACGCTGTTATCCAGTCAGTGTATCGCATCGCTCTACACATGCTTGTGCATAGATACATAACTATATGATAGGCGCTGCTCATCGTTCACCAGACGGCGGTCAAGGTTTGAGCCTTGAATTTCGGGATGGCAAGTGCTGCGAGGGAAAAGAAGGTTCTAAGTCATATAGTCTTGTAGCTGATCACGATATACTGTCTATCATTACTGTTCTGTCAGCCGACAATCTTGCTTGCAAATTGTCAAGTGTCCTGAGAGGTCTATCTTCTGATAATGAGAAGATGCATGGTTCTTACATATGATGTTGAGGTAAGCTACTGTAAAGATGGGATACGGTGGGACCCACTAATTACAAAATGTTGACGATGATCATCCTTTTGTGCACCGAATACGCCGAGGCATAATTGATATTGCTTTTAAAAAAGCGTACTCTACGCTGTGATATGCACTACTACTGCAAAGCAGTCTGAATGTTGGGCAAGTACAAGAACAGTAGTAGTTGTAGTGTGATAATTCCTGTATGCACTACAGCTGTCGTCGCATATAATACTTGTTTGCCAAAAAAAATTAGGAGGATAAAGTAGGATATTCTTCTCGTGTTCCTTCAACATGTTTGATAAGCTATCCCTCTTCTCTCTCTTTCGCTTTTCCTTCTCTTTCGTCCGTGAATTGCTTCTAGAGAACATTGGGCGTCAACGTAATTATAAACTACAGGAAGCTGACACACAAGTTATGTATTCAAAGATGTATTTCATGATGTAAAGCGCTTTACGGCGGCGTCATGCTGTAAAAACGCTGCTTTTTAGGGCAGCAAATTCTAACAGGTGTAAAGGTCCGAGCGAGTCCTCGATAAAAAGCCTTTCCTTTTGTGATTTTTTCAAACAATTTCTTATGGGGCCTACTACTATCGCTCTATACGCAGCACTTCTTCCCGGTTTATGCCTGGTGACAACGACGGGCCCTTTACGCGACATTGCAATTTATCTTCATGCATTCGGTCTCGCATGGTTACTGTTTTTCCAAACAAGCTCTTCTTCACCACAACAAGGCAGTGACATGTACAATCTTCGCCACGTAATGTTTAATCTCGAAATTCCGCCTAAAACTTTGTGGTTCAATATGGGCTTGTGGGACGCCAATGAAAGCGGTGGCATCAACAGTGACAATGGCAAGAGTAGCGATGACGACAGGTGTCATATGAAATATTCGGATGCATGCGAGAAGTTGGTGGAAGCGGTCCTTGAACGCATGGAGATGAAACATGCCAGTAACGTATTAGGTAATCTCTCCTCTGCCATCTCTCCCTCTCGCTCTCTCCCTTTTTCTCACTACGTCGTTCTTTTCCCCACAAACCTTATTGTTTGTTTGTGCGTGTTTTTTAAAACTCAAATGCGTGTATTACTATATAGATGTTGGCTATGGATGTGGGGATTCATGCTTTATGCTAGCTGGTAAGCTTCTTTATCCTCTGAACATAAGCAGTCGGCACTGCTAGAAATGGGCTATGATATTCATCTACTTGATAACGTTCAACTAGATCGATATGAGTGCAAAGTTACGGTATGACGAAAGAAATAAAGGGAGTTGTGGGGGCTAAATTCTCGGCTGATCTAATGAGAGATATGTAAACAGGGTCTGACCAATGAGATAAGTCAGTGGCGTGTGTCACAGCAACGCCTACAAGCATCACCATCACCAGTAGCACGTCAAAGAAACGATCGTATCAACTTCCTGTGCGCATCTGCTACTGACGACAAGCTCTCATCTGTTATCGACAAGTTTGGCCCCTTTGACCATATCATTTCGATCGACTCTGCTTATCACTACGTGACGCGATGGAAATTTTTGCAAGCCGCACTTTACCATCTTTTACCGGGCGGTACCCTGGGCTTGTACGACCTGACGGTTCATCCAAGTCTTCTTGTGAAGCAGCGAACAAGATGGATTGCCGAGATCGTTGGACGATACGTTCTCGGTATTCCAAAAGAAAACATGGTGACAGCTGAAGCATACCGTGACCGGTTGGAGGCCATGGGATATGCGCAGGTGGAGGTAGAGCCAGTGCCTGCAGATCGCGTGTTTGGTGGTCTGAGCCGGTTTATTCGACGTCAGTATGCGCAGGCCGAGGCATGGGACATCCTGCCGCCGTTTGCAAACCGAATGTTCATGCTGGCAAGCGCGTCGTTGTTTGGGTTGTTGGCTCGTAAGCAATGGGTCGTCCCGGTGATTGTTAGTGGTCGTCGTCCTGCACGCCAAGGCAATTGAGCATGGTTAAAATGGTGGAAATAAAGGGGAGAGTATAAAAGAGAAGGAAAGCCCTCTCGCTTTGACAAGCTGGCCCCTGTGTAAATTTCGTGTACGTACGTGCATACGCTAGTTGTTGAAAAAGTGTGGGGTTTAAGAGTGAATTTACGGGACTAGCCGGGCAGAATTTCCGAAAGACCCGAAATCGAAGCTGCTGGATAAAGTTTTTGGACCCCCTTTCCTTCTATGCTTTCGCTGTACGCAGTAAAATGAACTCCACCGATGTGCACTTGATGAAGCACGACCGGACTCGTAAATCTTTGGAGTGTCGTCGATATACCTGAGAACTGAACTCTAAAAGAGAAGTATACAAAAGAGGTGATGTAAGCAGCCGTGACGCTGCTGCTGCTGCTGGTGTGATGTGATGTGATGTAATCAAATGAGTGTATGACCTTGTATCAGCCACGGTTTATGTACTATGGCACTGGTGCTGCAAGAAGTAATTAAATAGAGAGTGTGAAATTTCTTTTCACAAGGACAGCAACGGGGATTGCCGGACTATTATAACGAAATTCCGCGATTTTCCAAGGTGCGTTAAAACAATCAACCGTCCCCCTCCTCAGCAAACCCCGGCTTTTTTTTTGTTACGAAACACGTTTTCTTCAACGTAATCTTTTCCCTTCAACTCTTCTCTTTGTCTTTCAACAGAGCTGGACGTCAATACCGGTCTCATTTAACCACATTGCTTTTTCCCCTCTCTCTTTTCTCATATACTCACGCATCCTATACAGTCATGCAGTCTACTCGTATTGCACCAATGGCCATGCGCACCTTGTCAGCCTCGGCCCGTCGTGTGGTTTCCCGCTCGTCTCCCTCGCTCGCCCATCAGGCTACTAGAAAGTTGCACGTCCAAATGCCTACTGCATTGTACGTCCGCTCTGATCGTCTCAGGTAATTATATATGAAGAATCAGCTTTGTTGTAACTCGCGGGTGGCTCTCTGTGCCAAAAAAAATAAACAACAAAGGACGGGAGGAAAGAATACATAAAAGAGAGTGCAAGTTTGGTTTGGGTTGGTAAGAGAAAAGTGCAAATGTCCAACGAAGGCCCTAACATCTTTGTTTTACGACAGCCACTCTCCCTTAAACAACGGTGTCTCCCATACCCAAGTTAGATACTATGGTAAATAATGGTTGTGGAGAGAACAACGCGTCATCAGTCGAGCTACTAACGTGTTCTTTATTGGCGATAATAGCTGACAAGGTTGTCCAAGTCCCCCAGATGGCTGAATCTATCTCTGAAGGCACTTTGAAGCAATGGGTCAAGCGTGAGTAATCTTTGCATATTTATTGTGTGACAAGAGAGAGAGAGAGCAATGCTTGTGAGCGTGTGAAGTTGTTCAAGGGGGGCTACAGCATAATTAACACAAACGGTATCTTTTTTTTTTCTTTATACAGAGGTCGGTGAGTTCGTGCAACAGGACGAGGAAATCGCCACCATTGAGACCGACAAGGTTGATGTCACCGTCAACTCGCCTGCCTCGGGTACCATTATTGAGGTCTATGCCCAGGAAGAGGACAATGTTGCTGTGGGTGCCGACTTTTTCAAATTGGAATTGGGTGATGCTCCCAAGGAAGGTTCTGCTCCTCCTCCCAAGAAGGAAGAGACGCCTGCTGCTGCTGCTGCTGCCGAACCTGAAGCTCCCAAGCCCGCCGAAGCTCCCAAGCCCGCCGCTGCTTCTCCTCCCCCAGCTGCACCCGCATCCTCCCCTGCTCCTACCCCCGCTGCTGATGAGGGCAAGAAGGTCTTCGGCAACCGTAGCGAGAACCGCGTCAAGATGAACCGCATGCGTTTGCGCATTGCCGAGCGCTTGAAGCAGTCCCAGGACACCGCCGCTTCCTTGACCACCTTTAACGAGATCGACATGACCAATTTGATGGCTCTCCGCTCTGAATACAAGGATGCTGTTATCAAGAAGCACGGCGTCAAGTTTGGCTTCATGTCCGCTTTCGCCAAGGCCTCGGCTGTCGCTTTGGAGGAAATTCCTGCCATCAACGGCTCCATTGACGGTAATGAGATCGTCTACCACGACTACATTGATATGAGCATTGCTGTTTCTACTCCCAAGGGTCTTGTCACCCCCGTCCTCCGCAACGTTGAGGACATGAACTTTATTGACATCGAGAAGAACATTGCTGCTATGGGTCAAAAGGTTTGTATTTCTTAGGATCATGTGTGTTTTCTTTTTTTACCGTACCGTATCAACTTACCATTGCGAATGGCATAGGCTCGTGATGGCAAGATCACTATTGAGGATATGGCCGGTGGTACCTTCACCATTTCCAACGGTGGTGTTTTCGGCTCATTGATGGGCACTCCCATCATCAACTTGCCCCAGACTGCCATCTTGGGTATGCACAGTATCAAGGAAAGACCCATTGCTGTCAACGGCAAGGTAAATATTCAAAGAAAGGGGCGGTAGAGAGGAAGGGATGATTGTACTGGACTGGATTAGATTTGATTGGGTTTGCTAAAGAAGGGTGGTGGATACTGATCATGTTATTTATGAATAGGTCGAAATCCGTCCTATGATGTACGTTGCCCTTACCTACGATCACCGACTTGTTGATGGTCGTGAAGCTGTCACCTTCTTGGTGCGCCTCAAGGAGATGGTTGAAGACCCAAGACGATTCCTTCTCGGTGTCTAAACAACTTAGTTTTGCCATTGAGCAAAGCGATTTGTTGACACATCCTCAATTACGCACACGACAAAAAATATGAATTTTGCTTTCCTCGATATCTCGCAAACCCAGGTTCTTCCCTTCGTTATCCTTTCTCCACAAGCTTAAGAGACACACTCACACACGCTCTCTCTTTCTCTCACACACACTCTCTCTCTCACTCTTACATACACGCACGAAACATACGACAACAAAAAACACCTGTCTTTCCCCCACTGTATTTAATAAAACCCGTACGCACACAAGCATTATTTTTTGCATGATTTTTTGTGGGAGGTCTCGCGTATATTGGTTGTTGTCTCGACAAGAGGATTACCTGGGACGATAGGAGCAAAACATGGCAGGGGAAGACAAAAACCGGACATGGAGACAGAGCCTCAGTGAGAAATAGCCATATATAATCAGGCTTATGTTATTAGTAAAGCAAAGGAGGGATTGAGTGGGAGAGGTAGTAGTAGGTGTACCTGTTTTACTTGCCATTTTGCCCTGCTGCTCCTTTTATAAGGCTCATATTAAGCGCATCATTAACAAAAAATGTATCAACAAAAGAATGTTCAATAAAAGGAGGCGATAAGTGGGATAAATGCTTATATCACGACGACGACAACAACAACAACAACAATCAAGCTCGTATCAGGTTAACCAGTAGTAAATATTTTAATTTTGCAGGTGCTATATAAATGGGTTGAAGGAGTAAGCTATAATGTAGAAAGAGCAGGAGGACGCTGCAATTTTCATTGTCAATGTAATAGTAGAACGGTAACGCTAATGGAAGTAGTAGTGTAGTATGTAGAAAGAGGAAGAAGAGGTAATGCTATATACAGTTTTAAATGCGTTATGGAAACGGAGGAGGAGGGGTTATATAACTTGTAGTATGTACACAATGTGAGGAAGAGAGACGTTTGTTCCGTTGCTGTTGGATTTGGAGCTCTTTTGCAAATTAAACTGCATAACCAGGTGTAACGCTGAGTCTGACTGTTCGCGTAGGGTGTTCCACAATCAAGGATTCGAATTCCCTGGACTTGGGCGACATTATGGAAGAAGCAGACGAGATCGATGATGCGCTCGATAAGGTACTATCTTCAGAAGAGGTCGATGTTCGGCGACGGCGATGAGGTGTAACCACCTGAGTCAACCATTCGAGACTGTTACGACTTGTTGGCTTTTCGTATGGGGCCGGTGCAAAACAATGATCATCATTGCTGTTGTTGCTGGCAGCAGCTACGCGTGAAGAAGAGAAAGCAGAGAAGAATTTCATATTTGTGTTTTAAAGGTAGGTAATATGTGATAGTACTAGTAGGAGTAGTGTAATAAGTGTTGCTTAAAAAAGTGAGAACAAGATTCTGAGTGATGGAGAAATAGTAGAAAAAGAAGAAATTAATGTTGCCTTTATATAAAAGCCAAATAAGAAGCTTGTGAGAAAAACTATTAGCAAGGAACCTTAAAAAAAGGAGTAAAAGGAACAATTCTCATTTTTCATGACGATAAGAACTAAACAGTGAATTCGTTTTTTTGCGCGCCTAATGCAGGGTCAATCATCGATCTGCCGGTAGAGTGAGAGAGAGAGAGAGAGGCTGTGTATCCTTACTTGCTGCTTTGTGTACATCTAAGCAGGTTGTGTCTGGTTGCTGCTCTTACTTGGGGCCGTTCTCTCCCTGTAATACGTGTGCTTGTGTGTGCAGGAACTCCATTAATCATCCTTATGGTCCCTATCAAAGCGCTTTTTGATAGAGCAAGCCACGGACGCATATGCATACACTTGTAGCTGTAGTAGCAGTAGCAGTAGCAGTGGTATAGTTAGAGAAGAAGGAGGGGGTGGTGTAGGAGGGGTAGGAGGAGCGTCGTGTGTATGATGAACGTGTGTATTATGCGTGTTCGATTTGTAGCAGCAGCAAGGACGATGACGATGGCGACAGCAAACAAAACGAGGATAAAAAGAACCTCATGGCACGGAAAACAACAGCAACAACACATCTGGGAAAAAAAATATGTAATGCAAAGTCAAAGTATTAATGATACATCGATGGAAGGGGAGAACCCTAACGGGCATGTAATCGAATTCAGAAAGTGGTTTTGGAGGAAGGTTGCTGCTCTCTATCGTGAGGATGATATATGCTGTGACATGAATGCGTAATTGCCTATGATGTTACTGTATGCGATGTATCTGTAAGTATAGTACGATGACTAACTGCAGTGTGAAAGGGCTGAAAGAGCTATTGGCTATGCTCCAAAAAAAAAGTCACCCCACTTTCCTGCATTATGCAGATAGTGAAATGAATCGTCTATGAGGTCTTTCATAGTACTACAACATTTAAGTTTTTTCTTTTGCGTATGCAGGGTTCACTCTGTTTATACGTACGCATGATACCTACATAAAGGTTTTTCCGCCTCTTTCTATACATCATCTATCGTTCTCAGTTAACATTATAATCTTCGATCATTGGTACAGTATTATTAATTATGGTGGGGAAGGCTCTGAACAGACATTTTGTCGATCCATAAAAATAGTAAGGGCTGAAGCTTGTGTACATATTACTACTAGCATCCCACCCCTCGGTCCGGCCCTTGATCCTCCCGCAAAAAAATAAATAGTAGAAATTCCAAGAAAAATGTCTGTGATTTGTTGCTAAAACCATTGTCCGTGTACCCTTCAGAGATATTGGATATTCTGTGTAGAATAGAATAAGAATATCCTTTTTCCTCCTTTATCAACGCGTTGCATTTCTGTTACTACTAGTAAAAATTAATATCTCTTGTTCGATCGCAGAAGTAAACTTGATACTACTACAGTAGCATATAACACTAACTCAAAAAAAGACGCCATTAGCTCTACTGCTACTTTCTCTCGCTAGGGCTGCGCATACATGATTACAATCCGACTGATATACGTACCATTGCTAGACGTATGCATGTTCATAAAAGAAAAATTCGTACATGAGTTACTTACAGCTCGTAATGCAAGACGGGTGAACAGGGAACGTTAAAGTCTAATACGTACTATTCCTTCCCTTTATCTCTTTCTCCCTTTCACGAACTCCCGTTCTCTTCCCTTTCAAGGATGGGGCAAAATATGCGTTGATGATCAAATGCCTTTTTTTTTCTAGGAGCTCTTCGTTATTAAAATCTCTCATTATGAACTCACGACGCACACAATACGCCACCAAAACTACTATTTCGTTATAGCCGCATAAAAGTATTAACGTCACATAGTTACTGCGTGAATAGCAGTTCTCACCCTTGGTTGTGTACACACTCTCTGTGTATAATCGACCCCTTACTTCCGATGGTGGAACAATTATAAAAAAGAAAAAAGGAGGGCGAGGTAGGTACGCATCTGAGGAGGAGATGAAAGAGAGGGGCATTTTTTATTATCGTAATATTAATACTAAGGAATAATTATAATTATAATACTAGCAGCATAATAAGGGTTATTACATCTTTAGGTTTATGGAATGCATGATGTATCAGAAGCGTGTGCACCGGCAATTGCGACTGCAGTAATAGTTCGTACCTACAGGGTGTATGAGAATGAAAAATATAGAAAAAATAACGAGAACATGGTCAGAACTACGACTACTGTTGCTTGCGTCTGTACATGAGTGTGTATGTGATAACGTGATGTATGTAGGTAGTAGTAGCAATAGGTTATAGGGGGGTTCTCTTCAGTTCCAGGGAAATATAAACTATATACTATATACTACACATCAAATGCAAACGTGGCCTTGTTCCTATAGGCAATCAAAAACAACATACCATACTGTCGGTAGCAATCTGCATTGTATCGGCTAAAGGTTGAGATATTAAATTTGAAAAAGAATCATGCAGGATGCATCAGTAATATAAAAACATGTCACACATTCTTATCGCACAACGTCATCCTCCCTCAAATTTTTACGTTATGCATAGTATACTACTATGTAATCGTGACGACATAACGTAAACTTGTATAACAACTACGGAAAGTACTTGAGCTTACCAGTTACATCCATAAGTTCTACGAGTTAAGCCGGCTGCCAACCCCACAATGAGGCCAATAATGATGAAGCAGCATAGAAATGAAAACAAACGGCGTTTCATGGCAAGAGATCTGTTGTCGGGAGGAGCATAGAATTGCACGACGGGGTTACGAATAGGTTGCTGGTTCGGTACATGAGGCATCTGCTGGTGGCCACCATGTGGTGGTTGTGGTGGAGGAGCATAATAGGTGGATCCAGGTGGGGGTGGTCCTGCTGCTGGCTGTTGTTGTGGCGGTGGCGGATAAGTGTGTTGTTGTTCTGGTGGTTGATACGTGGGTGGTGGCGGTGGTGCGTATGAACTTGCTTCACCCTGTTGCGGGGGACTACTGTAATAGTTGTTGTCGGTAGCTTGACCCATCAGTAAGGACGTTTTATGTGAATGAATATGCGTATATGTGTAACAAAAAGAACGGTTGAGAGAGGAAGAGAGAGAGAGAGAGAGAGGGTGTGTGTGAAAAGAATAAAATTGAGATTTGAACCAGCACCAAAAGAACTGCAAGCAGTACCCAAAGGGTTCACGTCCGTGTTCCATCGGACCGTACCTCGGATCAAACAATCGTGCATAAGCTGAGCAACCCTTTTTCCTTTTTTCCAGCAGACAGCGGATCAGGTTGTACAATCATGACACCCTGTTTTGGTCATATAGAATAACAGGAATCGGTCATAACAATCACCGCAACGTTCACAACAAAGCCAGTTTTCCACGGTTTTTTTTATAGATGGATAAATGGTAGAGATTTAAAAGGTTTTGTGGGCACAATTTTAGAAAGAGACTTGGTGTGTAGTAGGCCAAGCCGTATAACTTACTGCAGTGGCAGCCAGAGTCAAAGCCATTGTGGAACCAGTTGCGAGGCTGGTGTTTGTTTTCATAAAAGGAAAAAATAGTAGGCTCATTTTCTGTGCTCTTCAAACTGGGAGCCATGGGGATAATAACTATGGAGATGAACCACGGAATAATAGCCACGGAGACACAGTAGAATGAATTCGTTACCTAGCAGCGTCATCTTCGTTGTTGTTATCGTTGCTGTTACCGCCGTTGTTGATTGGGTGCTGTGTAGTAGTGCTTGTCTGAGTGACAGTTTCGGTGTAGGTCACCATAACCATGGTCGTGGCTTGGTCACCAGTGTTACCGCCGTCCGTGGGCACAAGGCAAGGAAAAGGATAGCTGCCATCGGCATGGTGATTGTAGTGTTCACCAGCAATATGGAAACCATCAAGGCCAGGGACACAGTCAGAAGTGTACCGCTGATCATCATCGTTTTACTTACACTTGTTGTTGCTTCGCCTGTTGTTGATGTTGCTTCGTTGGGTTTCTCCACTTTTATATATGGACTCCTGTCAACGATGGCATAAGTGCCAGGTTCTATGTTATACCATGATATAATCGCGTATAATACTGTTGTGTGTATAATGTCATCGTCACCGTCATGTTGATGTAACGTTTCTAATGGATCGCTAATATTCATAGTGCTTTGTCATCGTATGGTCCTTTTTTGCGAACCGAGGCATCAAGTCATCTAATCTTATTCTTATCCGGCTGACCTCGCAAATTTCCCGGTTGACTTGCGTATCACCCGGTCCACTATGCTTGGTTTGATATCCCCGTTTCTTTTTGTTTACGTGATAATAACAACACCCTCGCTCTCATCTTCCTTCTTTCAACCAGTCACATGGAGCGGGCTATTGGGTGCGGGATAATTGAGCGGGCTGGTAAATGCCGTTGAAGCCACCCAAAAACTCTAATCGGCGACGAAAAAAAGTTTTTTTTCTCATTTAATGACCGCAAAAAAAAGTTATTTAAGCGACGCGCACGCGACTTCTTGCTTTAATCATTGCTCTTTCGCACTATCGGTAAGTTTTTTTTATTTTCTATATTGTTTGGGAATTTGGGAGGTTATGAAAAGCTTTTTTCGAAAGGATGATCCAGGCATTTGGCTCGAGTCGTTATGACGATGTGGAAAAAACAACCGCTACCTTACAAACTCTACTGAAAGAAAAAAGCTTTCCATTACCTTCTGCTGAGATTGGGTGGTGTATACGGAAAGGAAGAAAAGGGAGGGAGGAAGAAATGTGACATATGTGGATGTTACTAGTGATCAGTCATAACTGATATCTTTCTCTTTTACTACATACAGGTTCTCTTCAAGAATTCGATAGTTACGATACCCTTTCATATATTTTAATAAATAAAAAACCTTTTTAAAACCATAATTCTCCTTTTTTCGGCTAGCTGGAACAAATGCAAACAAATTGGGCTATGATGGATATTGTAGTGATAATTATTTTGTGCGGCAGGACAGCATCACGATAAATATTTGGTGTGAGCTATGTGTTATGTGGTATCGAATAGTTAGATCACAGTAAAATTTCTTGGGGAATCGCTGAGTATGAAAATGCTCTTGCATCCAGTTCCTTTATCCCCTTTACTTGAACAGGATAGCGATCCAACATCGTGCTCGTCTCTTCTACGTTCATCCTTACAAACATACTGTATGGGGGTCATTATCTCGACTTTTCTTTTTCCCTTTGCTTTCATGATGGGCTGCATAGATATATAATGCTTTTGACTAGATATTCTTTTAAACTTTGGTTGTAGACGACCTAGAATTCCATCCGTGCTGCCCCTATTTACAACCACGTACGTGCAGCAAGAACCACATAGACATCATATCATCATCATCATTACAACATGTGCTAAACAAGATGGTTACATGCTTAAACATGCTTTCTCTCCATATCTCTTTTACTTGGTGTCTATTGATAAAAAATTTACCCTAAGATGAATGAATTGAGGAGAAAAGAGATTTTTGCAAACAACACTCGGTAGCAATAGTGATGCTCATTGATATTAGAAAAACCAGCACATGCTTCCAAAGATACAATTATTACTATAGTGATAATGACAACAATGATGACAGCACCGACAAAAGTTGTCGTTTTCTATGCAGCAAATTGTCAGCAAGTGCTTCTACATACATACGCATCACTTTAATGTTGACCCCTCTACTTTTCCTCTTTATAGACAGCTGTCCAGGTCGAAGTAAATACTCTTACGTCATAAAGCTTTATTATGTCACAACCTGACAATACTAGTGGCAGTAGTACAATAGCCCAATAATACCATGATGGAGCCCTTGTCTGTGGAATCCAATCTTCTTTTGCTCTAGCAACAATAGCTCAGGGAGCAGTCAGCTTTTTTGTAACGCACATACTTAGTTGCATGGTAAAGTTTACAAAACCATCTACAGCATGCATAACCATTGTCGTCGTCGTGGTATTCATTTTGCACTGCAGTTACATAATAGAGAAAAAGCATGACAGCACAATACAGAAGTGTAGTAGTTGTACTGATCTTGTTCGCTATGATGGGCACTTTCTCTATTGCACAGTCTGATTCTTTGCTCATTTAAATTTATATCACGTTTATAACGAACTTATTGTGGGAAAGCGCTATGTACAAACAAGTTCAAATATTCAAAACCCTATTATATACATAGTATGTAGAATGTTTTTTCTCCTATCATCTGTACCTTTTTTCTTTCTCGCATTGATCTTCGGACCAGTAAACATCGGGCTAAAAACTGTCCCTGCAAATACTGGTTAGCCATCAAGTTTGGTTTTGGTCGAAAGTGATGATAGATCAATGCAGACATATTTACTGAGACGAAGAAATACTACGCAAGAAAGCATTTTCAATATCAGATATAGGAAAACGAATTGGGTATGTATTATTAATATGTAATGAAAGCGAAGGGGTGGAGGGACAAGAAGAAAAAGCAATTCTCTTTTCATAAGACTACTGTATTATGGCCATGGTTTCATGCTCACGTATGTATGATACGCATTTGTACAGATCCTTCGAGTACATATAGTGAATGCAACCTGTGTACTTATACAGTATATACACCGCTGTTAGCTCCTGTACCGACGTTCTTTAATATAGTGGACCCTCGTTAATGTCAACCCTCAAGTTCAGCTGAAAGTGTTGACGCTAACGCGGGTTGACGTTTGGCGGGGATGGACTATCTAGGCACAAAGCTTATAACCAGATAATAAAGATATTAAATCAACGCATTCCAACACACTGTATTTAAAAAATGTATACTATATATGCAGTCATCCATGACAGAATAGTTTCAACTAACGACGGAATAGACGTTTTTGATTTATGTTTGTTCTTGATAAAAAGTCAACCCTGGCTTAGGTGTTGACATTGACCTTACGTAGAAGTTGACATTTTCCTCTGCTAAAATGTTAGGCATACTCAGAAAAACGTTGACCTTATCGAGAGTTGACATTAAAGGGGTTGACATTAGAGGGGGTCTACTGTATATGCTGCAGTCGATCCATATTATTTATTTAGCTTCATTTTCCCTTCTATGTTTTTAACCGGTAATAAAAGTCACATATATGCATTTTGTGGTTGGTCAGCTAGTCATCAACCATTGTGACTTCAACATCAAGCTGTTCTCAAAAAGCTTTAGCATTCACTTCTTCGCTTGAAGTAAAGTGTCACCATAATCTTAATGATTCTGTCATAGCAAATACCATCATAAGACATGATAAGCCGCTTATCTTAAAAAAGTCAGGAGCATACTTACATCTGACCGCAGTAACGTGTGTTCAAAATTGCTCTGTGATGTGGTTTAAAAGATAATATATGCAAGGCCTTAACAAATTAAGTACGTAACGGTGTAGACAGAGCACGACTAAAGAGCACATAACACAACAATCAATGATGAGAAAACTGAAATATATACAAGTTTGTCAATCAAATAAAAAAAACTTGCCTCAGAAATTGATGGTAGTCAAGCGATGATGACAAACCGATCGAACATCTACTGGAAATGAAGGATAGTAATGCAGATTCATTAGTAATACAAACTATCTAGCATTCCACGTAAACACAAGTATGTCTTTGTTACACTTTCGTTAGTATTATTACAAAACATCTCTAGACATTTGCCATGTGTAATAAGCGGCACTAAGTCTATCTTTGAGGCTTTTTGGCTATCATCTTCAACAAGCAAAGTACAGTGCCCGCTCGATAATTCGATCACTTTGGTAACGGCCATAAGTGATCGAAATATCGAAATATCGAGTTATGAAATTGGGACTCGTTAAGAAAAGGAATATTCATTGGGAATACTGTTAACTCTAGACTCTGATGTATGATCCGGCACTGATCGCTGGTTGAATTCCGCGTCACTAAGCATTTCTATTGGTTTATACTTGTCGATATGTCACAGCCAAGCGATCGATGATCGAATTATCGCTTTGTCGATATTTTACTGCTTACCAGCCTGGTCATTTGAGAAAGTGATCGAATTATCAAAAATATCGAGTTATCGAGTATTGAATTATCGAGCGGGCACTGTATTACCGCTGCGGCAGTCTCTTGCATACATACGATCCAGTATTTCCACCAAGAAGAACACTCTTCTAAGGAATCGGACAACTTACATATACCACTTTTTATGTATGTTTTCCTGGTGTGTGTGCGTAAATAAGAAAAACAACTGCCAATTAAAAAGCGCGATGAAACGAGAAAGAGCAAAACCATTTAGGCATTAATAAACCATTCAGTTCACACAAGTGAACTCATCACTATAGGTTTTTTTAAAGTCAACTGAAGATGCTGCGCAACGCGTTTCTTTCTCTTTCTATAATAAATATGTATTCACACATAACCGCAGTAGCCATGCATGATTGCATGCTATATTACACCACTTTTCTTTATATGTCGTAAGCTTATGTGATTGTGAAGCCAAAACTAAGGTGAAAACGTGTTACATAATATAACCTTCGGTACACTCGGATTTTCACCAAGTAATTTTTCCTGATTGCGCGCAGTAATCAAGTGCATTGTGGAAAGCATTTACCTGAACATGCCTGTACAGTATTTTGATGATTGGCGCGTGTGATATTTATCAAATGTTCACAAACTTGGATATATATGATATGACTGCACCATTGTATTCTAATATATTACTATAAAATACAACGCTCCAAAGTAAATACTGTTGATTAATAAATGCGTACAGACGAGTTATGTACTGTTGCCTGGCACGAAATGTGGTATAAGTCATATACAACAATTGAAACCATACGGAGCAAAGAAAGAGAAGGGTAGCGAGAAGTGTAATGATTATACCAGTAAGATCATCGATGCCTAGTCTGCTTATTGTTCGTTATTTATACTAGATAATATCTTTCTATCGACAGCATATCATAAAGAACCTCGTACGATGGATAAAGTAACATCCAAAAAAAAGCTTTTGTTACTGTATCTTTAGTATCTTTAAGTTAACTTGTCGCAAGCGTTAAAATTACCAAGGCAACGCAACGCTGTTTCTATTTATACACATTCTGCTTGACACAAGAGCATTTCTCGACAACTCCACGACGAGGGCCGATCACTGAGTACTTTTACAGAACTTTTGAACCAAGATCGACTCATTCCGGTAAGACCTGTCGTAGTGTTTTCTTTGGAGTAGAAGCAATATTGCTTACGATCGTATTATTAAAGATAAGGTTAATACTTTCGAAACATATCTCTGAGCGACGTCGTTGATGCCAGCAGTGCAATGGTTTCTGATGATCAAAAGCGCGGAAACCATACTTTTGAGCGCTTAAACGAAAACAGGACGCAGCCACATACATATTCCATTCTGTAATAAGACTGTGGCTATTGTGCTTTTTGTTGATAAAAGATGCGCAGAACTGAGGATGGTTCCGGAGCAGTGTTCTTCAAGGAAATGATGCTCCACAGCTTTTAAAAAGATGGGGCAGCGGCGGGCTGATAAACAAAGCTGGTAGATTATTCTGATAGAAAGAGATAAGGAATATCTGGTCTAAAAAGCATACACATACCGGGTCGTGCATTCCTGTTATCAGAGAGTACTGATATGATAATGCACTCATTCGGTGCACTTGACCGTATAGAAATAACAAAATACAGGAACCAGTAAAAAAAAAGTTTTTTTTTATTTAGGTGAGCAACACAGATGAGGCATAAGCGTTATCAGCCAATCAATTTACCGAACGCAAGCTTCGCCATCGCTTGCCTAATCTTCAACGCATTTGATTTGTTTGTTAGCCCATTTCGGCGAAAGCGTATATATATTAAGAAGATGCTTCCTCATAAACTCACTCTAGAGCACACCTTTTCTCTTTAATACCTCTCTCTACTATATACACCCCTACTCTATCTTTGTCCATGTCAACTACCGCTACCCCTCTGCCTCAGGTACCCAACCCTCAGGGCGGTGCATCCCTCATGATCGCAATGCAATGCAATAACAAAAAGGTGGTTGTCGTTGGCAACACTACTATTGCCGCCAGCCGAGTACTGGCGTCTCTCGAAGCCGACGCTGCCGTTTCTCTCGTTGGACCCATAGAAAACATGTGCTCTGAACTCGTCTACCGTATTGAACAAAAGCAAATCCAATGGCTCGGTTCTGACTTTGACGTTGCTTATCTCGACGAGAACCTGGCTGATCTCGTCTTTGTCTGTGTCTCCGATCGTGCGTTTGCCACACCGATTGCACAGGCTTGCCGTGCTCGGCGCATTCCTATCAATGTCACTGACGCCAACGATCTGTGCGATTTCTTCATGACGTCGACCTACCGCGATCAATCACTCCAAATTGCGGTTTCGACCAACGGCCTGGCGTCCAAACTGTCGAACCGTATCAGGCGTCACGTGGCTGCATCGCTGCCAGCTAATCTCGGTGATGCTGTACGACGAGTGGGGTTGTTACGCCATAAAGTACGTTGCTCGGATCCGTCCTCAGCTGCTAGTGGTCGACGTATGAAGTGGCTGGCTCAGATCTGTGAATACTGGAGCATGGACCGATTGGCGCAATTGTCAGATCGTGATATGGAGGATCTGTTGGAAGCGTATCACCATGACGAAGGATATGAAAGTATCGGCAAGTCGGAACGTTTGGCATCACTTGGTGCTCCACCACGTCCTCAACAGCAGCTGCAGCAACAACCAGTAATAAGCCAACATGAACAACCATTGAAGCAGGAAAAGCAAGGTGTCATTACGTTGGTCGGTGCAGGTACCGGCGATCCCGATCTGTTGACCATGGCTGCACATAGGGCTATCGAAGATGCAGACTTAGTTCTGGCAGACAAGATCGTACCAGCTGAAGTAGTTGCACTTGTCAAGTGTGAATTGAAGATTTCCCGCAAGTTCCCAGGCAATGCCGATGCTGCACAGGAGGAGTTTAACCAAATGGCACTGGTTGCACTCAAGCAAGGCAAACGTGTCGTTCGCTTGAAACAAGGAGGTAATTTTCTTAGAATTTATGGGGAATGTAGAGAAGCAGCATACCAAGGATATCTGCAAGAACCCAGATGACTCAAACGATATGGATTTTTATTTCAGATCCATACTTATTTGGCCGAGGTGGTGAAGAAGTTCTGCACTTTAGAAAGCTCGGCTACACTCCACAAGTCATTCCTGGAATTTCATCTTCATATGCTGCACCGCTATTGGCTGGTATCCCTTTGACCCATCGATCTGTTGCATCTCAATTCCTAGTTACGACTGGCACAGGTGCCAAAAACTCTACAATACCTCTACCAACTTTTGACGCACACCGAACCGACGTCTTTTTGATGGCCATTCATCGCCTATCAGCACTGACTCAAGATTTAATTGGAAAGCAAAAATACCCTGCCGATGTACCCTGCGCCATTATCGAAAGAGCAAGTTGTAAAGATCAGCGGATTGTGTGGGGTTCCTTGCAAAATATCGTTCAGCTGTTGGACAGTGTGGGTGGAAGTCGCCCTCCAGGACTTTTAGTGGTCGGGTATGCTATCAATGTCCTCAAGGAAGAAACAAAGCATGGATCACAAGGCGTTGCAAGTACTTTCTTATCTGACTTGGGAGGCGCTGACAACGTGTTGCAGTTGCATGATCCTGAAAGCGTATGCTAAACCACAAATTTACACCCAACAAAGCATTCTGCATCACATCTATCTATACCCGGTTATATCCACTCTTCACGGCTATCACATATATTTGTTCTACCCTGTATCATACTTCATCATTTCATCCCTAGGCGTTTGAGTCAGTCATACATCTACTACTCTTTGGAAATAAATTGTTCTGTACACTGTACTTATTGAATTCGAGGAGGATATGCGTTCTCGAATCTTTAGTAAAGCAACATATAATATGGATATATAGAATGAGTTGTGTTGTTAACAATCATAGTAACGTAATATATGATATATATATATATATATAGTTGGTCCCACGCTCTTTTCAATCAACTAGTTTGGCAAATGCCATCGTGTTCCTTGAAAAGTAATCTGCAATGACCGAGAACCCATCTTCTTCGCTATCGAGCTGCGATGTACGTATAAAGACTGGTGTTTAGCAATCGGGTCTTCTAACTGAATAACCTCCCTCCAATTATTATATGCGTACCTGATCAAAGAACAAATCATGACGATCTGCGTTGGCTTCTTGTGTTCGACGAATTTCGCTGATCATACGGTGCTGGATAGCACACTGTGGGCACTCTCGATCGTTTTCACCAATACAGCTAGGAAGATAGCGTCAGAGATTAGGCTGCAACGTGTTTGACGTACTCAGTTCTACGTGTGACAAGAGCTACTTACCGCTGATGATACGAGTGACGGCAAAGGAAATGGATAGCGGGTAAATCAAGCATGCCATCACATCCACTACATTTTTGAACTTGGAATATACGCGCACTTGTCTGTAGTTCCTCAATTTCATTTCTTCTTTTTTCAGTCTCTTCGCGATAACTTGTTATTAGCTCTTCGTTCTGAATCATTTATTCACGGTCAGTAAGAATATTAGTCATATCAGTTCCCCCACGAATATCCACCTCACTTTGCTGTACCCACCTGCTTCAACTCTTCTCGCTCGTGCTCGATCTTTTTGCCAATGTATCGCTTGATCAAACCGATAGTAGCCACATTGCTTTGAGACAAAGCTTGAACTACCTGAATAGGTGGCAAAAGATCTTGAGAGTCGATATGGTTGATAACAGATAAAAGTTCAGGCGTGGATTTGGATAATATTTCCGGATTGGATGAAAAATAGGTGAGCACCATGGGGTATAATGACGAATCCTTTGGTCTAGACGTTGAAAATAGAATCAAACAATGACTTGATCAGCTTTTTTCTCGTAGCACTTGGAGATTGTTTATTAGCTTGCCTTTCGTTTTTTGTGCGAAGGTACACAATATAAGCAATAAAAAGGGAGAAGAAGAAAGTACTTACCCGTACTTTCGTACACTCTCAATGACACGGTCTGTCTCTTCTTTATCCATCCAGAATCGCAAGATATCAGTGTACATGCCCGTCTTTTCGTACAGATATACAATGCCTTCATCAAATTGCTTGAGCTGGCATAGCACCAAAGCCTGATTTGTATCATATTCAACTGAATCATCCTTTAAGAGCGCCAATGCCTTGACGCGGAACTCCTTTCGACGTTTTTGCTGATCACGATCACTGAGCTGATTAGGTCTTTGAGTGTTCAACTGAGGGAACATGAGTGGAACAGGATGCTCGTCCATAAGATACAGCTCGAGCAGCGTGTTCCAAATTGTTCTGCGTTCCTCTTTCTCTTGTAGAGATAATGTACTTTGCGTAGCAGCAGCAGCAGCGGATGTTGTAGTGGGGGTACCAGAAGCACCATTCGTCTGGTGCTTGTCGTTGGTGCTATAGCTGCGAGTCGATGCTGCATCACTGGTTGCCACCGCCGCAGTTAGCTTTTCCGCAGAGTAGCCCCATCGCTTTTCGTAAACACGCTCCAACAACATGACGAGACAATCAGGCCGTTCGACAAATGCAGGCATGAATATCCGTGCAGACGGTGGTGTGTAGCTGAGACCTTTTCGCTGCTTTCTGCTGCTATCGCCCATGCCGTTGGGCGTTCCTGTGCCGCCATTATGTCCACTACTGCCCGACTGGATTGATGCTGCATCATTGGATGGTCCAGCGAACGGAAGGATCGATAATGTTTGAAGTGTGGTGTTGTTTTTGGCTGAAGGTGTAGGTGAAAGTGCATCTTCTCTTTCAGCACTGCCACCGTTGATATTTGTAATGGTCAGAGCTCCTGTGCAGAGATCGATTAGTAGCTGTGTCGTTTGCTCTGGAAGATATGTAAGGAGCGTTTTGCTGTATTTTTGCAAACTTTTGTCGGCCTATTTATACAGTCATTTATTTAGTAAGTGTTTCTTTTACCACTTGTAGCTCGAAAAGAAAATTGTTCCTAATCGCACCTCATGGGGCGTCAGTTTTCGTATATATGTCAGGGCAGCATCGTAATCTCGGATATCTTCAATAACAATATCGAGATATCTGTCGTTGACAATATGTTGCTGTTGGTAAGTCCATTATTGTCTATAATTTTCTTTTCGAACGCCACTTACAAATCATGTTCTAGGAACTTTTCTGCTAGATAGACAGCATGCTCGTAGTAACCCGCTTGTCTACATACGCTGATTGCCGTTTCGAGATCAAAGTTTAAGTCCGAGTCATTCTAATATTATTTTTCATGTCAGTATAAAATCCCAAGGCCAAATTTTTTCTCGAACTGACCTTAATGAATTGATCCAATCGTGATACGTCTTTGAGTTTGGTATAGCAATTTAGCAGCAATGTGGTATGGTCAGCGTTGGCTAATCCTTGTGAATGCAGCTCTTGCAGATAGTTTGTTAGATTGTATATTCGTTGTGCGTCTAAGAACTATTCCGTGGAGGTTAGCACTTACATATTTACTTTTAGCCCCTATTCTTATAGAACACTGATTACCTTCCGAATAACGTAGGATGGTTCAAGCTGACCGATTGTTCGTACATATTGCTCAATTGCACCGTCATAATCACCCTTTCTATTTTTTTTTTGAAAGGATGAAATTAATCTTTGCCTTGATGCATAACCAAAGAAGTAAAGTACAACTTTTCCGGATGTAGACTTACGAATACAAGTGATCACCATATTTTTTAAAAATTTCGGCGATGCTTGCATCATCATACTTTTGCATGTGTGCCAAATTGATTGCCAAAACGTAAAGATTGAGCTTGAAGAGAATCTCTAGCTTTGTAGGGGTATCTTTTTCATCGAGATGATGGACCTAGAAGTGATAGATAAGTGAAAGGAGGTGAATCAGAAATTCGAGCAACGACCGCTCTTTGATATATTTACCTTGCCATCCATGCCCACAATCCAGACCGAATTCCATTCGCAGAAAACACCACGGATACCACCAACAAACGTGCCAACGTAGGCAATGAACTTGTTGGCCGTATCAAAAATCGTGACTTTCGTCAGTTCATTCATGGCACTTCGTTTTGGACTGAAAGATAGGGCGGATCGTGCTGGGCTTGATAAGTGGGTGGTCGTGGTGACTGGTGGCGACACAATAACCAAGTAATTTGCCTTGAACCAGGTCAATGATGATTTGGGTGTATCGTATGCAAAACATGGTCCTCTTCCTGTCGAATCGTAAAAGTAGATGGCTTCATCGCGACCCACTACCATCTCTTGTACATCGCTCATGACAGCGCATCCCAAATCACAGCCTTGTTCGTCCAACGTAGTCTATAGTACATGTATAATACATCAAATTTCATTCGGTGATAAAAAATTGGTGTTATCCAAATTCAACCTCCTGCTCCCCTCCTCCTCCCAAACTTACCACTGTGGGCTTATTTGCAGTAGTATTATATGACATGATGCTGCCGGTGGTGACAATAAACAAGATGGTGGATTTTGTTTGTTCGCGGAATCCCAGACCTAAATATTGCAAAAACAAAAATATTCATGCTTATTAGGAGATTCTTTTATCTCGTTGTAGAATGTCTTGCTTAAATTACCTGTGATTGGCTCTTCGCCTTCAAAAATGACCTTTTGCTTAACAGTACGATCCTTTGACAAGTCTCCCCGAACATGAATTACAACGCCACTAGTCAAACCAACAGCAAGTTGAGACATGTTATCCAGCACAGCAATGGTAGATACCTGTAACAATAGATTCCCGGTTTCTTTCGTTAGTTTTGTTTTATCAAAGGTTCATGGGATTATCTCTCTTACTTACAGGATAAGGCTTGGTTCCATGCTGGATCTTGATTGTTCGAATGCAGGTAGGTGTGTAAGGCTGGGACTCGTTTAATTTGGATCGATCCACTGAATCAAGGTCCCAAAATTTAACCACTGGTGTGCCGTTATCTTCTTCCTGAAATATGCATACACAATAAGGTATGAGGCATCCTTTCACACGTAGACATCCGTATAATAGTTCTACTCACACCAACTGTCACCAAGATATTCTTTTGCTTGAGTTGCTTAAGGTGAGTAACGCGACCGCCATCATACGCGACGAACGAATGAGTTTTAAAGTTGCGATCGCTGATATAGACCTGGCCTTTCGAATGTAAACATAAAACGGTTAAGGAAGCATATTTCGAGCGAGTGATAGATATGTTAATCTTGCATCCAACTTTCAATTAATAGCAACAATAAAAAGGATATCAGCTAGTGCAATTTGTCCGCGACCGCTAGTGAGTACTGATATATCAGACTTCTATAATACATAGAACATATATAGATGTTACTGACAATTTGCTTTCACCCCTGCTCTTCATGTTCGTCTTTGTATATATATACACACCTGAAATACGGCAGGCGATTTGGACTTGTCGGTAGGATCGACGACTTGTTGTTTATCGAAAAAGTTGAATTGTCGCCACTGAGCAATTGACATTGCGGAATAAAGCGTTAAACAAGGTGCGTGTGTGCAAGATTCAAGCAGTTATTTCGGAGAGCGAGGCAAAAAGCGGAGAGAGGAGAGACGTCCGTTTCAAATCTCCCGATTAGAAAAAAACAATAATCATTGCTTCTCTATTCTGCAACAAAAATCATGCGTACGACGGATTACAGTAACCAAATTCCTGGTCTTATATTGATAGAGGACTTTGTCGGTCGCGAGGAAGAAGCAGCAATGATTGACGCTGTGGACGACAATCAATGGTGTGGTTTAGGTATCAGGTAAAGCGAATACAGCAATAGCGGTAAACAAGTTCTTGCGGTAGTTGCTGTAGAAGTGGTGTTATAATTGTCACTTTTGCTATGTAGTCCCAACCCAGAGCTGAAAAGAAGAACACAGCAATATGGCCATTTGTTCAGCTACAGATACAGGTATTGCTACGATAGAAATATTCACCGTTTAATGGTAGCTACTAGTACTCGCGCTTTCACGTCTTGGTTCAGAAGCTCATTCAATAGTACATACAACAACAACAATGAAGAAAGGTGCTTGAGGAACTTGGTCCATTGCCCGAATTTTCAAGTGCGATCGTCGATCGTATTATGAAACAAGAACTCATGCCAAACGTACCAAATCACCTTCTGGTAAATGAATATAATCTCGGCCAGGGAATCATGCCACACACAGGTAACAAAGTAACAAGACAAACAAAAAAGCAAGGCGACGGTACATTGTATTCACGCACAAAATCAAAATTTGTAGATGCACCAGCGCTATTTGGACCGGCCATTTTATCACTGTCGCTGTTGTCTGCATGCGTTATGAAGTTTACTCACGTGGAGACAGGTCATACCCTCGACATCCTGCTACGTAAGTTCTTGCTGCTACTTGCTACCGATTCTGCCATGCATGGACATTTGTGCTCACTGGATATTGTAACCTAAATTAAGCACGTCTATCAATGGTGGTAATGACGGGCGATTCAAGGTACAAATACAAACATTCAATTTCCAAGGATCATATCGATACGGCATCGGATGGCACCACCGTGCACAGGGATCGACGCGTGTCCTTTACTTTCCGAGGTGAACATCATGTTTTTGCTTTTTAAACTGACAACCCCCTTGCAACTTCCACCCCTGGATGATATACTGACGTCCTGTCTTTTTTATGGTGATTTCTGGGATGGGTTCCCGTTGGGTGGATTGGGTGTTGCAGAGATCATAGCTTGGGAAGTTCCAGCAGCAGAGAACACGTGCAACGCTGCCACTACTGCCCCTCGGTAGTATTGGCGCTAGGTGTAGTGGTGATAGATAGTACCACTTGCTCTTTTCACCCTTTCTCTTATAAACAACCCCCTTTGCTGTGCTTGCACCGCCCCCTTCCTCGTAGCTTCTTCCTCTCCCTCCCTCTCTCTCTCTCTCTCTCGTTCTCTACTATTTCTATTCTTATAAAAAGTAAAATATATATATACAACACGTCCGACCTACACCTACAACATGAATGACAATCATCGGAACAATATTGAATCTCGGCAACAACGAGGAGTTCGACGACGGGCAACTTCATTACAACAACGGCAACAACTCCCACCACAATCAACTTCGTCTTCTAGTCGGGGCAGTAGTGGTAGTACACCACTAACTCATGCTACTCGCTCGTCCCGTTCTTCAACGACAGCAGCAGCAGCTGCTACTGCTGCTGCTACTGATCGAAAAAAGTCTCCGGTGAATAGCATAAAAGCAATCCATGAACGAATGGCACGATTGTCGATGGAGGACCATTTGCCCACCTCTAAATTGCCACGCCGTCGTTTACAATCGAGTGTCAGCCAGCAAACAAGACTTATACCCACTCCTTTGACGGCACGCGCTACAAAAAGCGAGACAACAAACAACTTGAATAGTAACGGCAGAGCCGTTCGACTACGGAGTAAAACAGCAACAACAGCACTGGCAGCAGAACACGATCGAACGCGGTGGCTACAGAAAAAATCGCATAATAGTACAAGTGGCAACTTACATTCAATATGGGCAACAGCCAACGGCCAATACACACTTCAAGAGCATAGTGATGGTATCAGCGATAACGATGATGGCGATCTAGTCGAGGCAGCTCAGTCAAGGTTAAGGAGCCTGATGCTGGCACGGGAACGGCAGCTGGACTTTATGCATGAATTGAAGCTGGCTTTCGGTAATATACTTGACCACGAAGAGGAAAGCGGTACTCAGATTATACAGCAGTTAAAGATGCATTTCGATCATCAAGCTTTGTATATCCAAGACTTGGAACGCGCATTAACTCGAGAAAGATCAAACAAAGGTAAACAAGAGCAGGACTGAGAGCGAAGACAAGCATGGGACTGATAAGATGCATTTATCCAGCAGATTATCGCCGCAAATTCGAGGAAGAAAAGGAAGCATTATTACATCAGCAACAAGAACAATTCGAGTCACTCAAAATGAAGTACCGTGTGGGGTTAGAACGAATTGTGGATAACTGGCTCAGTAACGAAACGGCTGAGCAAGAAGTCTGGATGGATCAGATTCGACGGCAAGCAGAAGATCGTGTCGCTCAGGTAGAAGAGCGATGGATGGAACGTGCGGCTGTCTTGCAAGCAGAACTTCGACAATACCGAGATCAGAACCTTCGTCATATTGTACAATAGTTAGCTAACCAGTAACTCTTTTAACAAGAACGATAATACTATTAATTTCCAGCGGATTATATTCAAACGAAGAATGTCTATAATAGCGATTGATTTGCAAGAGTATAAAGAACAATTAAATTGTAAAGAAATGGTAATGCCTTGAGGTGTTGGTTTTCTGTCTCTTTTTTGTGAGAAGACAAAAGTATGGAGAAGTGATGCCGGGTGAATGGTTGTTAAATAGAATGTGTAAGTGCGTGTGTGGGTGTAGCAAAGGGTAACAAATACATAATATAGTGGGTGAATGCGTGATTGTGCAAGTGTTTGCTTGTGTGTGTGTGTGAGTGCATGTGTGCATGGGTGTTTATGATATCTCCAACTGTTGTTTGCCCCATTCGTACGTGACATAACTGATACTAATGGCAGGTACAACCTACAAATACACAAGAGCGTCCGTAAGAGCAGGCACATAGCTTAATAAATAACTACAGTAACCTTTGACTTACCTTTAAAAGAGTAGGGCCAAGACCGCGATAAAACTCACGAGGCCCACCTGCTTGATAAGTTACTCTAACAGCATCCCATGGAGATCGGTATATCGTTGGATGTGCCGCTGTGCCTTGTGCTTGTAATCTCGTTCGTACAACCTATACAGGGAAAAAATTAGTAAGTTGCACTTTTCCAACACTACATATTTTTGGTAACTTACGTTTAAAGGGTATACACTTGTTGCACCTATAGACCCGCTAACCATACCACACGCCCAAAGCACAAATACGCTTGGCTGCGCTGGTCCAGCTCCTTGCTCCTCCATGTATCCAAGATACGTCAGCTTCAGGGTTTCGTAGATACCCAAGTCCAAAGCTTGATATGGAAACACGCCCACCAAGCCTAATGTCTGTTCCGATATATATTGTCAGCCAACTCAGTTCTATCAAAAGGTTTTCATTTTTCTTTCTTCACGATGAGCTTACCAAACCAGGCCAGAATCCACGAAAACCCGCACGCGCATACATATCCTTAATTGTATTTAAAATCAACGATCGCTGTTTCAGGCTATCTATCTTTCCCTCCCTCTGGAGGGACATGACTCGCGTCTTGAGTGTTTCAACCGGATAAATCGCAAGCTGTGAACACATGCCGGCAACACCTCCTGCCATAAACCGAGCACTTGTTGGGATGGAGTCCTTATCCTCGCAATCCAGGGCACTTGCCATGATCCTTTTACATGTTTCGTACGAGTAAAACTTGATTGCCGATTCGGGCACAATTTTCATGACATTCAGCCCGTTGCCGACAAAAAAGCCGCGCCATCCGCCTTGTTTATAAATGGACTCGACAGCCTGCCGTAATGTCAGCGACTTTTCCTGGTGTGTGATGAGATACACTTTGAGACGATCAAAGGGTGCTGTACACGACCTTGAGCAGGCACCTGCCATGCCGCCTGCAGCCAGATACCGTAATGCGTGGTTGGATGTCTCGTCGGTCGGTGGTATGGTCACTTCGGCATCGGGCGACAAGCGAGTCGAGGACTGATAGTAACGATACACTTCGCTCATGTTTGTTTGTGGCAAAAGCTAGGCGGGCAAAATGAGAATGTAAGCACAATCACAAAACAATCAAGTACGACTGTCCGTGCACGCTACCAAGCGGCAGGAAAACACATCCCTGCATTTCTACTTTACCAGCAGAAAGTTTTTAAATTCGTTGAAATCAATGACACCGTTTCCATCTGACGATTGTAATAATAACAAGCCAATAATTAGAAGTTGTTTGGAAAACAGGGAATTTCTTCTGGTTTCTGTTACCTAAATCCATCAATTGCATGAAATCCATAAATTCTTCCTGGGAAATTTCAATCCCTGTGCTTTGCAAGGCACTTTTGAGGTCGCTAGGCAACAATCGGCCGTCGCCACTGCGATCAATCTTTTGAAAAAGCTGCCAGAGCTCTCTTTCTTTGTCGTTTACATAGGTCTTGAACTCGTCAAAGTCCACCACGCCGTCGTTAGTTGTATCGCACCGTTGCAACAGCTCATGGACATACTTGTTGCGAGCCGGGAGATGCGTCATTTGCGTAAATCCTTTTCGAATTGCATCGCTGTCGAGATGCCCGGTGTTCTTACGATCGAGCGTTTTAAACAGATCGCGTATTCGTTTATCTCGTTCGCTCGGTGTCTCGGAAATGTAAAACTCGGTCGCTATCTGCAAGTTGTTGTCATTTAAGATCTTATTGTTGTTGTCGTTGCTACTACTGCTGTTACCACTTGTGCTGACTATCGTAGTTGAATCGTATGGCATGGTTTACAGCTGCGGCATTCAAGCATTTAGATTGTTGTAAGCAAGCTGGTTTGTTGTGTTATTTTCGAAGAATAATATAGAACCATGGAAAACAGGTGAGAAATATATTCCACAATCAACTTTTTTTAACAACGAGCTCCGATTCCGAAGGGCAACCGCAAGTGTGATTTCTCTTCTCGGACCGTTCTTTCTTTTTGGTTATTAAAGGTACATAATTCAATTATATATACTGCTTCAAGCAGTGTATATCAGTTTTTTTTAGAAAGCTGCCCATGCTCTGCCATTTCTTTTTTCTCTTTTTTTTTTCGAGACGTATGCTATATGTTGGATGTGTAGGAGAACAAGATTTTTTTATAATTAACTTTTTTTCAATTCGGAGATAACAGTGGCCCATGAGCAATTTCACATGGTAACCGTTGCTATACCTCGGAAAGACCCTGTTTTAATATATTGCTCATCGACCAAGCACTCAAATCCATGATACATTAATGGACAACTTACTCGAGCTATGAGTAAGTGGAAGCTATACTATACCTTTGATGAGAGCTATTAGTTTACTTTGCTGAAGAATGTCTTGATCTGGAACAAAAAGTTCGCGTACTAGCAGGATTTTTGAAAGGACGCGACTGCGCTCTTCTCCGCAAGAAACATATAGGCTGCTTGGGGGGTGAGAGGTTATTTAATTTGACAATTCGCAGTGCTTTTACTGTTTGCTTTTTAAACATGTCTCTACTTATTATTTTTATGGCTGCTATACAGGGTTGAACGGTCATAATTGACGTTGATAACACATGTAATTGATGCTCAATAAGTAGTAGTACTACTTGAAAAAAAGAATGAGTCTTTAAACATCATCTCAACAAACAAGGTGTTGTTTTTAAAAAGCAAACATCTATACTTCATGTCGAACTATGTTCGCACGATAGCACTAAGCTTATATACCATTTTATCAATCGACAGTTGGGTGGTATTGTTCTGGTGCTGGATAACGTAATGTGGAGGGTATAAGGTCCGGCGATTCGGCAAGAAGAGCCCATTTACCCTGCAACATATGGGGTGTAATATGACAATGAACTAACCAGTAGCCAGGATTGTCCTGTATTGTTTAAAAATTGGTTGTACGTGACGAATTTAAGTCCTCATTCAAACGAAATGATTAAAGATGATAAAAAGCAGACTCTTACCGTGTAAATTCTCACTTTGGTCCAGCCACAACCGTGCTCTAACGCATAATCGGAATCCTTCTCTTTCTCAATTACTGCTGTCCCGTAGACCGCACTGACGTCTTTCAAAATGGGTTTTGGATAGGACCGCAGATCCTTATGTTTTTCATGGTCGTACAAGCCTTCACCACGCGCAATCAGCAAGTGCGAATGTCCATGGATATGCCAAGCATGTGTCATACAAGGGAACGTCCCAATACTGTTATCCTGGAATACAACGTCAACCACTTCATTCGCCTTGACGTGAAACGTGCGATTTCGAGCATAGTAGCCATTGTCAGCTAGAATGGACATGGCTTCAATGTCCATATCAGGAAGAAATCGTTCTAAAAGACCAAATAAGAGTGGAGTGACAGGATCACCGATAGGTGGGAGCGAATCGTTGATACGGAACCGAGCACGGCCGTCTGGCATCTTATTAAGGACTGATTTTATAATAATGGTGCGGTCGGCCTCTTTTCTTTCAAAGATTCGACGTTCCAGATCAGGCACGTTGATGGATGCCATTTCGGGCCAGGGGAAGGGAATGGGTAGCGATGTAAGTGGTAAAAGGGGTATACGTAGCGGGTCGACGATGCTATGAAGAGCTTTGTTGGCGAGCTGCAGGTCACCGAAGATTCCGGATGATGCTGAATTCATGCTCTTATTGTCAACATAATCAATGAATGCATATCCGTTGTTAGAGTATTGCGGCATTCTGAGGTGCCAGCGATAATTTGTCGCAATGGTATATCTTTTGCGATCGCTAGTTTCATCATGCGCCTTGAGGAGAAGCGATATACGCTGGCCAGCAGGCAATTCGAGGTAGTCCGTATCGTATAGCTCCGTGAGTTGGCCATCCACTTCCATAATCGTTAGCTGATGTCCTGCGATTGCGAATCCCAAAATTTGGTATGTGTGGCCGCCAATGATGCGTAGCCGGTACGTTTTTCCCGGCTCGACCTGAAGCACTGTAAAACCCGGGCAATCTGGCTTGAATAGGCCCATGGTCGGAAAATGGACACTTCTGCCGTTCATGAGAATGCTGCCCGAGCCCAAATCGAGGGTATAGTCCGGTCCATAGTAATAAGCTTCGCGCTCATAATACGGCTGATGCCACCATTCATTAAAGTAAAGCATAAGCTCCTCGTCATACTCGTAAGGACCATCTCTAAGCTTCTTATTGCTGTTGTTTTCATCAGGCCGTGCTGCTTCGTTTGGATATACGATGAATGCGCCGCTGACAGTGTCATCTTGCATTCCCACATGGCTATGGTAATAGTAGGTTCCCGATTGGTTGAGAACTTTAAATTTATACAGAAAACATTCGCCTGGCTTGATCGGATTTTGTGTAATATACGGCACGCCGTCCGAATAACTCGTCCCGTATTGTTTGATGCCGTGAAAATGGATCGTCGTGTTAGTCCCATCGTTCATCTTGTTGCACACGTTGGCTTCAACTTCATCGCCGTCCAATGCGTAGAGAGTGGGTGCCGGAAACTGACCATTTACCACAGGCGCGGGGAGATCTTGCATAAAGCAGTCGGGGTTGATCTTTCCCCAGCTGATGTCGAGGTTAAACCGTCGCAAGGCTGCGCTAGCTTGATGGGCACTGAACATAGTGAGAAGTGCTACGACAAGCACAATTCTCATAGTAAACAGACAGATACTTGAGTAACACACCATATATGATGGTTTGTGGTGGACTAATAGTGAGAAGAAAAGGAATCTCCTTTTGCTGTTGCTGAAATTTCTGGGGGTTTATATATCCAATGGTTAAAGCTCCTGAAAGAAACAGCCTCTAGCCCGTCTTCTTCTCTTTTTACTATTACGTACTCTTTTTTCCTAATGGAGCGAGCACTTGTATCTGTAGAACGTTATAGGGGCTTCATTAAGGAGTAACAAAGAAGCCAGTTTTGCCTGGCTATTTATTTATTACCGTTGTTGTTGTACGCACCCGACGAGCCATATCGTAGGATACATACCCCAAGTTATACTGACTCTGGACAAAGTTGTCTTTAGGATAGAGTGATAATCCAATATGTGCGAGTAGCAATTAGATCAGCTGTTTTATATCCAGTAGAGCAAGAAAAGGACACGATGCACATACAGTAAATAGGTGCATAGAAACGGGGCATCTGCAAAAGTATGTATGTGTCCCAGCGCCCTCTACCAGCTCGTTATCACTTTAAACAGATTAGAGAAATTTCAAGTCGAAATATCTTGATGACAATTTTCGTCTTTCATGGAACCTTAGTGGTGATATACTACCAGCACATACGGTCATTTATACAGTAATATTTTTATCAGAACAATTTTATATATTAGCAGCAAGTACTGTAGTATGTAAGTAAGCACTCGAGAAACTATCATAGTTTGGAATCTGCACGAATATTATTACGCATAAAAGCTGCCATTACGTGACAGAAATTAGCATTCAATTCGATAGCTAGATCCTTGTCCCGCCTAGTAAGCTATCAAAAAAATAATATAACCTGTTGGTATGATGCTGTCAGTTTATTGGATAATAGCGTGCCAACAAAAACAACAATCGCTTTCTCTGATCGCATATGTGACAGAAATTGAACTCGCAGATTCTCCACATAAATTATGTACCTTCTACAAGAGAAAGAGCATCATTTAATTAATCATTTGCGCTGTGAAATATTATAACAATATCTATGAACCATGGAGTTCACACAGAACGGTTACATGAATGTTGATAAGAGCTCTTGTGCAACCTTTAGCGATCGAAAGAGCATGAAAGTCGGAAACGGCTTCACTGACTTTGAAAAGATTTTTTTTTTCTTTTTTTTTTTTTCCTTAAGCACACTCGTTTTATTACAAGCACTGGATATACATAGCATACACTTAACATTAATATACACCATGTCAGGACTTGAACGGTCCCCAACACAAAATTCATCAATGTCATTGGATTCTTCACCCTCGCCAAAAAGGAAGATGACCGTCAAGGATATATTTAAAAGCAAGAACTCCACATATACGCCATTCCCGCCTACCTCACGCTATGCAAAGCAGCGTGATCAAACAGCTCCCTTTAGCTTGACACAACACAAACGATCGCTTCCACTACCGATCCGTAGTGCTCAGTCGTTACTACATCACTTTAAGTATAGTGAAAATGACAATCCTCAGGATCAAGACAGCGATCCTGAGGTGACACCTACGCGACAGCTACGCGAACGGAAGCCTCAGCCAAAACCAATGGTGATTGATGACGAAGACTTGATGGATGCAAACGACGTTGGAGACGAGGAAAACGATGACGATGATGGTGAAGCGGCAACGTTTACGCGTCGGGTGTCAAGGAAACGAAAACGTGGCAACGGATTTCTCGATAGCGATGACGACGATGATATGGATGACGGCGAAGACGGAGCCTATGTCGATCAGGATCTCAAGGAGAGAGAAATGAAGGAAAAGCTCGCAGCAGAAAGGGAACGAAAGGAGCGTATCATTAGACTGAAGAAGCTCTTCCCAGAAATGTCAGATGCAACTATCGCAGACGCCTTGAAAAGAACGAATGGAAGCGCGATGGAGGCTTTGAAGCTTCTGGGAGGGATGCCTTATAAACTCAGCCGCAGACAGTCGTCACCAATGAAACCTCTCAAACGTCTACAGCGAAAACGACCAGTCGAGGATAAGAAAGACACAGAAAACAAAAGTCATGATAGTGAGACAGACGATGACGAAGAAGACGCAGAAGACGAACAAGAACAAATACAGAAAGCGATAAAGGAAAGGAAAACAGTTCATTTTTATAATATCAAACCGTCACAAGATATACAAGATGTTACTGGATGCACGCCTGAACAAGCAGATAAATTGATCGCGCTTCGACCATTCAAGGATATTGATGAACTTCGCGACACGCTACAGCAAGAACGTGGATTAAGCGTCAGGTTCATCAACAGCTATATTGATATGATGGATGGCTACACGGTCGTGGATCAAATTATTGAAAATATCGAGGACTTGGGTGGCGAATTGAAAAGTATCGTCAACGTGTGGGAAGGTGTGGACATTGATGCTATCCAGGATGACCAGGAGGACACTGGCATGCATTTATCAGGTGCTGCAGTAAGCGACAAAAAAAATAACACCAACAGCAGCGACATCGATGAGTCGAGCGACTTGTACCGTGACGCAATGGACGGTTTCTTGACGGAACAGCCAAAGATTGTCAATGACGATTTCAAGCTCAAAGACTATCAGCTCGTTGGTATCAACTGGATGCTTATGCTTTATCGCAAGGGTATTTCTGGCATCCTGGCGGACGAAATGGGTCTCGGCAAAACAGCACAAGTAATCAGTTTCCTGGGACGACTTTACGAACTTGGCAACAAAGGACCGCATCTGATCATCGTACCAACATCAACATTGGATAACTGGCTGCGCGAGTTTGAACGTTTCTGTCCCGATTTAAACGTATATGGTTACTATGGCACCCAGGCCGAACGTTTTGATATGCGCGAAGAGCTGATGGATGAGGAAACTAAGGGAGATTATCAAGTTATTGTAACCACCTACACTGTCGCTACTGGCAATGTCGACGATCGAAAGTTTTTGCGAAGGCTCAAATGCAAATCCATGATATTAGACGAGGGACATATGATTCGCAATTGCACGAGCGCCCGCTACACGCATCTGATGGCCCTCAAGACACCTTTTCGATTATTACTTACTGGTACACCACTACAAAACAATCTACAAGAGCTGGTATCCCTGCTCATGTTTATCATGCCGAAATTGTTGGTTGATTACGAAGAGGAGATTCGTAAGATTTTTAAAATCAAGGCTGTTACGAACGCGACCAAGGACAGTCGAACGGCATCATCCTCTGCACAAATTTTATCCCAGGGACGGATCGAACGAGCCAAAAAAATGATGACACCCTTTGTATTAAGACGTCGGAAAGCTGATGTGCTCAAAGATTTACCGCAAAAGATGCATGTTATTGAACGGTGCAAAATGACCAAAAGTCAACAAAATTTGTACAACACAATTCTCAGTGAATCCAAACAATCATACAAAGAAGCCCTTGACAGCAAACCAGGCCAGAAGAAGGATAAGCTCGATCGCTTCAAGAATATTGTCATGGAATTGCGCAAGGCGGCTGACCATCCGATGCTGTTCCGCTATATTTACGACGATGGAAAATTGCGTAAGATGGCAAAAGCTATCATGAAGGTACGACACATTCTTCTAATCAGAAACTGTTAAGGCTCCACTTTCTAACACAATGCATGAGTAGGAAGAAAAATACTGGGATGCAAACGAAGAATACATCTATGAAGACATGACCGTCATGTCTGACTTTGAGTTAAATAGATTATGCAAAGATCATAAGGTAATAATTCATTTCACTTGACCTAAAATCAGTGATTGTATTTCGCTAATATACTTTAAATGTTTTGATAGTCGATTAGCAAGTTTGCACTGAAGAAACAAGAATGGATGGATTCGGGAAAGGTTGAGAAACTCAAGGAATTATTACCCGCAATGAAGGCCAAGGTACAGCAATAAGTGAAAGATATCAATGATGTACTCAGAGTTCCTAACAGTAATATTATGTTTTGCTATATATAGGAACAAAAAGTCCTGCTATTCAGTCAATTCACGAGTTTGCTCGACATTATAGAACTGGTGATGGATACCCTTAATATTAAATATCTGCGACTAGACGGAGAAACAAAACCCGCTGAGCGCCAGGAACGGATCGATCAATTCAACGAAGACAAAGATATTGATGTTTTTCTTCTCAGTACGAAAGCCGGTGGATTTGGTATTAACCTGACTTCAGCGAAGTAAGTATAATAACAATGGCATATCTTAGGCAATCTTATGTGAAAACTAGTACAGTCAGGTGCTTATAAATCATTAATCACGATTTGTATTTTCTAGTATTGTTGTTCTGTACGATACAGATTTCAATCCGCAGAATGATCGGCAGGCTGAAGATCGCGCTCATCGCGTTGGTCAGACACGCGACGTAACAGTTTACAAGATGGTAGCTGAAAATTCCGTGGAAGAACACATCTTAAGAATGGCGGATATCAAGCTCCGTTTAGACCGAAGTGTGTCTGGTTTGGGCGAAGACACAGAAGGCGAGGCTGATGAGCAAGTGGAGAAGAAGAACGTCCATAGTTTGCTTAAAACCGTACTTCTCTCTTAATATCATTGTTCTGTTGTTTTTCAATTTTCTTTCATACACTACGTTCATATCATCCCTTGCATCTCTTCAACAATCATATATATCAATAATGCATATCTCTTCGTTTCTTGATGTTTTTTTTCTTCTCGAACTATGAATGGTACATGCGACATGCATATATACAAAAAGGTATTTTACTGCCGTCCTTTATCCTCTTTTCTTTGGTCCATCGTGTTCTGGATTTTTGTTGCAAGCCACTCCCTGCTTGTCTCCTCATCAATTGGTAATGTCATTGTACGCGTCGTAGGTTGCTTAAGTCGCAAATGGATACCATCCACCGAGTGGACTAGAGATTCTATTTGATCGAGTCCGATGTCGTATTCGACGTCTCCTTTGCGTATACCGACAAATATGATTCGTTGATAAGTCAGAATCGCTATTTTTTCATCCGACTGAGCCGTGGAGTGCGCAATGTAAGTATCGTGGAAATAACGTGCTCCTTTGAGCTCCTTGAGCCATAGCTGCCCTAACGCTTCCCTTTGAGAGTATGACTAAGCGTACCAGAAAATATGAGTCTCGAAAATGATAGCGACAATAGGTCGGACTGATAATTAGCAAACAGAAAGAGCACATACTCTGAGAATACCATCAATGCCAACATAACGCGGTAAGCGCTCACGGGTGATGTCATTGGGATCAAAGATCGTGGTGGTTTCACGAACACCGGCTGTGACATTGCTAGCCATATCAAAGAAACCGACGAAAGGTTTCGTCACTACACCAACGAGACCACGACCGACGCCGCCTGCGAAACCAACTACACCGCCGCTTTCAGCACCTTCCAGAGGTCGTTTCTAAATAGGATCCAAGTTAACAAAAATCAATTTGGAATTTTAGACATGGCTGCGAAAAAACACCCACTCGACTTGGATAATACATACGTAAAGACCCGCAACACCGCTGGCAATACTCAAGCCAAAGTAACCAACTCCTTGAGAAACGCCATAGAAAGCATGCTGGGGTTTGTTGCGAGCAAGATTAATTCGGCGGCGATCTTGGAATTTTTTATCCAATGTTGCTGCGGATAGACCTTTGCCAATACTTCCGGTGATGCGGCTCATACTGTCCGACACGCCAAAAAGAACCTTTTTCGCAAGACCACCCACGCCCTGGATTATATAACAAAAAACTGTTATAACGCTTCTCTGTGATTTACATGACTAGATACCAAATAAAAAAATCACTTACTCTAGCAATACCAATACCTAGATCTTGTGGGCGATCACTCATGATAAAGCCTTGATAGGGTTCGTAGAAGAGCTCGCCGAACCCAGAACTCAAATTTGAGAACAAGCCCACTGGGTTACCAATAACGTCCACACTACCCAGCACTCTGTGAACTTGATAGATAATCTCCCCGCGGTAATGGAGCATGATACGATCCATTAAGTCTTCGTAGCTAACGCGCAGGTTTTCAACGATTAGCGCATTCAGCTTAATTGGAGCGTCCTGAGAAGAAGTAAACAATTTTTTTAGCATGAATTCAAAGAAGAAACTCAATTTGGTAGTATTGCTTACGTTCACGTTTCCAATAGTCATGGTGAATACGTCAAAGACGTAGCGCAAGGGCGATCTCCCAACCTCGTCGCTATTTTTATCAGAAGCAAATACGAATTAATAGACATGGTCATCTTCCTGCCTTTTACATCCCTAAACTGAGTGAAGAAACAGCGGGCTTCTAGCTTACTCTTCATCGATCGCGTTAATCCGATCAGTTCTCGAGAATGCAAGGTTTAAACGCATAGGCTGGATGCAGAACTCTTGGAAATAGTACAATGCGGGCGTATTCTGAACCACAGGTTCCGCAATTCGTGTACTGAATAGCGCCGTTTCACTATAGAGAAGCCGTTGAGTGGGACATTCTACGTTTGCCGAACCACGAGCATATAATATGAAAAATCAACTCACTCGATTTTGATTTCTTGGGGAGTACTAGAGAACTGAGCAAACTCCATGAGACAGTACAGGAAATCCTCGTCTGCAGCAAATGTCATCTCTTGTAAAAGGATAGAGAAGACCTTAAAGTTGTACACACCATGAGCTTCATCTTTTATCTTGTCAAGCGCCATATGGAATGTTGGGTGTGTTTCTTGCTCCGTGACATTCTTAGGAAGTGTTGTCGGGAAGCATAAAATGGGATGGAGCGAGCCATGAAACTGGTTATCAACCTAGAAAAAAAATAATCGAAAGCAATTTACTTGGCAATTCCCAAGAGAGCCATGTACAAAAGAGAAACATATTTTCAACTACTAACCTGTAACCACTGAATACTAGCGCGTACTGATTGATACAAATTAGAATCAGTGTATTTGAACTCAAGAGCCCGGATCGTAGCATAGGCCATTTCCTGAATATAAGTAAGTAGTAAGTATATATGGAGAGCTTTATCTGTTCGGATGATACTGTCGACGAGATAAAATACACACCTGCATCCGTTTGTTAACGACGGATATACCAATGCCGGCCAAGTTTAGCTCAAAGGAATAGTTGACGACATAATCCACTTCCACTGTTTCAAATGTGTCACGCAAACTTCCCTCTCGTGAGCTTGCTTCACGCGAACTAGTAGCGGAAACAGATGCCCCTGACGACTTTGGCTGGTAAAGACTGATTTCTGGATTAAAATCACTTAATACCAATACCAACGCCGCGTCGCGAGCAATAACATCAATTGACATGATAGGACGTGAAGAAACTGGGCTGGAACGATGCTGCTGTGCTTGTCTCTGTTGTTGTTGTTGTTGTTGTTATTGTTGCCATGTTAGTCATCATTTTAAATAACATACCCTTATATACAGCACTTCCATTTTCCACCGCACAATGCAGAAAATACCTTATAGCGTAGTGGCATCTGAGTACCAATAGCTTGGAAATTGACATCGCGTTTCTTTCCAAACACGTCAAGCTGGATACGCTTATCATGAGCAACAGGCATACACCAGGAGTATTCCATTCGATCATGAGGCTCGAGTGAGAATTGCCTTGCTTGAGGTAGCGCTTTTCGTTGGCGATCCTTGAGTTTGTAATCTTCCAAACCAGTGTCTGTTTGAGAAAATGTGACAGGGACACTCGACAGGTTGATGACCAAGTATGGCCAGGTTTCTTCGCGCTCCAGGAATATAAAGATTGCAGCGTCTTTGAGGACGATAGAAATACGCACCAGCATGGGCCGACTTTCACCAGTAACTTCTAATTTTATATGTGTATCGCCAATTTGCTGCATATCAAAGGGCGAGGACCTTTTTAAACATTATCGTTAATGATTCCATCTCCTTTCTTGAAAATCTGCTGTTGATGTATTACGTACCACAAAGCCCCTTCTTGATCTTGGCAAAGACAGAGCCAGCGTATATTCGACTTGGACAAGTGATACAGAGGCACTCTCTGTCCATTCTCAATGATCGATATGGAGTCATCTGTCGGCACACCAAACTCGCTATACTTGATTTTGTCACCCAAATTATTTTTTAGAATAAAACGAGGCGAAATGGTGACCAGCCGGGTCATATGATACTGGAGGATAGGATCAGATCAACACTTTAGTAAGCTGGATAAAAGCAGAAAGAAAGAGCTATTTTATGTAATAAATACGTACCATTCCAACACCTTCCTCTACGTGCACACCCAAGTGTATCTGATGAACGTTGTCCGTTGTTGGTAGTGTCACATCCTGTATGCTTCCAACTGCTTCGAAGCTGAGGGGATCACTCCACTTGGATTCATTGACTGCCAGCTGTACACGGTTCTTGCGATCCATTTCTGGGAAAGAGAACATGAAAGGATTGATCTAATGATAGGATAGAATATTTAGAAAATCGTTTTCTGATCTTTGAATATATACAGACATACAAGTTCATCATGGTCAGGTGCTGCAGGAATTTCGTAGATCAGATGTTTAGACTGTCGATGGCTGATACGTGACTTGAGAGAAATAGGTTGACGGGATTTGTTGAGGATCAAGTACGGTGTATAAATTTTGATATAAAGCGCATTATTGGCTTTTGATAGCCGCCTGTATGATTATAAGAGGATAATTAAATAAGAAGACGTTAGCTCAGACCACATCATAACACCCGTTCAATTATCTAATTCTAACGTACGCTATACTGAGCTGTAAGTGTAGCGGGTGTCGGCCATCCTTATCTAATAGCTCAATGGGCTGGATCCTAGTTCCTGCCTTTGACGAGTCTTCGTCGAGATCCAAATCAACCAATTGACTGGGCATATAATCTATTATCACTATTAAGCTTAATATTTTTTGAATCCTTGTCGTCAGACCTTTATTAGCTTTCTACTTACGTGTACCAGGCACCTCAATACTGAGCGCTACGTGGTTATAGTTGCTGATCGTGTGTACATGACAGTTTCCACCTTTAGCAATAGTATCTTGAAATGAAACTCCCTGTGTTTTGTCTGCCATCTCGAAAGAAATTGGGAATGGTAACGAGTTCTCCAACTCAATAGGAGCATCGATCTGAATTGCCATAATTGGATATTCTCTAATATATGTAAGAAAATTAGAAAATGGTCATGAACAAGAAGCTGGCCTTTACAAAAGGTCTACCTTGCAATCGGATTCAGTTTGTCGTACACGCCATTGATCTGGTATTTAAAAGCATCCGAATCAGAAGACGGTGGACCGCACGATATAGATCTCGGTCCATCAGGATGCGTAATGTCAGACCAATGGACTCCAGGTTGGCTCCAGTGATAGTCGCCTATTTCATTAAATAGGAATGTATTTGTAAATAAGTGTTCTTAGGCTTCCATGATATGAAAATGTACCTTCTGCAGGTTTCGCAACCAGCCAATAATCATACACCAGTTCGATTGGGACCACTTGTTCACCACCGGGTGCTAAGGTAAATGTGTGGTACAGATTTCTCGGTGAGCTCGTTGTTTCTTTATCTACAAGTTACAATGTTGAAGATATCATACCAACGTGCCACTGGGGAGACATAAATTTTCGCTTCGCATTGACCAGAGCTACTTTGATACCCTCTGCCGCGTGGTTCTGGATGACTAGGCCACTGCGGAATGTCACTTGCTTGACATGGTTCTTGAGCTGGATATCAACAATAAGGCGATGAGAGACACCCCTCACTTCCGGTTTCATTCTGTACGAGTGTTGCCCTTCTTGATCCAGAGGGATGTGTTGGAAACTTTCCCAATCAAAAGCTTCGACTTGAACGCCAAGCAAATTCTTGCCCAAGTTCGTACGCTGGATAAGTAAAAATGTCAGCTTTATCTTTTGCTGTGATAAGAGAAAACAGTTCCTGATCTTTACCTCTCTACGGCGTTTCCAATCGCGGAAAGTCCAAGGCTTTTCTTCACCACTCTGTAGCTTATACATTCGATTGTCGATGCCGCCTTCTTTTTGCGCGTCATCCGACATGTTCCAGAAGCGGATTTCGTGACCCGTATAGTTTCGGATTAGATAGGGTCGTACTTGCTTTTGGCCACTGTCGGACAAGGGCTACAGTTAAACAGATATAATTTATGTGTCAATATTCAAGTACCGTATCAATATATGTTCTTTTTCCTACCTGTTCCTCAAACATACTGCCGGAAACTGCCATCATAGTTTCCAGGAACGCATGGGTTATATTTAGATTCAAAAATTCGTTTGATTCAACTCCTATCTGCATGCTCTTGGTCGCTGCATCTTGGGAGACTTTAATACCGAAGCCATATGGTTCAATCACAGGTTCCCAATGCGAATTTCTAAAGTTAAAACTGCTGGCAGACATATTGAAGAATACATCCGCAGAGAGCTAATAAGTTGTATATAAGATGGCCTGTTAGTCTTTGATATGTTTATTTTTGCTATGAGTATTTTCACTTGAAGAAAACTTACAGCACTAGACCAATCGGACGCATTGACTGTGAATGGCTGCAGCATAGCGTCAATGAAAGGCAAATCATGTAAATCTTCAATCAGCGTGAATTGTAGGCCTTGGAATCGAGCTTTAAGCTAAACAAGCACGCACACATCTGTATTAGTGATATTTTATGCTGGATGGAAGTAATATGTATATGTTGACTTACAGATTCCTTAGTCATGACAATATATGGCTCAATCTTTTGCTGTCGGCTGATTGCCCAAGCATTTTCTTGGTTTTTATCGTTGTTGTCCTGCGCTCCGCTTTCAGGCAAAGCAAGGCTTTGTTGCTGATTACTAAAGGAACCATCGTCATATCCTTGTGCACCGGCAGGTTTTTGCGAGCCTCCAGCACCCATTAATGCAATCGCCTTGTTGATAATGTCAAGTACAAGCATGGCATCATTGTAGGACAGACGTACGATCAACGGTTCTACGTCAATGTCAATCACCGTGATATTGGAACCGGGCATATTGGATGAGGTTTCCATCTTGAGATCGATATCAAACTCATGTATAAACGGCAAAGAAGATTCGTCTCGCACATCCATTCGGCAAAGGACCATGCCAATACTGCCCAACTTGCAGGTCAGCGATTGCTTTTGAACCGCTGATAGCTCTTTGAAGGAGAAAATAATGGCCTCAGACGATGTAACTTCTGGCTTTGCCAAGCATGCCACCTGGACATCGACCACATTGACGCTGTAATGTAGCTGCATGGGCTGTGCTTGCTGTTGCTGTCTCTGCTGTTCTGTTTTTTTGGACGATGCAATGGAGCGAGCCTTCTTGTTGGATCCATTCGTTCCAGGGGCTGTTGACTTCCTTCGCGCCTGATCACGTTGATTTCCGGTGATGTTGTTTAAGCGCTCGCGTTGCGTCTTGGCGAAGGCTTGCGCTTCGGTAGTCGGCTCCGGTGCAAACGGCTTCATAAAGAAGTTGACCAGCAAAAATACATAATCAAGGGAGAGTACGATCTTGGGCGAGTCGACAGTAGCACGAACAAACATGATCTGCTCTTCGTCCTGGGCCGGCATTTGTAGTTGCACTTGTAATTGAGGGGCACCAGACAAATGCGACGCCGACATGATATCCTTAAACTGGGACTGAGAATCTTGTCTTGTATCGGTAAAAGTTATCGAGTTCATCCGTACTTCAAGAAGGAGCGATGTGTCCGAATGTGTTTGCATCTTCATTGATGTGCCATTGAATGCCAGCCGTGCCAGTCGCTGCTTGCCCCAATCCTTAAAATCCAAATCAGGGCCTGATAGGATTTCGAGACACACTGTATCCACGTCCATGACCATATCAAGCTGGATAGAGACACTCTTCTTTTTCTTCTTTTTCTTGTCAGTTGCTGGCGCCTTTTCATCTCCTCGAATCGGCTGTCTATGCTGCTTCTGTAGCTGACTAAACTGAGAAGAGTGAACGCTTTGGCCCGTAACATCCTCCCCCTCATCGTCATTAACCTCGCCATTTGCATCATTTTCTCCAGCCAGAAATGTGGACATGACTTTGTTGTATATATCCAGCAGCCACTTGTACTGATTTTCGGTGAGCGCCATCCGGACATCTGATATATGACCGATAATGCTCGTCGCTGGTCCCCATTCTGGAGCTGCTTTCTCAGGGCTTTGAATATCAAATGTGATATTTAGATTATCAATGATAGGCAGAATTCGCTCGCGTTGCTCTCCTTTGGTTTTTACGATCGATCTTGAGTGAAGACTAATCGTATAGAGGCCACACAGAATCTTGGTCATGGCCAACTCCTTGGGCTCGACATTGAGGTCACCAGTCCGTCTGCGCTTGACATTTACAAATTCGTTGGCAGCTCTAATTTCACCAAGATTGGCAATTACTGTGTCGTCGTTCTCGCTCACAGGGAAAATCACAACTGGACTCTTGATGGTGATGTCATAGTGCATTCGTGTGTCAGTTTCCTGCATCTGCTGTGCAGCAGCCTCTCGTGCAGCGTCGTACACAGTCTTCATCTCTAAGAACTCGCTCAAAAAGTCCAAAGTTGGTTTCACCGTATCCAAAAGCATGAACTGGAAGGCACCCATATGAAGATAAAACCGCGAGTCGTATCCAGGGAACGTTGACGACTCTCGGTCAAAAGTCTCGTATATAAAATCAGCAAGCTCGTCTCCTTGAATCGTCAGTAGATGGACTTCGGATGCACCATGTTCAATATCCTTCGATTGCGCGTGCCCGCGTATCACCGTGTCATCCGTTAATTTTAAGTTCCCAAACCTTCCAGAAACTTTGAGCGTGTTTGGGTAGAGCAAGACTGTGAGATCGCCGTATGAGAGGATGGCTGTTCCAAGACGTTTGCCATCATCGTTGAGGATTAAATCCAAGCTGTCCATGTGAACGGTAACTTTGATTGTGTTGCTCGAAGACGCATTCTGCTTTTCTTCCTCGTCTTTTGTTGTTGACACAACAGAGCCGGAAGAAAGACGCTTTGCTGACTTGGAACTAGAGGCATCTTTCTGTGATTCTTGCTCGACAGAACCAGGTGGGCCGGCAAATGTGTTCAGAACAAAGTTGTACAATGTCAAGATCGAGCTTCTTGTCACCACAATATTGAGTGTCGATAATGCAATCTCCACTGTTTGATCGAAGCCATGGTAAATTTCTTGATACATCGGATGTGTACGGTTGACTTGCATGTACTTCACGCTTACAAGGTTTTCGTCCGGCGCCCTGTCTCCAGATGAGGTATCAGACGTTACCAGATAATGGAACTCGTCACCATGTTCCATTTTATCCACAATGTTGAGTGAGCGGAGCGATACATCGACGAGCATATCGAATGGTCGATTGAGGAATTCAAGCTTAAACATATCCAAGTTCAGCTCGCATAGCAGCACATCGTCACCATTGCTAGATGTCTCATACACCGTCGCTGACACTTTATTAACTTGAAAAGCAAAGCGAAACTGTTCCTGCTGATATCGCATACTGCCGCCCATGTACGAGCTTGATGAACTGGACAAGGGAGTGCTGATATCAGCAGATCGTTGCCGTTGCATCGTAATCGATGATGATGGTTCAGAGCTGCTGGCTTCGCTCTCTGTGTCTGATATCCATAGGTCTCGCTGGTTATTTTTGTTGGTCCAGGACGTTTGCAAGTAATCATGGAACTGTTGCCGTTGTTGCTGTTTCTGGCTCTCGACATTTTGCGCTTGTGCTACAGCCTTGGCATCGTCGTCTGAAATGCTGTCGAGAATAAGATCGATCATTCGCATAAGAATCTTGTATTTCGTATCGGAAATGCTGAGTGAAAGTAACGGCAAATCTCCAGACACCTTCAACTTTGTAAACTGTGCAGCGCGTTGTAGGATACATAACTCAACAAGGAAATTCATATCAATCCGTTCAATGACATGAGCATGACCGTCACGCGTCCCTTGCTGTTGTGCTAGGCAGTCCTCGACATCTGTTGCAATGAGCAACTTGGTCTGTGATAGTCCGACTCGGAACTTATCGTACATAAGCGACTCGAGCTTCTGATAGTCTTCCTTGCTATGCTTCTTACTCTTTAAATCGTGAACGAGTCCCGGATCTGTTAACTCGCTATCCACGTGAATGTGTCCAGCGTCAATGATCATACATGCTGTATTGCGTTTGACACAGCTGATAGTATTTCAAATCAACATTAGCATATGGTGCTTTCTTATATAAAGTTTTAGCCATAGTTGATTAGATACCTTTCGGGTATAATGATGAGTGGTGCGTCCATGTCGAAATCGATATCAAGTGTTGTATGTTGATCCAAAGCATATTCCAAGCCTGCGCGTGTTTGCTGTTTTAATTCTTCAAACGTGTCTCCAGCAACCTCGAGAAGGGCGTTGATACTTTCTGCATTGTTATCGGGCGGTTTAAAGAAATCCATGATGCCCTTGACAATTGCTGGGTTATAAATGATCTCCAATCGTTTGGTGGATAATTTAATCGCATTGTCTGCGATATGATCAAAGGGCTTGTGCTCAATGACAGCTTTGAAAAGTGGTTCGTTCTTTATATTTCCTGCTTCTGCACTTAGAGCTCCAGAATGGGATGAAGCTTGTGGATCTGTTGGTGCCTCAGCGAGAGAGCGCCTATTTTTTTAAAGTTAATAATGTGTGACGCTTATTTATCTAATTTGATCCCGTGTTTTCATTCTTGCAAACTTACCCTGTTCCATCTCGACTTCTTGCTCCAATTAGTTGTGGATAGATTGTTTTAGGCGTAAGGTTGTCATATAAGCGTAAATCTCCAAGACCTACTGCAATTCTGGCCGACTCAATATACTGGATAACATCGGCTGTGACAGTGTCAAAGACCAAGGATGTCAAATCTCTGCGTGATTGATCGGATCCGTTGTGCTTCATTAGAGTCAGCGAGCCTCGATTAAGTTTGGTATTGATCAAGAGTTTTTTGGTCTACCAAGCGATGAATTTAATATTAGTGCCACGATCGAGCCATCACTGAAGCAGCACCGCTACTTACATCTTTCGGCATGTCTACAGAGGCTGCTATGCTGGCTTTTTCTTCGTCATAGTCGATAGCTTCATATAGCTCACGTTTTTGCTCCTCTGTCATCACAATTTGTTCGCCCTAAACATCCGGATCATCAATTATTAGATACGCATATATGTAGCGCATAAGCCAATCCCATATCGTAACCAACATACCGAATCATCCCCATTCTTATCAGAGCTTGTGTTGGTAGAGCCAGACCACCACGAACTAAACCAGCCTTTGTTTTCATTCGCTGCTTTCTTTTTCTCTTGCTCTATATAAGCCTTATGATAAGCAGCATGTTTGTGGTAGAAAAATAAAGAAAGGACTAGAGATATCTCCTCACCAATTTTGATCTTTTCACGCTTCAGCTTGCTCCGAGCGAGACTACGGTAAAACCGGATATCCTCGAAACTTAAATCCCTTTCCAACTTCTCCAGCTTCTCTTTTTGCTCTGGTGTCGCCTTGTTCAATTTTGATGCAGAATAACTTTCGATATAAGCTTTTCGCTGATCTCTCCTTGTTCGAAAATGGTCCCAAGTCCACTTGTAATGACGCTCGTGTATTTCGGATAGGACAGCATCCTGTGCAAATTTCCAATACGCTCGCGGATTTGTTTTAGGTTTTGCGCCTTTGCCTGGGTGGTATTTCAAGTACTAATTAAAACGTAAAGATATACGAAGTTGATCAGGGTTAGATAAAGGTTTCAATCCACACTCTTGTATTTAGTTTAGTATGATGTATAAGAATTCAAACCTTTTGTTTCTTCAAATTGGCATGAAACAGGTCGACCAACAGGATAGCGTCGCGATATTGATGATCATCCAAACAAATTCCAAGTTCTTCGAATAATAGCGTCACATCGGTCTTGGCAACATCTTTGCCGAATTGCTTGTTGAGTTTCACCTGCACGAACATGTGAGCACCCATCTTTGACGCTGGGGAAATGTATAGAAATTTAAATATGTACCTTGCCAGTGCCTGAAACGGGTTTCAAGATGTATTGGTGTTCAGCATCACTGGTGGTATCATTGGACCCATCTGGAATCTATGATGCAGTTATTCGATAATAACAAATCGATTAGATTTGTAAATATACTCCTGCTTCCGTCGGCACTGTACCAAATCGGTATAGACTCGTGTTGCTTCTTCATGCGGTAAGCCTGCAAGAGATCGCGCATCGGTGTTCCAATACACTGAAAGCGAGTGCAACGTTGCAAGCTGTATCGATGTCATTAGAACTCAGAACTTTATGCAAAAAACCCACAGCAACTTCACTAACACGAAAGTCATCTACTTACCTTGTGGATCGTGTTGGTCATCTCATTAATAAATGTCGGATGCCACTCACCATCAGTAGATACGGCAGATAGTTCCTTCAACGTGATGCCCGCAGCAAAGGGGTGACCTGGATCAGACACGTTATCCTCGAATCGCAAATGAATATTCTTGATGGAAACTTGCAGATTATCGACAATCTTGGTCGTGAGCTGGCTGATGAAACCATCATTTCCTTCATCTGATTGATCTTTTTGTTCGCCTTGTTTAGACGATTTGCTTATAAGATCTGCAGTGTCTAATCTGCGCTGCTTAAGCGATTGGGCACGTTCTTCCTCCTCTTCCAAAGATATCTACGTGTACGACATAATGGATTCAAACTTCAAATGACAGAACACCACAACAGCTCTTTTGCGTAGTTACACTGTTACATACCGATGTTTCTGTTTTTGGCACTGCCAGCAAGTACACATTTTCTACAAAAACTTTGACAGGCTTTGTTTTCAAGTTTGACCAAGGGATACTTAACGTAAGCTGTCCAAGGTATCCTATAAATTCGATGTTGTACGAAAGGGTTAGTTTTAAAAAAGAACGGAAAATAGGAGGATCGTTAAACCGCAATATATTTGAAACAGCTTAAGGCTATTCTTTTCTGTACCTTCCAAAACATCAATGGGGAGATCAAGTTTGTCAAGTGCTTCTCGCCGAAGTTTCAAATCTCGAAGATTCGCCTCCCCTGGTTGAATTCGTTGACTGCATAAGTAAACTTATATTTTTTTTTTCGCACGAGTAATCGTAAAAGCACAGGTCATACACTTTCACTATAGCATCTCGAAATACCGAGAGCAAAAGGGCAGGCTTACCATTCCAAATACCAATATTAAGCTGATCGTAATTTAAATTGGAAACGTAATTTCCCAGGAACCGATTAAGGATGGACGCGACTAGAGACTCCAACATTTAAAATTAATGGTTGCAGCAAAGAAGTTCCGTGTCACCGCTTTGCGGCTGTTGCTCGATTTTGGCAACTCGCCAACTCAAGCATGATCATCGTGACGTCCATAAATACCAACTATTTTTGGAAACTTACTATGCCAGTTTGCTCTGATAGTACTTGACCATTCAACTGAAAAGTGACGTACAGTGAGGCACCCATATATCGGTATTTAGTTTATCTTCAAGAATCGAGTTCTAACATCAAGCTGTTACATTCATGGTCGTTTTATTTACCGTCGTTCAAATAAAAGTTGCAATAATGATGATAAAGTGAGTCTATTGCAAATGTTGGTTTTGCCTGTAGAACACTGTAGAAACGAATTACTATTTCGATCGTCGTTGCATATCAAGTCATGAGAACTGTGAGTCCTTTTGGTTGGCAACAATGGGTCCGCTGAAATGACATAATGACACATTATTGTGCGTCTTCTTTGATAAGCATTACTTAGTGATGGTGCTGTGTTATATATCTGGACGACGATCTTACTGTGCAAACATAGTGTACGTTACGTCTACAGCGTGACACGATGATGCTGATGAGTGTTAAGGATTGGTATTTTCTCCTAAGACATATGCTGGACACATAAAATGTCTAGTATATAAAAGTAGTTTACCGTGATTCTCGTTTTTCTTTACAGAGTTGTAGAAACTACAGTGTGGCAGGAGGAGGAGTTACTAGCATGCGTTGTTTTATTTTTAATGAGAAAGTTATTTTTTGTTTGGAGTCTCTTTCAATAGCATGATCCTTCTTTTTCTGAAATGATAAATCTATCTAAAAGTGTGCCCACTGACGTCTAATAATACTGCCACATTACAGCTCCCTTGAACTTTTTTTAGAATATGTTTTCTCCTTGTACATAGGCTGCAAAGAACAAGAAATCAAAGAAAATGAATGCGATTAAGTTGCAATAACTCAGGACGCAAAAAAAGAGAGACTGTTATATGAGAATAATGTGGTCTCATAACAAAATACTTAAAAGACCGTTAAATCAAGTTTGTTACATAAAATACAAATGTCTGTAGCTGGATAGTGATGGCCGTATGATAGCAAGAGGGGTAAACCACAATGAATAACTGAATGACAGCTGACTCGATATGTTATATACATCGAAAAAACCGCTGTATGATTGCTCGAACTGATACTACCAATGTAATAACGAACAGGCAGCTACTACTACTATAGACAAATGAAGTATTGTGTTAATACTAACGTATCGGGAATATATACTTCACTTATGGTAGAAGCAATCAGCTTTCGGAAGGAACGGTATTATGAAGGTTGCTTGTGGATATAATAGCGCTGACGGTGATCAGTGCTTTATCATTATTGGAACAATAGAATGTATATGTAGTCGCTGCTCGCTGCTCGCTACTCACTCGCTGCCTTGCAAAGCAAAATGATGATGGACCGGCTTCGGGTTATACAAATTGAAAAGTTATAATGGAAGACAAGGTGGCATGCACCATTGCCGGATCTATGCAGTAGTCGCTTCCTTGCAGTACGATAATCATGATTAGGAAAATAATAACTGATAAAGTAATGTTTCCATAACTGAAAAAAATCCCTCACTTGGTGGAAAATGTTTTGTATGGATGAATTATGAATGGGGATAATTATTTAGTATATTTAGTCTAAGATATCCTCTAATGTCGGCTCATTGCTGGCATCATAATTATCGGTCCAGTCTATATCTAGGTTGACCATGATCAGTGCTGGCCAGGTCTCATTCCATTTGCCGCGTAATAGGCCGGCGCTCGATTACATTGTCGAGATCCAGTTATGTTACCGACTCAGTATTATAGAAGATTCCACACTTATACCGCATGCATCAATAATGTTGTCACGCTAATGCTTTCTATTGATACGTTTCATTGGATAATATGAAAAGGAATGAACTTTTCTGATGTTGTCAATCAACTGATACCAGCTAAATATACTGTAGTGGCTTGATAATCTCTGTGCAAAGCTTTTCCTATCAGTAATATATCATATGAAGACGATTACCTCACGAAATCATTACACTTTGGGTAAATGGCCCAGTATATAACGCTCGTCCCACATCTGGTTATTCACTCAAGGATATTATAGAAATTTGATTTTCTGGGTTTCCCTGCAGTAACCAAAACAGCAGATCATCTTTACAATATATAGCAGGTTAGTTACCTGTTTGAGATACGACGCGAGAAATTGTAAGCTCTGTAAATAGTGCTGCTGTCGCCATCGCCGTGGCGGTATGCATATACTAAACTTTTCATTATAAAGTAAGTAGCAATATCAGATAACATCAGAATACCCCAAGCCGAAAAAAATCAATGAATGACAACACAAACAATACTGTAGCTCATTTATTATTTAAGGGTACCCATTCATATCTTTACGATAACCTCATTGTATTGAACAAATATAAAAAGAGCCAAATCGAAGACAAACTGCACCATAGCATTTTAATACTCTTATCTCCACCTATAATAAGCTTCATTTTTCTTGCACTTGCGACCAGATATGGCTGAATTCTATCCTACTCCTCCTCCTTCTCGCCAGCCGCGAACCATGGCATCCTCGGGATCACGTCAATTGGCATTCACTAAGCTGTTGGAAGAACCATCTCGAATTACCTTTCGAACATCCACTCGCGCTGCCGGCCCAAGTCAGCGCACCCTTTGTGCACCCTATCCCTACAAAGCCTGGTACGTATCGAGAGATTTATTTCCGCATGACATTTTGTCTTTTTGGCATTTTTACTGATCTGTCTTTATTTCTTTTTTGGTCAGAGAAACTGCTCAAAACTCTGATGAAGTATCTTCGACATAGATGACGCTTCTTTTGTGGAGCTGCGCTTCTCACCTTTCTTTGTATTGCTATGGCATTTTTTCATAAACCCGTTGTAGAAGTATATAGTAGCTCTATGAGCACTCACTAATAAACCAAAAGATTCTTCCAACATCCAATTTTTTTTAGGGAGGTTACAAATGTTGGGAGAAGGAGTTCATGTGAAGTGACAACATCTTCTATTGCAAAAGGACGCTAACACATCCGCAGAATTCACGCACATTTTGTTCTATGCCTTTATACTCGAAGTAAAACCATGAAATAATGTTGGACCTAGCATATATTTCTGTAAGGTTACCCCAGAGATGACTTTAGGCTATTTCTGTCACACGTTTATGTAGCAGCCTCGGCCATTTCGAACTCAACTACTTCTTGTAGAAAAATCATTAAAGCGTCTTTTTTTTTCTTTTATTTTTCTGTACGATCTCGACGCCGATCCTACGATAATGAAACGAGTAGTCACTTTTCAGGAGAACGATGCTTCGGCACAAGATATAAAGCTCTCAGATTTTGCACAAGCTTCCACGATCACAGAACGATCGCCAAAGAAGCAAAAGCATAACAACTATTATAAACATAACGACAAGAGTAATAAAGCCGATCGTGCGCACATTAAAGCAAAAAGAAAAGAAATGCTAGACTTTCGAAAACAGCTGCCCATTTACTCAGGTATATTTACAGCAAAATGACTCTACAACGATTACCAGCTTAATACTTAACAATCGCTTTCGGATCGATCAGGTCGCGATGCTATTATGAAAGCGATTCAAGACAACCCAGCTGTCATCGTCATGGGCGAGACTGGCAGTGGCAAAACTACTCGTACGTGTTCTTTGCTGTGCTGATATGTGTAAAGAGAAAAAATTACTAAAAAGATTAATGGAAGATTTGCTTTTATAGAGATACCACAATTTATCAAGGAGGCTGGCATGATCTCGGATAAGCTTGGAGGTGTGGCTATTACCCAACCCAGACGAGTGGCTGCTGTCAATTTGGCCAAGCGTGTCGCTGAGGAAACTGTAACAAAGTTGGGAGGGCAGGTAAAAAGCATAGATTATTCTGAATGACGATCATCTGTGCAGTTTGACTCATGCATGACTATGGAACTGTTTCTAGGTTGGTTACACGGTTCGTTTCGACGATACATCTAGCCCTCACACAATCATCAAATACTTGACCGACGGTATGCTTCTTCGTGAAATATTATCGGACGAGCTATTATTACGATATAAAGTCATTGTTTTGGACGAAGCACACGAACGTACGCTAAGAACGGATATGCTGTTTGGTATGGTCAAGAACATTCAGCGGATACGACATGAAAAGGCGCAAAACGGCGAAGATATCGAGGAATTGAAGATTGTAGTGATGAGTGCTACACTGGATGCTGAGAAGTTCAGCGAGTTTTTTGATGGGTAAGGATATGAGTTGATTTGTACGAGTGTGCTATGTACGAGTATGGCGGGAGCTTATCTGCTGCTGCATAAACATCAACGTACACTAAGCAAATGTGTTTCTGTATCATACAGTGCAAAGATTCTTTACGTGTCTGGTCGATTACATCCTGTCGATACATTCTTCACGCAGGAACCGCAGGCGGACTATCTCGACGCAGCACTTGTTAGTATATTTCAGATACATACCAAGAACCCGCTTGGCGATGTTCTTATTTTCCTTCCAGGTAACATTTAAGGTTTTGCAGCCAATTGATGCACATTAAAAATATGCTCATGCAAAGAATTTTAGGTCAGGAGGCTATTGAGACCCTTACAGGTTTGGTGAATGACTATGCGAAACAGCTACGAGGAAAGCAGCAGAAATTGCTCCCCTGTCCCCTGTTTGCTGCCCTGCCGCCATCACAGCAGCAAAAAGTTTTCGATCCTGCACCAGCCAATACCCGCAAAGTCATCTTGGCCACGAATATCGCAGAAACGAGTATTACTATACCTGGAATCAAGTATGTCGTGGATTGTGGTCTAGCAAAGATGCGAGGATTCAACCCCAAGATTGGAGTAGAATCGCTTTTATTGCATCCCATTTCAAAAAGCTCAGCATGGCAGCGCACAGGTCGTGCTGGAAGAGAGGTATTGCTACAAAAGTGGATGAATATGAAGAAATGCATTACAAAATTAATGCAATAGATGAGCTAATCTGACGACGAATCAAATTTTAGCGTGCCGGTGTATGCTATCGATTATACACAGAGCAAACGTTTCGCGAGCTTGACGATGACACAGTACCAGAAATCCGACGCTGCAACCTTGCTGCTGCTGTTCTTTCATTAAAGGCTTCCGGTATCGACAACGTTTTGGAATTCGATTACATGGATCGACCTTCAAGAACATCACGTAAGTCTTGAGCTCGAAGTTGTACGAGAACTTTGACTGGATCGTTGTCTGGTTTCATACATAGCGATAACCATTTGACCTTTTTTGGCATAGTGGTACGGGCACTTGAAGAACTGTATGCATTAGGTGCAATCGATGACACTGGCAAGCTGTCTCCCCTCGGACGCAAGATGTCTGAGTTCCCGCTTGATCCTGCTTTCTCTAAAGTGCTGATCAAGTCTGCTGAGTACGGCTGCACAATGGAAGTGGTTGCCATCATCTCCTTGTTGTCAGTTGATACGATCTTTTTCACGCCATCCGACAAGCGAGAGCAAGCTGCTGAAGTCCGCCGCAAGTTTTTACATCCAGACGGTGACCATCTGACACTTTTAAACGTCCTCAAGGGGTATTGGGAAGTCAAAGGGGATGCAGAATGGTGTAAAGAAAACTTCATCAATATCCGGAATGTCAAAGTCGCATTGGAAGTCAGAGAGCAGCTGGTCCGTTTCTGTGAGCGACTCGATATCCCACCAGCAACCACATGCGGCACAGAGACAGAGTCGGTCTTGAAATGCTTTTTGACAGGCTTCTTTCGGAATACCGCGCTGTTGCAACCAGACGGCTCATACAAAAGCGTGGCCGGCAATCAGCCTGTCAAGATCCACCCTGGTTCGGCGATGTTCGGTAAACGGGTGGAAGGCATCATGTACAACGAATTGGTAAGGCTATATGACATGCACACAGTTTTGTTCGCTGTAAATCCGATTGATGCGGCCCTACTAATCCGCGTTTTTGCAGGTTTTTACTACAAAACATTATGTCCGCGGTGTCTCAGCAATTCAATCGGCTTGGTTACCTCAAGCTGCGCCAAAATATTTCAATAATAAAGCACTCTAATTCATTAGACAGACGCACACGAAACTTGAGAACATGTTTCGGTGACCGCTGGAAGCAAACATGTATGTCATGCTGTGTGCAAGGAATTTCTATATCCCTTATACGATATGCACACCATGCCTTTAGTCCAAGGGGCTGGAAAGGGTTATACAGTTATAGTCAGGAAGTCAAAAGTATATAGCTATTTCTTTGGTGATTTAAAGAAACATGCATGATTTGGCGCTTGATCAATTTTACTGCATTGACAAGTGCGTCTGAGCTAAAACATCTGCTATTACTTACTACAGTAACTCACAGGGAGCTACAGCACCTCACTACGGGATACTATGATGTTCACTGCATATCAACGCTCTTAAAGAACACCCTTAATAAATGTTGTTGATATCAATCTTGTAGAGTGTGTGTTTTCTCATTTGAAGGAGGAAAGAAGGGGTACTGTGATCCTTCCCCTGCCACTGTGTTGCCTGTCTTCACATATAAATAGTGAACCTCTTTCATTATACTGCTTACAGAAATTTTGATACCTTTACTGTCAGCTACAAGTATCTCAATATGCGTTTTGGAACCATCCTTACACTCTCTGCCCTTGCTGTTGTTGCTTCCGCCCAAGCCCAGATTATGACTGGCAATGGTCAATCTCGCGTTGAAGAAGGCACTCCGGCCCTATTTGGCAAAGGAGGAATTTGCGGTGGCGGTAATCCGACTGGCACTGCTTCCCACCAGAACAAGCTTGTGGATACCAATGGTTTCCAAAAGGTCGTCTATCCCGCGAAGGTTGCTGTTGCGCTCAAAGCTGTGAAGAAAAACAGACTCAGCTTTGCAAAGAGGCGATATGAACGCGACGAGAACGAGCGAGACGAAAATGAACGTGACGAGAATGAGCGCGACGAGCATGAACGTGGCGAAAATGAGCGCGACGAAAACGAACGTGGCGAAAATGAGCGCGACGAGCATGAACGTGGCGAAAATGAACGTGACGAAAATGAACGCGACGAAAATTAAATTGACGAAAACGAACCTGACTAGCACCTCAGTAAAGTCCATACGGGCGTACTTTAATGATCCTATATATAATTTTATAATGATTTTTTACAGCATTATTGTTGAGTAGTATTAGCCGTAATTCGTTTTTATTTTAGAAAGCAATACCTTTATCATAATTTAAAAGATTATCGCATTGTGAAATTTCTCCTTAATATAATACATACGCGTTTATTATTATTTCTGTTTCGATGTCTTATCATAAATAATATTATTACAAAGATGCTGCGAGTTCTATTTTGCTCAACATCATTGCGTATGTAACTTTACATAGCTAACTTTGCTGTCAATATATCATTATTGATAAGCAGTATACAGAATGCGAACAGATAAAGTTTTTCGCTTTTTAGCAACAGAAGCTGCGATCACAAAACAAACGACTTATATACAGTAGATCGTAAGTTTGCGGTAAGAAGGATAGCCGTCTTACAGAAGGAGAATAGAGAGGTTAATGTTAGATGGCAATCGCTATTGCACTTCAAAGCACACAATACCTCACGTCGTCCTACCTCTTTTCTCATCTTTTTAAAGTATTATCACTTGTAAATTCCTTCTTATTATATCATCAATCCCATAGATGTTTAATTTTAAATATGCGTTCGAAACGTGTTTAAATGAATAGCAACCTTAAATTATTATATCACCATTACGCAAAGAAATCCATTACGTACCGGTGTCGAAGCTCTATAGAAATTATAAACATATAGGTACGTAGTATGCTGAAACCAGGAGGTTGAGATGTAGTAGCAAATCTGTTGTCGGCCCGTGTCAATTGTCATAAGCATGTTTTTTCAACCCTTTTTTTGTTCGTCCCCTCGATGCTTATCGAAGCCTGAAGTGGTAGGAAAGGTTGGAAGAGTCGATCTGGAAATGTATTCTCGGTATGTACATGATAAGACAGATAGCTAAAGATACGACTATAATGCCGCTTAATGGAATGCTTAGTAGCGCTTCCATAACTTAGGCGATGGTCGATCACGGTTTACATGCAAGTTTTTACAACAAACTTTATGTACATATGTACGCGACGCTTCTCACCGAAAATTATTTCTATGAATGCGTGTGCTGCTGCTTTATTATTATGGTTAGTAATAGCATCCAAAAAGAAATTCTCAATATTGCCATCTCATTTTCCTTGATGATGGCGATATTCTATATGTTTATAACGTTAATGGGCGCTATTTATTTGTACCATAGTGATAAGAAAAAAGAACAATCGATGTGCAAAAAGAATAAAAAAAGACTTTACAACAACAGCGAAAGAAACATAGATGCATTATATGTAATAATAACCTAGCACCAGGAGGAACAGAAGGAGTACATGATGCTATATTCCGCGATACAACGCTTCTTCAAAGGGGAGCATGCATATAGTATGATGTTGAATGTTATGACTTGGTTGAAGTTGTAGCACTTTACGCTTGGAGACTTGGACAAAGAAAGATCACTTTGATAAACAATCATGTGCAGCACCCTGCGTACATAGTATACTGGTTCATGATCAGCCGCCTATTGGAATGTTTCAAATACATGATGTCTGCTGAGCTGTTTTGTTGACTATGTCAACAATATGCGGGCAATCACTGCTGCTATGTTGTTGGAGTTCCTGATTGAACTTAACAGCATCATTCCTTCGTTTTTCAATGGCGAACAGTAAGTTCAGGGAAGAATGTGATTCATTGTATAACTCGCGACAATTAGATAACAAAGCGAAGTGCGTGTAGATGTAAAGTAAGCTGTACAAATGTGCACAGGGCAATGTTACCTCCGTGTTGATTTTAGTTTCATTTACTAATGAGCACCGGGCAAGCATAATTTTTATTCTTACTCTTTTTTATCTAGCAAAGATTTAAGGGGTAGGAAGGGGTTGTAATACTTTGACTCTAAACCCTACTAAACACGAAGAATAATTCAATGTAATGAATCAGCTATATAGCACCATAAAAGTGGAATGGTGGCAGATGGGCGTATGTACTTTTTGAGGAAAGCAACCGCATCCGTCTTGTATATAAAAGGGCTCAAAAGAGTCCCAGATACTCAGTAGACCATCATCTCCACTACTTACAACCATATCTTTCAGTGAAATCTCTCAAAATGCGTTTCGGAGCTATCCTAACATTTTCTGCAATCGCTGCCATTGCTTCTACCGTCCAAGCTGATTATGCTCCTAATGTTGCCTCGAGGGAACCTAGCATTAGCCCGAGAGAACCTGGTGTAGCAAACAATCCATATACAGACGGCTCGGTCGAGGCTGCTAGCGCGATGAACGTGGTGCGACGAAATATACTCAGCCTTACAAAGAGAGATGAGCCAAAGGAAAACGAAAACGAACAGAAGGAAAACGAACAGAAGGAAAACGAACAGAAGGAAAACGAACCAAAGGAAAACGAACCAAAGGAAAACGAACCAAAGGAAAACGAACCAAAGGAAATCGAAAAAAACGAAGTCGATAATGGCAAGCGCAAGCGCAGCTTGGCCAAGCGAGCAGAACGGGACGAGAACGAACATGAAGCTGATGAAAAGGACAACGAGCCAGAAGAAAACGAAAAGGACGAGAACGATAACGGCAAGCGCAAGCGCAGCTTAGCCAAGCGAGGAGAACGGGACGAGAACGAGCCCGATGAGAACGAGAATGAGCCTGATGAGAACGAAGCTGACGAGAAATAGAATTCTCACCGCTACATATTGCTTATCTAATTCTACTATGTGTGCTGCTATCACTTTCTTGAATATCATACATCATCATATAATATTTTGCCATCGCTTGTTGCAATAAAGATCATCAACCAGGATATATACCATTGAATCATATCGTTAGTCATAGCAGCTGCCTCCCAATTCCTTTCTTTTGATGTATGTATGATCGTCTATTCGGAATATGGAGGAGGCTATAAACTTCTGCTAGATTATGAAAGCGTAAACACCGTGCGGTCAGTCAGGCTGAGACAGGGTCACATATTGAGTTTCTGTACGACGTTGCAGATAATGTGTGCTTGAGTGGGCGGCCTTTTCTTGAGCACGAGAACACTTTAAATAGGGCTGCATACCGCCTGTGCGGATCAATCTGTTGCCCGTGTTTTTTTACCCGGCCTCGAAACATGGAGTACAGTTCTGATGATGGCACGTTTTACGATGCAAAGAACAGTACGGTCACGCTCACGCCTGTTCCTGACTCCCAAAAACAGAAGCAACAGCAAGACGTTAAAAAACACCAGTTGAACAACACTGCCACCATCAACGCTCCCGCCACCATGGTTCGAAAGCATACAACAGATAGCACTAGCAGCAGTGCAGTTGTTACTACTGCACCACATCGATTACATCGTAATTCGATTACCGTCGGTCCTGATTGGCGAACGTCTGAAAGTCGTATGTATGTTTCCTCTATCATATCCTTCTATCATAATTTCAAATTGTACTCGCCAAGCTGAAATTTAAATCCTCCGTTTTGTTTGTTTGGCAATTATCTTTTCTTCAGCTTCATGGGGTGACAACAGTAGCGGTACCAATCTTGATACAACGGCAACGACAAACGCACAACAGGCAACGCTATCAAATGAACCGCCACGACATCATCAACAACAGGCACAACCTTCGTTGGAAATAACTATGCCGTTGCAAGCACCACCACCATCATCATCATCACGTACGCTTCGATCGCAAAAGAGTAAACTCAGTATGATGAGCACGGGAAATAATAATAATAATAATAACAAAAGTAACGAATCTCGTCAGGCTGAGCATACGGGGTAAGTCTTTTAATTTCCCTAGCAATATATTGCACACACACAATCTATAGACAGAAAGATGAGTGGCTATGCTTATTTTTAAAGAATGATTGCAGTAGCGATAAAAAGGGGAAAAAGAGTTTTCTGGAGCGAATTGGTCTTCGTCGGCGAAAAAAGACGAATGAATCTTCTACAAAAGACGAGGATGACCCTGATACAATAGCGGCGGACGAGGATGATGTATCAGAACACAGTACGGGGACAACATCATCATCAGAATCCATAGCTGGGCGGAATAGCACAGAGTCGAGTCGGTCAGGCACGCTACACATGCCAAATGCACTTGGCACCCTTCGCGATCACTTTCCTCATATTGGGCTGCCTGTTAAGGTAAGAGAAAATAAACAGCAAGAATCCCTTCGCTACTTATGGATTTAATGCTAAAGCGGACCATGTATCCTCTTCGTTTTTTGAAGGTCAAGTCCAAGAACAAATCCAACCATGAGCTCTCTCGATTGTGTTTGGCTCAGACCCTCACACTTTTACCTCGATCAATAAACAGCAGTCAGGCTAGACGACCTTCACATGATACCCAGGAGCACTCTCATAGTCAGAGCTTCGCACATGGTGCAACATGGACAATGATGTTTAGCAAGGATGGGAAATACATGGCTTCGGCTGGACAATTCTGCAACATTCATGTATGGAAAGTGCTAGATCACGCATACAATGGGGAGGATAGCGAGGAAAAAGAAACGATCCATGTGTTTGAGGATACTCCCCTACGCGAGTATCGCGGTCATCTTGCGGATGTTCTTGATATTAGCTGGTCAAGGGTACGAAGGAAAAAGAAAACAAAGGAAGGGATTACAATAATGTCTCCAAAATCAATGCTAACATCATTGCTTCTAGAACAATTTCATTATCTCGGCTTCAATGGATAAGACTGTAAGGTTGTGGCATGTGTCAAGGGAGGAATGCTTAGGTGTGTTTCCCCATCTGGACATTGTTACATCTGTGTGCTTCCATCCCAAGGTACATATCTTGTATTTCCTACGGAGAGAAAACATCACGGTAGAACGACTCTTGACGACGCACATATTAACCCTTTTATATCGGATTTCATAGGATGACTGCTTCTTTCTATCTGGATCACTTGATAGCAGATTACGGTTGTGGAACATTTCGGATAAAAAAGTGGCATTTTGGAACGAAGTGCCGAATGGAAACCTAATAACGGCCATTGGATTCACACTGGATGGCAAGACCGCATGTGCTGGATCACAGATAGGCCAATGCTTTTTCTACGAGACGCAAGGTCTTCGATACAACACACAAATCAATATAAGGTTTAGCAAGCGTACGTCGAAAAAGGGCCGCAAGATTACTGGTATTGAAGCTATGCCGGGCTTGCTTCCAGGTGACGAAAAGATGCTCATCACAAGCAACGATTCAAGGACGCGTTTATATAACATGCGGGACAAGAGTCTCATGTACAAATACAAAGGCGCGCACAACCATTCAATGCAAATTCGTGCCACATTCAGGTACACATTGTGTTACACATGTCAAACTAAGAAAGGCCCAGCATTATTGACTTGTAAATACTGTTAGTGATGATGGACGGAATATTGTGAGCGGATCTGAGGATGGCAATGTATATATCTGGGTGACAGAGCCAATCATGTATTCACCATTCCATCATTGGCAAGGAACTGAAGTAGCGCTCGGCGAGTTCGATGCAAACGACGACGAGCATTTTCGGACGAGTGCTGGTGGCAGCAATGTTGCCAATGGTCAACAGCACCACACATCCACACCAAGTTCGACGCGTGTGCCTGGATGGCTTAAGCGCAACAGCGAGAAACAAACCGACAAGTTACGTAGTCATAGTGAATACTTTGAAGCGCATCAACATGTTGCCACAGTTGCCACGTTTGCACCAACACGAACACGGCAAGCTTTAGCTAGAACCGGACGTGATACCATTTATAACCATACCCCGATTGATCCAGCCCTTGAAGATCTTCGTCAGCGCCGATGGAAGGCCAAGAACCATGAAGAGATTCGCTTGATGCGACGTTCATTCTCGGGCACTGATTTTGGGATGCACCGCTTATGCCTCACGCAGAATGATCAGCTCAGCAGCGATGAAGACGATGACGGCATCAGACCGGAGGAGCAGGAGGAAGAAAAAGAGGAGTGGTGGGGCGAACTGCGGGGTAAGTACAGTTATCCAGACGGGCAGATTATTGTTTCCGCAAATGACACGGGCTGTATCAAGGTATGGCGCATGGATTCTGGCGTCTATGATGAAGTTCTCATTCAAAAGCAAAAGCGGCCACGGAATATGCATCGGAAGAGCAGCAGTCTCGATCATGTTATAAACCATCATCATCCGCCCAGTACAAGCTCGCACAGATCCAATGAATCTTCAAAGTCAAAGACACGGCCGCACATAGGACATCTTCTCTATTCTACGGGCCGATCGAAATAATCTCTTGCCATATACCCCCGCCCCTTTACCTACTTTAGTTTTTCTTGTTTCTTACATGTATAGACATCTTCCCCATCCCTGTAATAGCCTTGTAGTTTTGCTTTTCTCTTTGCTCTCGGGTCAGCATGAATCCTAATAATAATGTCTAAAAAGTATGTAGCACGCACACAACTTCCTTTTATGACATTGCCATCACAATATACAAGGCATGCATATCCAGGGACGCACATCACTTAAACAGAGCATCCAACAAAAGTGTGTAAACAGAACAGCATACAGTTCTTTTGATGGTTTGAAGAGCATGTGGGGAGGAGAATGAGTAAAGTTTATCTACAGAATAGTACTACATGAATGATGAAATAAGAAGGGACAATACAGAGGGGAAAACAGGAGGAGCTTGACGAGAACAGGACTACAAAGAAAAATTTGGAGGAGGGTAATATTATAGATCATACATGCATCTAATCACGGCAAAGCATAGCAATCAAGGCACCGCCAATGCTTCCGCCGTCTCTAGCGATTTCAAGCTTGATCTTATCCGTCACATCGGCACCAAACCATTCGCGCAGAGCGCACCGTAAACGATCGGCCATGTGGGGATAGAACTCGTAAGTGGATCCGGTGATACCAACGACAATTTCAGGCTGGTCCAGCAACTGCTGCTGTTGAATCAAGGATGCGATGGCGACAGAAGCCAAATAAGCGCTACGAGTTGCAACAATGCGGCAAATGCGGGTCAGAATGGCCATATCCTGCAGAGTGGGCATGTGCAGAAAGTGGAAATTGCTCAGAATCTCCATACCCTTTTCACGGTTCAACGAGTCAGCTTCTGCTTCCAGTGCGCTCATGTAGGCCGTTGGGAATGACCAAAGCTCTTCCAGACCCTCGGGCACCACGCCGCCAAACAGCAGGTCGGCCTTGATAAAATCAATTGCAATCAGACGAACCAGCTCGCCCAGGTAGGCACCTGACACCATCTTTTCGTAAATTTGGAATTTGGGTTGGTTGTGGCTGGCATCCAGTGCCAGGTCATACTTTGTCAGCGGCAGATAGCTTTCATTTCCGAAAATATCTATTTCGGCGTTGATAAGCATTTCTGTGCCTGGAGGATACTTGTTCCGTACAGCAGAGTCCATCTTTTCGATGGCCTCTACCTTTTCAGGGTAGGCACTGTTGATGCCGGTAGCATAGATCAGTCCAATACGGGCCTTTGGATTGCTATAGGCATGTGCAACCAGGGTGCCCACTGTGTCGTTCAAGATGGCCCGCACTTTAACGTTCAATGACTTTTAACAGCAAAGATCGAATGTCAGATCAGTATTGATACTCGACTCATTTCTCACGCATTTCACATTTCCACACGCTACCCTCTCTCTGTCTATCTTTCAAGATGAAAATCTGTATGCACAAACCTTGCGCTCGAAAGCTTGTTGAAACATATCAGCCAGATCATGACCCTCTGTTTCTTGAAGGGTAAAGCCTTTGCCCATTCGAAGGATCACGCCTCGATCCACAGCCGACTGACTATGATTATCAAAGGAAAAGCCTAAATTAGATCCAACGCCTTCCTTGCTAATTTTCTAATATTTTTTTTACCTGAATACTCACTCTACGGGGAAACTCCAGCATACACCCAAGGACAAGGTTACTTCACCGCGTACCTGTGCCTCGGTGAAAAGGTGGGGTGCCTTGACGGTAATCAGCTCCTTTACAGCATCGGCAATCCAGTCAAAGAATGCAGCACCAGCGCCCGTTTTGAGTTCTTGCGAGGGCGATTGCTTCAGTTCCAGGACACGGACCTGACCATTGCCGAGCAGCTCGACAGCAGAAATGCGCAAGTTGGTTCCTCCAAGATCAAGCGATAAAAAGGACCCTGTTTCGTTTCCCTTGGGCAACTTTGTGACGAAGGACGGAATCATGGTGGCAAGGCCCCTTGAGGGGGTCTTGAGGCCGTGCTTGTACTCGTTGGCGAAACCACTGACAATGGGGGCGAGTTTTTCCTTGGACAGCAGAAAGTCTCGCTCCAGGTTTTGAAACAGTGCATCAGTCATATTTAAAATATAGAGTCACAATACTAAACGAGTGGTGGGTGTGCAACGTTGGTTGGTATGTGGGTGTGAATGGAGGTGCGCTTATGTGTGGGAGTGTGCGTGGGGCAGCTGGAGCTGGAAGTGCTTTTGGTTTCCTATAGAAGCAGGAGGAGATAAAGGAAAAGGCTTGTGTTTTTATTCTTGGCGGGCTCTTCTTTTGCCTTGACCCTTTTTATGAGAAAAAAAGAGAATAAAAAAAACGAGTGGAGGAGGGAAGATTATAATGGGAAGGCAGGTCGACAATGTTTCGGGAATGGGTGCAATCCAGAGCCAATTACCTACGCCCCACCGTCGGAAAATACAGCGACGATGACCCTTATGAACCCTTTTCGGTGCCTAACTCAGAACATATCCGCGCTGACCAAAAAAAAAAAGGGCGGGGTTCGTTGTGCATTTAGGACCCGCATTTCATCCCATCTTTTTTGTCATGGCATCTTTCGTTCCAAGTTAAGAGGGGAAGATACGGAGGTACAATAGTGAACCAAGAAAGACACGGTAGAATATATAAAAGTTAGAAAAAAGCTGTCATGCATGCATACGCCTTGTATTATACAGGTCTCCACTTTTTTGGAGTGAAAGAATATGCACGATCCTACTCCGTAGCCAAACTGGGCCTTACGTAATCCGAACCCTTCTCGACCGGGGCCCAAATCAACAAAATGGACCCTGGAAAACATACGTAATGATCACAAACACACGAATAATCCGTCCCCGGAAAAAAGTGTGTGCTTGTTCAACAAAACGTGAGTAAACTTGATTGACCCAACAAAGAAGAGCTCAAATAGGTATTGATTTCGCTTGATTACAAACAGGAAAAGAACTAATATGGCGATGCACGAAGCTAAATATGACATACTACCCACTTTGTTGTTACTACGTTACGGTGCTTTATTATAATGTAGTTACTACTTGCTGATCATTTGTTGCTAAGGCAACCAGCAAAACGGTATTCTGATTGATCATTACCTTCTCACATGGTATAGCTCTATAAAAAAAAATATAACCGGTTACAACAACTTCCCAGAAACAACAAGCTGGAATTCCGAGAAAAGCCACATTCCGTTTTTCATTGATACCGCAGAAGATCATGATGGACATTGCATATCGGATATGCACTCGATACGTACATCAGCAGCGCAGCTATGAGAACATCCAGCCAACGGCTGGCATCATCGTTGCTAAGCTGTATTCCCTACCCCTAGACGACCCCACACCATCAACCCCTTTAATTCCTTGAATCTCCGTAACTGAACTTTAAAAAGGAATGTATATATTATTATTTAATAGTGATATGGATATACTGATATAAATCACACTTCTACGAGGGAGAGTCAAGAAAACTAAAAGACAAAGGTTTGCTATTAAAAGAGGCTGTTCACTTTGAGCTATGATATATGATTACTGCATATGTTTGCTTTCGACAATGGCTCGTGCTTCCTTTTGTGGATCGGCGTGTGCAAACCACACAATCGTCGCGATGCCAAGCAATGCAGCGATGATACAACCAGCCATGGCACCTTTGCCGCGAGCAGTAAAGCCATCGTAAATCAATGTGACACCGCTTGGTGCTCCCGATAAATCCAGTCCTTTCTTGCCCGCCGCATTTCCTGTCGCAGGAATACCACCAGCGGTACACATTTCACTCATAGAAGAAGGCAATGTCATGCGCTGCTGAGCTACATCGGGTGCTTCAACTAAGGTCACTGCAAGACCAGATTCCAAGTGCCACTCAATGTGACAATGAAAGAACTAAACATTACAGTATCAGTCAAGCTTGCTTCGTTATTGGCTAGCAGATTATTGTATTAAAATTATTACCCAGACACCAGGATTATCTGCACGGAAGCGAATAATAGTATAACCTTCTCCGGGCACTCTGATCGTATCACGACGCATCGGATTGGTGGTATTTAAAGTAATTGACGAGTTATTATCGTAATAGCCATCCCCACGTCCAACAACTTGGAATACGTGGCCGTGCAAATGGACTAGTAATACGATATTCTTATTTTAATCGAGTCGTCTTCCATCAAGCTTTTTTTGAAAAAGGTACAGAAATATCATTTAAGAGGGAAAGAAATTAGAGGTAACTTACATGGATGGTCGTTTCCGTCCTTATTATTAAGTACTAGCTGAACCATATCGAGATGCTTCAGGATATGCACACCTGTCTGCGGGCCGTAAACTTCAGAGCTTAACGGGTATTGGCCTTCGGAAAACAATGTATTCAATGTAGGAACCTTGGGGGGTAGATACGGCAAATCATTAAACATTCCTCGATTGATACCGTCTGTGGTGACATCGAAATTGATCTCAAGGTTAATTGAGACATCTGGCTCCACAGCAGCGAGTACCTCGACTGGTTGCAAAATAGTATCATCAAAGGATGTATTGTTGAATGCGATGTTTTGTATAGCCCCAAAGTTGGTATGAGTCTGGTCATAGAAAATGGGTATAGATATATCTAGATGTTATAGCCATATGATGAGTAAAAACTATGCGAGAAAGCAGGTGTATATAGTGAATGAAAAGCTATTGTTGTTCTAAAGTAGCGGTTTACTTACTATACTGCAGAGTATCTGGTAATGAGTCAAGCATTTCAGTATCCATATCAGCATGCATGTAGTAATTCATTGACGTATCATTCTTTGCGGTCACAAGAACAGATACACGTTGTGCAGCAGTGAGCGATACCATGTCCATTGGCTGACGCTGCACTTCGACACCGTCTACTTCGATCACATCCAGAGTGTGATTATCAATGCTGTAGTGGTACGTAACGAATCCAGACATATTAATCAAACGAAGACGGTATGTTTTCCCTGGAGTAAATGTGAGGCTCGCATTTGCATTGTCCATGATAAGACCAGAGTCAGGAATTGCTATATATTTAAGAGAGAAAACGTGTGAAACCAAGAAGTTGAGCTTTCTTTATGCGTCGTATTAATAGGTGATGAAGAATATTGTGTATTAGGTTGACTTACGTTCAGCCCCAGTAGGGTTGTATTCGTTCAAAAAGGTAGCCAAACCCTCGGTGCTCTCAGCGTGGTACCAGTCTGTTGAGGAAGGATTAAAGGGGTAGATAAACGAAGAAAATAAATAAGTGCCTTATATGCAGAAATTCTTGGGGATAGGAATAGCCCATTACCAACTAGTGTGACAGTTCGGTCATAATCATACTGGTAGGTTTCAACTGTATTATGGAGAATTAACGGCGTTCGGAAACCATCCATGTATTGACCCTGTATGATTTACACAAAATGAAAAAGAGAGGTCAAAACACAAGTACATATCTGTTGCTTGAACCATGGTAAGCTAGTAAATTATCATTACCATGTAATGGCTGTGGATCCAATAAGTGCCGTGCTGGGTGATATTAAACTCATAGGTGAAATCGTGGCCCGGTGGAATGGGACTGTACATAACAAATCATCCGGTTATTCTTTTACGCCATGCATGCAGTATCAGAAAGGCAAGGTAGGACTTACCATTGGGTTACCATCGAGGGTCCGTCCATGTAGGCGGTATTGTTTTGGAACATGCCGTGTGAGTGCACAGCGGTTGGCACGTCTAGCGAATTATGTACATTGATGACCAAGGTGTCGTTGATGGTAGCTTCCACTGGTGGTGGCCTATTAAGGATCAAATTCTTCAGCACATGAGCATATTTTTGTTTACGTTTTGCAAGGAAAAGAAGTAGTGGAAGGTAGTGATAGTGGAAGAAGTACTCTTTACTTACGGCCATTGTCCATTAACACCGATCACACGACGTTCTTGTAGACCATCAGGATTAGCATTAGTGTAGGTAATATCCCAGTTGAGCACGACTTGGGCAGCGTTCGCGACGGTAGCAGCTAGAAGAGAAGCAGCCCCAAAGGACTTAAGCAAATACATTGGACAAGTGCGGGGAGGAAGCAACGAAAGAAATGAAAGAAGTTAACCGCTCACAAAGAAGAACTTAATTTATGGACACGTTTTTTTTGGGGAGGGGTGGAGGGAAGTGGTGGGAAGGATGTCGTGATCAATAAGTAATAAAAAACCAGGTGTTGATGGCGTCTCAGTGAGATTTGAGCTAAAATGAGCTTCGTGCAGATAAAAAAAATGTTTTGCTACGATATATTAAGCTATTATCTGTGGCTTGACCATCTAGTAGTACATATTTGATCATTCTCGAGGGGCGATGATGCACGCCCTGATCTGCATGAGAATCGTGGCCCAAGTTACACGAAGAAATTGATCCCGTCCAGCGGCATATACAGAAGGAAACAGGAAAAAAAACTCTGTTCCGTTTGTTTTTTTAACATCATCCTTCTTTCACCTTTTTTTCTTCTACCAGCACTCGGTGCAATTGATGCCCATTACAGACCATGGGCTCCCAGGACGTTTTTTATGTGCCCATCTTCTTTATCATTTTCCGTGAAGTCACTGAAGCCGCCATCATTGTATCGGTGTTGCTGTCGTTCCTTCGACGCATTTTCGACACGCAGTCGCCAGTTTACAAGCGGCTGCGCAAACAAGTTTGGATGGGCACGCTCATCGGCTTTGCCATTTGCGCTGCTATCGGTGCCGCTTTTATCGCCGTCTGGTACACGGTGTTGTCTAACCTCTGGGGCAGTACCGAGCAACTGTGGGAAGCTGCATTTTGCCTTATCGCCGTCATTCTCATCACTGCCATGGGCTTAGCCATGCTCAAGACCGAACGTATGCAAGAGGAATGGAAGGTTAAAATTGCCAAGGCCATTGAGAGTAAAGATGAGGCCAAGGGTATCTCGGGCAAGATCCAAAAGTACTCGTTCTTTGCTCTGCCGTTTATTACAGTTCTTAGAGAAGGTCTTGAAGCTGTCGTATTTATTGGTGGTGTAAGTCGATACAAGAATTATGTGATTGTGTGGCTGTCAATTGTATGTTCATTGGCTTTCTTGTAATTTTAGATCTCGTTGAACGCCTCAGCAAAATCGATCCCGCTTCCAGTGGCCATGGGCCTTCTCTGTGGTGTTCTCGTTGGTTTTCTCATTTACCGTGGTGGCAGTCTAGTACGCCTCAGATGGTTTTTCGTCATTTCAACAATCATCTTATACCTCGTAGCCGCTGGTCTTATGTCACGAGCAATCGGTTTTATCGAGCAGTATGAGTGGAATAAAGTCATTGGTGGCGAATCTGCCGAAGAAGGTGGCGATGTCATTCCATACAAGGTCTCTACAGCCATCTGGCATGTCTCGTGGGGCAATCCTGAGAACAATGACGGTACTACTGGTGGCTACCAAATATTTAATTCGATCTTGGGCTGGAACAACACGGCTACCTACGGAACGATCCTCAGTTACATCCTGTTCTGGCTCCTTGTCATTGCTTTCCTTGTGTACCTCTACTTTGACGAGAAAAAGTCTGCGATTCGTAAAGCAGAGGCCGGAGAATGGGAGGTCGGTGACCTGGCCCTTGAGAATGCAAAGAACTATATTGACGAAACTGGCGAGATTATGGTTGACAACAAGGATGCCGAAGCCAAAGGCGATTATCATGTCGAGCAAGCCATTATCGAGACTAACAGGAAGGAGTAATAATCACTATTTTTAGTAATCTTCCTCCCATCTCCTCTATCATACTCTCCCCCCAAAGTTTTTAGCTGTCTCTCTATTTTTCTATATCCGTATGTTTCCTTCTTACAATATCTTATTTAGCTAGTAGTTATAGAATTTTTCTACCTGATGATATTATTGTCGGTTTTAATAAACCGCCTATTCAAGACTTAATCATTACTATTCGTGAGCAATTTGTCCAAATCTGACATGGTTTACCCAAGTGAGTTTTGTGTGTATAGTGTATTACAATCTAACAACCTACCTGATTCAGCATAACAAAATTAATCATGTGCTTTTAGTGAACCACAGTATCGGTCTGGTCGCGTTCGTCTTAAGCTGCCTATTCTCGATATATTTGATTCGCAGACAGACATACTCGTACTCAGACATTGCATAGTAGATGAACAGATCCATCAATGCCAAGGATGATTATCGTCATCGGCTCCACGGTGCACATGAGGAAGTTCTTTTCAATCTATAAAAGCGATTATATTAGCGTCTATATAATTGATGTAGAAAACAATAAGAATTTTCGATCTTTAAGATGATTTTTCAGTAGCTCCGTATGCAGTTGGTCGCGTCAATATGGTGGGAAGCACACAGCTATCGTGAAACCGGGGAATTAAGGTGCATGTATTACCTATACAGTAGTTGTTTAACCTTCTTCGCAACGTTGTATTTTGTGTAGCAACACATGGCGTACTTCTTTTCTGCACAACTGCAGCAAAAAAAAACAGTTACACGCGTTATTACACACGCCTCCTCCCCTCTTTTGTTAAAGAATCAGACAATCAGAGTGATTATCATCTTCAACTCTAACCCCGCACTTTCCCCTGTACCCATTTCCCACAATTTTTCTTTTTTTGTTTCGATAGTCTTGGACCCGTAAAGTATTAGCTGATGAACATGGTTTAACCGTGATTTTTTACGAACAATAACGATCTTGCTGTACTTGGCATCATCATTACCATCAATAATAGTTAATTTTCCTTGATATGTAAAAAGTGTAGCACAGTTTTCTTATTCTTTCCATTCAGAATCTTCGTCAGCGTATTGACGAAAACGGGGGTCCTTGAAAGGGGTCCTTCTAGCATAAAGGAAAAGCTTTTTCTGTATGTAGAGCAGGTGACAATAAACGGATAATGTAATCCTGCTGATACATACTACATTCTTCGCCGATAGATCAATACTCATTTCAGTGTGTGAAATGTTTTGGACGTTTATTGTATATATTTCTGATGAAACATGTTGGTCACAATGATCAAGCGTCTTAGCAGTAGACTTATCATTAGCTGAATGATGGTCGACTTGAATAATGTCATCTCTCTATGTGCTTCGATTTTCTCCTCTTCAGAGAAAAAGGGATTACATATAGTAAAACTACAAAAATATCCGCTCAAACATGAATGTTTTGGTATATTGATTTGCAGATAAGTACGACCGCAATGTGTTCCTTCGGATTCTTGCCAACATTGTTGTTGCATAACTCATCCACTATTTTTGCGTGCCTTTTGTCATATCATAATAGCAATTGTATAACAAGAAATGTATTTGTATATACATGTCTGATCTGGTCATTCAGATGCTACAAAGTCACGCAACAGTGTATCTGTTGATCTATGAATAAGGTACTCTTTCTTCTATCTTGAAGTATCCATAGCACAGGCTTTCATCCTTAAACACGATTTGAAAAGCATTATACTGATTGTTTGTCCAAACAGTTTTTTATCAAGAAAGTCTTAGGAGGAAAATTATCGTTTAGCCTTTTGCTATATATGATCACAGCAACAAAGTATAGTAAGTATGTATTTTTAGATGTATTCGAATCAACTTATTAATTCGTTAGGTATCATAGAAAACGTATCATTTTCAGTATATCAGTTTTTCTATGATCGACTAATACCAACATATAGGAGGACATATCGACACTTCTTCATTCATTCCATGAAGAGAGCACAATCATGCCAAGGCATCTACATCTTTCATGATACATTAGATTTGCAAAGTAGATTCTATATTGGATTCGTTTGATTTTCTTCTGCTACGGGTATCTGCCATAGCAAGCAGATATCTCCGAGTCGGTTTATCAAAACTTCAAACGATATACACGTAATCAAGTTATCTTCAGCGAGCTTGTTTTGCATTGGTGTGATACATACTGATGATGCCATGGGAATGGTTCTTCCCTCAGATACTTAAAAACACCAAGAGACACGGCGTTATTTTATCTTTTATTTGAATAACAGCCCAAATATATTGCATGCCTGGAAACAACACAAGACTTATTTACTTTGTCAACTGCTGTCTTGTGTTCTTCTTCGTGTGATCGGATGCGTCGAAAACCTAATTCGTTCACTCAAACTATCCTGTTGCGAAAAAATAGTGCCCAGAAGCCCGAATGAAGAGTTCACAGCACGTACTACTACTGCCATTACCAATATCATGGCTTTTAAGAAATGAGGGGAGACGGTATATTAAGCATACGAATCTAGCGAATATTCATGGCTATACGATTTTGGTCTGTGTGCGCTATGCGCATACAGTGCATAAGCTGACTTTATTTTTGTAACGCTGCACCTTGAGCACGATTTTTTTCCTTGCTCCACATCAATCAATGCCATGACCCAACGTTCTGGACGCAAAATCCTGGTGTCAAGTTTTTCTCACCTTACCGCTTTATCGGGAACTTACAATAATTAGAAAAAGTGCAAGGGAAAGATAATAGCTGACACGGATCAGGAAATTCTGACGTTTGAAAAGAAACTGATGAACAATCAAATGTGCTATCTTAGAGCGTTACACCGTTGGATAGTTCTTTCGTTTTTATCAAGCTAACAAAAGTTCGTTTGGTACATTTTTTCGAGAATAGAAGAACTTTTTTCACTAATGGTTGTTGAACACCACTATATGATTGAGCTTCAATAATAATAGCATTTACTTGAGTTGTCAGATCATAACATTGACCCAGAATAGCTGTCATCAACGCAGCCTATATATTGAGCCAATGTTAAATAACCTGCTGGAAATTGACGAATCACTCCAGATTCGCTAGATCTCATTAGAAAGAGAGTTTAACTTTTGTGCGAACTAGCAATTCTGATAGAAGAAAGTATATATTTTGAGAACTGATTGCTATAATACTGCAGGTATCATGAAGCTGTATGCAAAGTATGTTCATGAGGCACTTGGATATTTTGCAAGGGTGAGAAGAGTTGAAAATATGAGATTATTGCAAGGCAGTTGATAGGCACACATGGCGAGTGAATGAAAGAATTCAGAGATAATTAACGAAAAGAGCTGACTTTTCGAGTGAAATTTTTATATGGCTTCGAGAATCAAAAAGCCTGTTTTGGACAATGCCAAAGCGAAAAAGCAACGACGGTACGCTTCTAGAGCAATCCAAACGGCAAGCAATTGACTCTAATGAAGCCAGTGAAAAAAGGTTTGAAAGCTATTGCTTGCCAAGCAATGCCGGGAAAGCGACATTCGACGCATGTACCCACGATCTACGACAGTTAAATTACCAAGGCGCGATTTCAAAAGCAACTTTGGGTATACATGATATGCTCGACAGTTTACTTGCCCTACTCGACATGCGTGCATTAACGTACAGCAAGACAATGCAAATCGACAAAGGGCTTGAGGACGCTCAGCAAATAATTACATACGCACCAACAGCAGCTGCAGGATATCTACGAGCCGGCTCACTGTATACGCTAAACAGCAAATACCAAGAAGCCATGCAAGTGTATGAGCAAGGGCTAGCTGCCGTGCCGGAACAATTCTCACACGTACACGCAAAACTCCAAGAAGGTTACAAGACGGCCAAGGCACGGAAGGATCGACGCATAGACTATATTACGAGATTGCCTTTCGATATTGCCTGTCATGTCATGGATTACCTTCCAACGCACACTTTACTGCAAGCACTCGGCGTGTGCCGCGAATGGCGTGATCGTCTCAGGTCTTATGGAAAGGTCTGGACACATACCCAGCTTTCATCTTATTTGGCAGCAAATACCTTGGATTTTGACATTGCTAATTTGGCCTGCGTGAGTCAGCATATTATACGACTGGATCTTTATGACCTCAACAACCAATACTGCGAGAAAATGTTTATGATGATGATGAAGGGTAACTACAGGAAAATCAAGACTTTGAAATTCACACGTAAGGCTCAGAAAGAAAGATACACAAAGATGGAAAAGAAACACAATCTCAAGTGATATTGTATGAATGATAAATATGGATGGCTCACTTTCCTTGATTTGGGTGTATCGGATAATGGTGGGTTATACAACAGTTTGCACTCTGGATAATTATGGCCGCTGTATGGTTGCCTTATGGCAGCTGAAGGATACCTTGCAAGAATTACATTTTTCCATGGATCGGGATAGCCCGCTAGTGCCACTTGGGGTGGTTCTTTCAACGTGTCAAAACCTGACTGCTCTTCGATGCATACAGTGCTATACAGCGCCCACGGCTCAAGCACTCGGCAGCTTCCCCACCGAACCCATCAATTCATTAGTTGATTTGGAGGTGTCCTTTAAATCGATGTCAGCCCCTTTACTCGACCAACTGCTCCGCTGTTGCCCTCGGTTACGGCAGTTGTCAATTCGAAACTGTGTACCACAAGCGGCTCGGATTGTACGTAATCGCTGCCCGGACCTAAGAGCTTTGGGTCTCAACACAATGGTTAGCGTACTACTGGAGCAGAAACAACAAGTATTTGCGCCAACAGGATGTGCTGGAATTCGACATTTAGCCATCTTTTTAGCGGGTGATGAGGATCTACTGGAGCACTTACAGTATTTGGTCGAAAACGCACATGTGCTGGAGACGTTATCTTTGATATGCCCAAGGTCTGCTATCATAAATGGAGCAGCGACGGCGCATTGGCAGGTTTTGACGCCACTCATGTTCCACAACCTGCGAACGCTATCGATCTCCTTTACCGACGATTACAATCGACAAGTGGTTCCCAACGTGCTCAGACATTGTCCCAACCTACAGGAACTCTCTTTTTCGACGTGTACATTTGTTGACTCGGACGTTTTTGCTGCTATCCAGGATCTACATAGACTGGAGAAATTGGTGTTGGACGATATCACCCTAGTAGACGAAGATGGTATCACTTTAATGTTCGAAGCCTTCGGGAACCGCTGTCGACAACAGCAAGAAGGATGCCAGCACATTGACTTACGGACAATCGATATATCAGATTGTGCATTTTCGTTCACGGATGCAATGCTACGAGCCCTTGCCCGAATTCCATCACTGCATCACATGAACTTTAATAACCTTGAATGTACGGATGAGGGTGTGTTCGAACGGTTCACAAAAACGCTCCGAGAACAGTCGACTATCCGCACCATCATCCTTTCTGGCATCGACTGTGCAACCAATGAAGCTCTCCAGCACCTTAATGCGACCAAAAGCCTAACAGGGATTGAATTATATGGTCTGAAAAACGTTACGCAGGAAGGTGTTGAATGCCTTTACGCCAATAGCAAAATATCAATATTTATAGATTTGTAATCATGTATAACTGTAGCAGTAATCCATAACCGCTGTATACTTTCCACTGTCCATTCCCCCCATTCCTGTGTACACTCATTTTCCTGTTCTCCACATCATTACATTTTGCATAAACAGTTTTGTTTCTACCATTTTTTTCATCGTGTGTATAGTGTGTGAAGTTGGCTATATACGACAATTTGAACTATTTGGGACAGCATGCATTATGATCCAATTAACACGTGTAGAACCTAGTATTTGAAGCACCTTACATAGTATAACTGACTCGCACATATGTACAGGAGATTTTCTATTACATAACAAGTCCAGCAACCGTAACATCACCGCGACTGCGTGGACAAAATGAGAATGCTGTATCACTAGAGTTACTGTTGTGTTTTGGCAACAAAAAGGATAATTTGATACCCGTTAACCGTGTGTACATTAACTTTATGCAGCGCTGCTGCAGTCACCGCAGAAAGCCTATCCACCACCGTTCTCTTGAAATTTTGTTGTCGCACGCAAACATTCACTATCTATATCATTACAAAAGTAGCATCTATTTGTAACAGAGGCAAAAGTCTCAAGTGCCAACCATCCAATAAATTCACAAGTTATACCAAATTGACCATCTCAGCCATAGATTATTTTATTGATTGAATCAGACAAACCAGCACTGTTATACATATCCCACCAGAGCTGATACTGTGGATAATACTGCTGCTCTTTTTCATCCGGTGCATCTTTTTGCATGTCCACAGCCCACGGCTTCGGTTGCATGATATAATGAATATTTTTGACATCTCGCAAGTCGCACGTCTCCGAGTGTATGTGTGGTAGCGTCTTAAGCGAGTTGTAGACGTACGGCAATTTTGCCCACCTGTTTCCAAAGACTTCGTTCAAGAAATCCTGGTCGCCAAACAGACAATTCGTCAGGTCAGTAGAGCCGTACAATCGTGTCACAATTTTTTCAAACGTGGCCTGGGATGGCGTCAGCACCATAAGCCCACTATTAAAATAGTCGTTCTTGGTACCAGAGGATGAGCCTGTGTGCCCGCAATTGGATGGTATCCTAACATATAAACCCACATCGTAGTCACATTGCATCAGCCTCTATTTCCACCCCCACTATTCTAGGGTAATTCTTTATTTACAGATAACCCCACCCACAACCCACTGGTAAATAAGACTGAATCATCCCCCTTTTCTCTTTACTCGTACCAATCATCAGGATATGTCTCAATCTTGTGTGGATTACAGGTACAGGCATGACAAGCAGCGATATGGCTCTCATCTGGTAATACAACCTCCATCAACTCGTCCATGTTTTTCAAAGGCAGCATATCGGCATCCAGGAGCACCACCCGTTCATATTCGTACTGACTCCAAACAGCCAGTTTGGTCCAAGTCTCGACAAACTGCTTATACAAGTAATTTGTCTTACCCGGTGGACGGATCGGCTCAATTTGTTTGAGTATACACCCGGCCCCTGACAACAGCGCTTGGGCTTCTGCGGATACAGAGGAAGTGTAAAGGACGACAATCGGATACTGCGTCTTGACTTGTTGCAATGCTCGGGCTACGGTGATGGCACCTTTCACATAGTCGTTGGTACTGGTCAGGACAAGCACCCATGCAGCAGCTTTGGGTTGACAGTTCGTTGGGCCCGTCATTATAGTAGCAGAGCGATATGCCGTGAATATTTGGTAAGGTAAAAGAGAGAGCTGGTTGAGTAGTTGAAGCTGAGGAAGGGATGTACATAATCCGTTTCGAATAACCATTTATAAAAGGTAATTATTAGTCGTCTCACACTGCATCGGAATACCGTGTGGTCGCACCGCTTGCAACCATAAATAAATAAAACGCCACTAACTTTACGAAATGATGGAAACGCCAGAGTAGCTTTATACAACCACTGCACCATGAATTGACATCGGCCCGAAATGGAAATACAACCTCGCAACAGCTATTTAAAAAAAAAACTGATACATTTCTGCTATGAAACGCATGCTCTTATGCGTGTGTTCCTTATTCTCCCACGTAAATCCAACTCTCGCGGCATTTGTTTCACTCCGTTACTGCAATTCCGTCTCTCTTTAACCTTAATATATAGGGTGTTTTTCTATGCTTGTTATGCGGCTATTTATTTTTGAACCAAGTAAGTAGTGCTTATATCTTGCTTTGATCTATGCCGTGTGTAACAAAGACAAAAAACAAACATTCGAGTCAGATACGTGCATAGTCGACTAATACGCTTGATAACATACCACCGGCTAATTTATCATAGGCTGCGCCAATTTCTTCCAGCATGTGCGAGGTCAGCATCGCACGCCCGTATTTTTGAAAAGCCCTTCTGGAGCTGTCACGCGTTATACTGCAAGCACCCCAAGCTGCAAGCATGGCAATATCTTTTGGATCTACTTCGTTTCCATGACTAAACCAGCCGTGATTAGTATGTTCTCTTAGTTACTTACTGCTATCCAACTACTGCTATACTTACTCCCATGTACCATCCTCATACAGTTTGCCCCAAGCAAGAAAAGTGCCTAATGTGCCAGACAAGATATCTCCTTGTCCGCCAACTCGACGTAATCCACCCTCCGTTTCACAACGCAAGACTAGAGCAAAGTAAACGCATACAGCTGTCAGACAAAAGGGGAATACGTACATACATACATATATATATATATATATATATATATATATATATATATCTGCAAAACGCCATGCTTGTTTTACCTTCTTTGCCATTTGAGATCAAATCAACCTTTCCCTTTTGAACGATCGTAACACCACCGAAAGCCTTGCTCAACTGAGCAGCCAGTGTATCTTGTTCATGTTCTTTCGCATTGATGTTCTAATTTTTTCGGTTCCTTTGTGAGCCACCACTCCCTCTTTTGACAAATCTACTCCGCCTAGCCTTGTAAAAGAGATGAAGATGTAAGTATATAGCCTACCATACACTCGCACAAACGCTTAAACTCCACCACGTTGGGTGTAAGTACAGCCTTGTCGTAATCCTTTACAGTTTCTGGGTGTTGTTGAACGAGAAACAAACCGTCCTGAAGGTTTTATAAAAGTACAGTCGCAATAAGAAAAACGGGCAGCATAATACATCTTGATATTCGCTGAGATTGGTTCAAGATACTATACCGCATCCACGACGATGGCCATATTTTTTTCGCGGGCTTTTAGCATAATTTCTCTAGCACTGTCTTGCATAGCAGTGTCACGCGACAAACCAGGGCCTACGACAAGAACATGTAATCGGCTGAATGTCGATGTTACTCGCGAGACAATGTCGCTAACTGAAGTATAGCTTTTGCTAAAGAAAATATAAGTCTCTGTCGTTGTTTCTCCCAGCTCGATTTATAAGTCATGCAAAATTTACTCAGACGTGCGCATGTATGGATGTACAATAAGCTCTAGAGAACGTATAAAACGGCTATCGTATTAATAGACCTTTTTGACAAATGATCGTCCGGTATTTCAATCTTGTATCGCTTCGTTTTTCATACCTGGCGAATAGGTTTTTATGACAGTGCCAGCTCCGGGCTCACAGAAAACGTGGCATAGATCTGCACCCTACAAATCCCAGTAGCTTAATTTCTCTTTGAAACGCATAATCCGCCTTTTAAATCACAAACGTACCAGCTTCATTGCCGATATGGCACTAAAATAAGGTGCTCCTGTATAGCTACATATAGCATAATAGGTGACCATTAATTACTCAAAAATCGTCCCGGAAGTGAAGAAAAAAGAAGCTTATTGAATATTTACTCTTCTGAGCCTCCGATCACACCAACGCGACCTAAATTCAACAGTCATTCACTGATTGTACGAATCCTGAAGCGCAATTTCGAGAGCTCTTGCATTTACCTGCTTGGCCCTTGTGCAATTCACCCGAAAGAGGGGGAATGAGCTGTCGTACTTTTGAAATTTCCGGGATTCGGGAAGGCATGGTAACGGAAAAGAGAGCAAAAGCGGCGCGTTGCATGATAAATAAACCCCCGCTGTTCATGAATATATTACCGCATACTGACAACACACGTAATGTTTATACATTGCACAGGGTTTTTATGTGTACGTAGCGCATTAGCTCAGATGACGAACCACACATATCACATAGAGCCATTGTTATACGGGCGACTTGTACGATTGTCACCGATCATCATTATACAGAGCTTTATTGACAGTATCGGTATCGAATCCAATATCGTTATAGAGATCCCACCAGAGCTGATACTGTAGATAATACCGTTGATCTGACTCGTCCGCTTCCTGTTCTTGCTTCACATTTACCTCCCACGGCTTTGGCGTCAGAATATAATGTATGTTCTTGACATCCTGCAAATTCCACATGCCCGAGTGCGCATACGATAAGGTCTTGAGCGAGTTGTAAATGTACGGTAACGGAACCCATCTGCCTGCAAAGATTTCATTCAAGAAATCCTGATCGGGAAACGGGTAAATACTCAAATCCGGAACGCCGTACAACCGCGCAACGATATCCTGGAATTTACCCTGGGACGGTGTCAGCACGATAAGCCCACTATTGAAGTAGTCATTCTTGGATGCAGATGAGCTTGTGTATGCGCAATTGGATGGTATCCTATAGATGACAGGGAGTGTAAGTTCATCAGTAATCCATAGATGTCGCCTAACAGATTATCCTTTGTTTTGCGCTTACCAATCAGCTGGATATGCCTTAATCTTTTGTGGATTACAAGTGCATGCATGACTAGCGGCAACATAATCACCATCCGGTAATGGTACGGTCATGAGCTCGTCCATGTTTTGTAATGGCAGCATATCGGCATCCAGTAGCACCACCCGTTCATACTCGTCCTGATTCCAAACAGCCAGTTTGGTCCAAGTCTCGACAAAGCGTTCGGCGAAATAGGTGGTCTTGCCTGGTGGATGTATGGGCTCGATCCTTTTGAGTATGCAGCCGGCTTTTGACAACAGTTCTTGAGCTCCTTCGGACACGGCCGATGTACACAGTACGACAAGGGGGTATTGAGTACTGAGTCGTCGTAGAACGCAGGCCACGATGATCGCACCTTTGACATAGTCGTTTGTATTTGTCAAAACAAGCATCCAAGCAGCGTTGGGAAGGGTTTTTGACACCATGTCGTTGCTTCTTGACGTTGCTGAATATGCAGAGGAAACTAGAATATACTATGTACAGACAGCGTCGAGCAACAAGAGCTAAGCAAGAGTAGTGAAACGCAAAAAGATAGAAGCAAAAGAGAAAGGAGGAGAGGTAAATAAGTGCAGAGTGTGGGACAATTCGAGGCTACACATACACAGAGCAAGAAAAAAATAGCCCGACAACGTGCATCGCATCATCAGGCATCATGTTCGCATATTTTCGCGTCAGGAAATTTGTTTGTGATAAGCATTATTTCTTTCTTGTGTCACGTAGAACGACCACCTCTGTTTTCTTTTTTGTTTGAATGACTGTCAGAATTAAGCTATGTGGTAATAAACCTTTGGTGTTCGATACTCAAGGTAGTAAATAACTCAACTCCTCTTTAATGTGACAAGGGAAAGGTAAAACTCATCCGTCCCACGCAACATAGACGTCAAAGAATTACGTTGCCAACATCGCATTGTGGGTGCATTGATTGGCACATTGCCACGGTTGCCTCAGCAAAATGCATTTCTCGGCCTTCCACTACAGCTACTTCCGGAAGAGCTTACGTTACTCGTAACAAAAAGTAAACGCGGTGGGGTGGGGGGTGGGTAGGGAAGGGGCCGTAAGAGAGATAAGAGCAATGTAGTAACTTGTATTGATTTATTTTTTCCGTTTCCTCCGCGCATCCATCCGAAAAACGCGATAATAAAGACATTGCCATAATCGGTGACAGCAATAACGGAAAAACATGGACATACCTAAACACCAAAGCTGAGCTACTTCGTTACAAGGTTTTTGAACACTTGTGGTCGCGCCAACTCTACGTGACTTCCGGCCTCAAATTTGGTGGCGATTATCTCGCGTATCGGGGTGATCCTATGCGTTTCCATAGCCATTACATAGTTTCGGCTAAAGATCGGCATGAGCCCATGACAGGCTTGGATGTCATTGGCATGGGCCGATTGGCAACGAACGTCAAGAAAACCTATGTCATTGCCAGCCCTGCAAGCGATAACGACACTGACAGTGATGAGAACAGTGCAGTAGAAGTCTTTTCGATAGAGTGGGCAGGCTTCTAGCGAGCGATGATTAAAAAACACATTTATATTGTAGTAAAATTAGATAATGGAATTATACCCCAATAAAAAAGGAAAAAACGAGGAGTTGGTGGTGGTTTTGGGTGTGAATGATGGAGGTATGATACTAGTTGTGATAAAGTGGGGGCTTTTTTATAAACAGAGTAGTTTAATGGGGACTGGTATGCATTTCATGACTTTCATCGGATGAATTCCGCAGCCGCATGTAATCTGGTTGGTTGTCTCTTCGAAATAGACGAGAGGCAAAATTCGCAACCACATCGCCACAGTCTCGGGTAGCTTCGCCGTTCGTGGACTCTGAGTTCTCCACGTGCGCCATGTATTTCAATACATCTTTCACGGTCACCAGACCAACCAGTTTACCACGTCGTTCAAGCAAGATAACGCGTGGACTACATAATATTGGAGATATATCCGACCACACGGTGGTAAGCATCATCTTAATCACCATCTATTGCGACCTCTTGTGTGGATGAGAAAAAAATTAACGTCCCGCGATCGTGTATACATCTTACCCCAGCTGTTTAAACATGTCCATTACAGTCTCGAGATAAAGTCGGGGTTGTACAGTGATTGGGGTTTGATCAATATATGGTCCAAAGTCAAGCACGTCGGATGAACCCTGGATGATGTGATCGACGCTGGATATACTTGACAGCTGTTCTGAATCATCTTCGTCGGGTATGAATCTGACTATAGTCGAGTCATGTGCCTTGTTTCGCGTCTTTGCTTTCTCTACAAGAAGAAAATAGTGCGAAGGTTAGTCAAAGTGGAGGTCGCATTTAGTTGATACATCATCAAGGAAAAAGTAATTACCGATTAAATACTTTAATTCGGATCGACCAATATATCCTAACAATGTCATGTCGCTTTCGCTCTGTACTACAGGGAATCCTCGGTACATAGTCGTGCGTAGTATTTTCTCTATATCAAAGGGTGATGTTAAAGAGAAATAATTCTCTTTTTATATTCTGTTGTCCAGGCATCCTTACCAAGTTCACTGAATCGCATTCCCATCGATGATAATACTGTCATGTCTCTTTGCATGACATTGGATACTATAAAAGTTGCAAAATGAGAACATTCAAGGTTATGTGCATGCTCTTAGATAGACTAAGGATGATGATAAGCAATTAAAACGTCTGTATGTTACCTGGTACTCCATATACGTGATCTTCTTTATCCAAGAAGGGATATCCGTTCACTCTGATCATCCGATCAGCAATACCACCAGTACCAAATCGATCACCAACAGCTCGAGTAACCATGAGAGCAATCTAATAGTAAATGATGTACAACAGCAGTACATTAGCTATATCCATCGCCGCATTTTTGTCGTAATATTTAAAAGGAAGAGATCGTGTTTACCATAGTTGGAAGGATATAAGTGATCTGGCCTGTCAGTTCAAACATGATCACAACCACGGATACTATAACAATGAATAAGAGAATACATTAGCCAAATCCATCGTATACACCCAACCACCACCACCAGACTTAGCAAACTTACCTGTTATGCGCATAACACCACTAAATTATCATTTTTAACTAGTTAGAGGTCATATAGTTTAATAGCAAAAAAAGAAAATAATATCCTAAGCGTTTCTCCTTACCAAAGTGCCGCGGCTGCTCCCAGAAATGCGTAAGTGCCTGGTGTGATACACTACATTTTCAAAAGGTTTACACGATTTCAGCAATGTCTCCTTGTTAAACTTGATCCAAACACAAAGGTTGGTAAGAGCTTACTGGAACATCGGGTTTGCACGTTGAGAATAAAAAGAATTCGGGATCGGCACTAAATGTTTTCAACAGTTAATAGTCGACTTTCAATGTATGATCACCGGAAACGAATAAATATTAACTTACTCTTGCCATGACTTTACTAACAATCCAATCATGCGACCAAAAGTGGCTCCGATAGCCATGGAAGGAACAAAAATACCACAAGGTACACGGCAACCGTATGAAATGATAGTACCTAGTGTTCGAAGCATAGTCGCGAAAAGTAAAAGTACACAGATACGTGCTAATTGGCTCTCTCTACAATAAATAAAATGTTGAGCAAAGGAAATAGGTAAGCAAGAGAATTTACACAGATGCACATTAGGGTTTTCTGGACTTACTGGCAAAGACCGTGGAAATCGTCAGTATCCACACTTTCACACTCTTGGAAAAGAATTCCCATTATTTCAGTCATGTCGATCCGCATAAACACATTGGGATATGCGACTACAGCAGTAACAAAGGCTAATACAGCTGCTTCGGTGATAGGGTGATCTTTAAGATACTTTTTTCGAAACTGGGCGACCATCACGTTGTATTTGATCACAATTGCGCCATAGAGTCCCTAGATTGATAGAAATACATATCAGTTTTACATCATTAAAGGTGAATTCAACAACAAAAACCAGACAAAGTGATAAACTTACTCCAAAAATACCGATAATGACGACAAACAAATATTCAAAGCTATGCCATTCTCGATCATAGCTTACTTGAAACATGACCAGTTTGCCAGTGCGGAATGGATTCATTGTCTGACCGAGAAAAATAAAGAAAACAGGATAAAAATTCAATTGCTGCCTCTTATCGATAACCAGAACATATTTATATTACCTGTAAAGCCATAGTAGCAATCATGGCACAAAAGAAGCTCTTCCATAAAGTACGATTCGAGAACGTGTAAGTCATTTCTTCGAGTGCAAACAATACGCCACCGATAGGTGAACCAAAGGCAACTGCTACGCCTGCTGCACTTGATGCTGTCAATATCTCACGCATTTCAGCTGGTCCAGAATAAAAGAAAAAGTTAAGCTCATGTCAGCAGATCTGTATTCCCAAGGAGGTAGTACAATCTTTCTTACCTTTGCTTGTCCTGTACTTTGAGAAGCTCCGAGAGATCACATTGCCTACACAGCAAGCCATATGTACGGAGGGACCTTCTTTTCCAATCGATAGATTGGATGCTACAGCCATAGCCTGGGTTCGGTTAGTCGACGCGTCGAATAGAAATCACCCTGTTTACAATTTTTGGACCGTTCCATACCAATCCAACGCTCTTCATCAGCAAGGTCCAGCCACCGAGATAGCCTTTCATAACAAAACCGGCTACATAGATATGCATAGTGGGTCATTAATAGTTCCAGCTGAAGTCAATACAGTTCCTCTAGCTTTCTTCCTCCTTATATACCAATAATACACTTGATTTCAGAAATGCCGGAGCCAGCGGCATAAGGTGCAAGTACTTTGACAAGGAAGGCACAGGTTGTAGCAAAAAGTGTCTATGATCCCGTCGTCAGTCACAAAGCCATCCTGTCAAGAAAGACCTACAATTGTCTCGTCTATCTTTTCTTCCAAATCATTTGCTTACCGCCAGTGCCACGTAGAACAGCCATTGGATAATGAATGCATCGGGACCAAGGCCCATTGTCTGGCTCCAGTATACCCAATACTCACACCCACCGTCTATCACAACAGCAAAGATAACTGAATTAACCTGGCTTGTTCGTTTTCATTCGTCACACCTTTCCTGCTATGATTCATTTTTTACCATCCCCTTCTATTTCCCAGCAACAGTATTTCTGGTTGAGCCACCATCCCGTCGAGCAATATCCCATTTTGACATCCGAGAGCCAATCCGTAACAATAGCAATAAGGGCCGAGTTCAATCCAACCGCCGCGCCTTTTTTTCATCATCATTTCATATAGATAATAGATAAAGCGATACAATGAATTCATTTATTCCAGAAAATTGTAATAATATATTATGTAATTTCTACAGACCCCCCCCCAAACACACACACTTTCGTACCCAACCCCTCGCCCTGAAAAAGAAGAAAAGACAACACCTACCGACAAGCGACACGACGATCCAAGTCTGTGCCGTTTCAAAGGCCATCTTCCACCAGGCACGCCATGAGTGGTCGCTTTTATTCTGTCGTTCAAGTGCGGATTGTCGATATCGCTCTAGAATGGCATCCTTAACCCAGTCTAAATGAGTATGTTGAGGGATGTTAGCAGTCAGGTCTTTTGAAAGCAAAACTTGAAAGTTTAAGAAAACGATCAAACGAATATTCAGAAAGGGGAAGCGATAGGGCAAGGGCAAAGATTTTACAGAAAGCGGGTTTGGCGATTAGCAATTCTCCCAGGGGTAAGCCTGGTAATAATATCAAGTTGAGATGAGAGAAGGGAGGGTTATTTTGGATACCTGCCAATAGTACTAAAATCTTCGTATCGACGGATCTGTGCTAATTCTTCTTCAAGTTCGCCATGGGAAGGCTCTGGTTGACTGGCCATATCCCTTTCTGTGTTGTTATAACTAGTCCTGTATACTACTCGTGTGTAATAAAAAAAGAGAGCGAGACGACATGCACGATCGGTTTTTGTGTGCGATTGCGTTACGCGGTGTTTAAACGAACCCCGTTCGGGTTATTGTGTTTCCACGGTTTCCTGATTCAGACAGGATCTCTGTATCAATGCAGAATTTGCCCGCCAGTATTAAAAAATAGGAACGCCAGAACTGACCCATGAAATCCATGCTCGAAGAATGCATGTACGCATAGAAAGGTGCTTAGTCTCTCTTTTACGCGCTTTTAGCTTTTCGCGAGAGATGGCCTGAAAAAATAACCATATTTGGTGATAATATAATACAAACAGCTTAGTCTGCTCTTCTATTGCTGTGCAAAGATACTACGCTGATTGTCTATAGATGTGCAACGCTCTAGCAGTTTAGTGCACGGAAGAAGTCAAGATATGAACTACGTTGTTTGTTGCGAAAGCGCCATTGCTGCTTTTAATTACTGGTGCAATATAAATAAGTATTTACGAAATAGCAAGAACATACACACATCTATCAATCTTCACTTAGTCAGATTGAGGACGTTGATTGGGGAAGCTGCCCAGAACCACGACGTCCAAGCAATACTGCTCCAAGTCCTTGACGGCCTTTTGTACCGGCTCGTTTTTGAAATGGCCTGAGCATTCTACCACAAACACATAGTGCCATGGGCGTAGGCCGCTAGGGCGCGAGTCAATCTTGAACAAGTTGAGATCATAGTCCTTGAACACCTTTAGTCCATCAGCTAGTGCACCTGGCTGGCGATGGTCGACGGTAAAATGGATCAGTGTATGATCATCCGCTGTGGCGTTGTCAGACGACGTGCCAATGATCAAGAAACGGGTCGTGTTGCCTATGTCATTTTTGCGATCGATTCTTTAGCCTTTCTCTCCATGTATACTACCACTGCTTTTTGCTGCTATCTAAGAGCAAGTGCTTACCTGCAGTGTCCTCAATATCTTTGGCAACAATTTCCACGCCATATAGACTGGAACACAGCTCACTGCATACAGCAGCGGCACCTGGTTCGGCAGCAGCTTGTTCGGCAGCCTCTGCAGTAGACTTGACGGGAATAAGTTTGGCGTGCGGGAGATTTGTCGACAGCCATCGTTGCGTTTGACCCAATCCCTTTTACCATGATTTATAAAATAGGCGTTAATTTTCCATCATAAACGTACAGTATGAAGCAATCCTTTTTCCCCATTTAAGCTCTGCGTGTGATTATTGCTTTCTTACCTGAGGATGACTATATACTTTGGAGATCTTTTCCAACTTGCTATTTGACAACAAGCATTGATGAACCTTAAAAAGCATCATCATCATCATCAATCACACTGATATTACAGATTTTGTGTATACATTATCTACTTATACCTGTGTTTCTTATCACCAAAAATTTTACTTACAGGAAGATACGTTTCAGCGCGGACACGTACGCTCGTCTTTACAAAGTTGTCCAGAGTCTCAACAACGGTACCGAACGTGGAGTTTTCGAAAGGTACCAAGCCATAAGTTGTGGTCTTTTTCTCGACTGCTTCGAAGACAGCTGATTAAAAGAAGATGCATATAGAAAGCAAGAGTCAATGAATTAGAGTAAATCATCACCCCATCTTTCTCTCGCAACGTTTCACCCACATCCCCTCTCAAACTAATCTTTGTTTTGTAGATCAAATCAATACCAGAGATCTGTTTTACTGGAACATATGCTACGCTATCGCCCAAACGTTCATATGCGGCTTGATGCGAGAATGTGCCGGGTGGGCCGAGATATGCAATCGATACGTCCTTTTGCAATGCGATTGAAGCTGACATGATCTATCGTTACATACCATAAATTTCGTCAGAACAACGCCATCAATTAGAAACTTATGTTGGTGCTAAAACATAAGAGCTGCCTACCTCACGGAAAATAGCGTGGAGCGATGAATGGTTTAAAGGTCCTTGATTTAGTCTTTCGAGCTATTAAGGGGAACATCTATTTCAGAACCAGATCATTTATACGTTATAAGTTGTTGTTGTTACCTTTGCGTATACTTCTTTTTCGCGTCCGGGCATATATACGTGAAGCTCTTTTGAGTCCTTTTCAGGTGTTGACGATTCGCTGCACGTTATAAAGAAAATGAACACGATTAAGTTTAACAACAATTGATTTGAGCGAAACAGGAGTGGTAACTTTTTTGAGAGAGTGGCACATATATAGAGAGAGAGACACGGAAGCTTACTCGGCTGCAGAGGGAGAAGTAGCTTTGCGCTTTGCGGCGCCAATGTTTAAGGACACCTGGGCACGCTCATTCAGTAAATCGACCAACGTGGTGTCAAGTGAATCGATACGTTCTCTAAGCGATGTCAAATCCGACATTGTGTATCTTTAGTAGTAAGAAAAGAGAAGCTTGACAGGCCTAGCTGGGTTAACACAACCCTAAAGCTTGCCCGCCCGGAGAGTGAGTCAGAAGGCTGGAAGGAGCCTGGGAAAGTTTGATTGGCTGTCAGTCAACAACAGAGTTTTTTAACTGTTCCAGCCGCATTTGGCTCCATCTTGTTTAAAGGGACGATCGCTAGAATATGGATGAGGAGACCATACTCGTATCAGAGTAGGGGCAAACCATAGTGAATCTTTTGATCTGATATTGGGGTCATCCTTTTCATTCCTCAAAACGTTAGAGGGGGTTGAAATACCAAGAATAATCCGAACATGGAAGATCATGGTAACGGGATGAAGTTGGCCTTTTCGTCCGCGTCCTACTGCTATCTCTGCTATCATATGTCGAGCATACGCTAATTGTCGATCGCAAATGATACCAGTTGACGAAAACGTACTTTATGCCTAATATGCGGAATAGCGGAGGCCAGCAACATCAAAAAGAAGCTCTGAGTCTTTATCAGATGAACCACGTGCGTCAATAAGATATGAGAATCGCGTGTGCTTTTGCAGGACACCATCTCCGGATGATGGTGAGACAAAGAAGTGCTAAACTGTAACGGATCTACTAGCTCGATGTTTTCTCTTAATTATATTAACGGCAAACAAAAGCATTTAGAGAGATCTTCCCATCCGTTCGTACTGGATAGTGTATGCTATATATCGAGATCAAACAGATAAGCATCTAATGTGCGAGCAGTATCATGACACGAGGTTGTCGCACAGACTCGTCTCACTGACACGGAGGACGAGAATCACCGAAATCGAATAAATAGCCCATTGTAACGACGATCGAAAAATAGATAAAAAAAATAGTAGTAGGAGCCCGCTCTGCATCGTTTAATTTTTGTTTTTCTCACTCTTTCTCTTCACTTTTTTTGAAAGATAACAGCAAACAGCGATATGCCTCGAGTGCGTGCAAAGCAGTTAGACTCGGAGCTCCGGGCCATTGCCACCGAGGAATACACCTTTCAAAACTGGGCAAAGACCTTTACGTGCACTTGCGAGATAATGTTTGAGCCTTCAACAGAAAACCAAGTCGTTAAGGTAATATTTTCTCTCGAGATCTTTGCTTTTTATTTTTCAATACTGTACATGAATTTTCGATCGTAGAGTGTACATTTAACAGGTGTGCATGGAGAGAAAGAGAGAAAATTAAGCGATTGATTTACAGATCATTCAACTGGCACGAAAGTACAACAAACCGATCAAAGTGTTTGGCAGTGGCCATTCGCCTTCCGATCTCGCATGCTCACGTGGATTTATGATCAACATTGACAATATGAACGGATTGCTTCGAGTGGACAAGCGGGATTCTACAGTAACTGTCGAAGCGGGCATGAGCTTACACAAGTTGCATGCGATTCTTCAAGAACATGGTTTGGCCTTGAGCAATCTCGGCTCAATTTCCGATCAAACCATTGCAGGTGTTATTTCCACGGCAACGCATGGTACAGGCGCAGAATTTGGTTGCCTATCAACAATGGTAAATAGCCAAACGCGGACAATATAATTCAGTGGAGCACACTGCTTGTCAAAAGCACAATCGATTCCAGTCAGCTGATTTCCACCCCTTCTCTCGCTTTTTTAAGGTTTGCGATATGACATTGGTCACTGCGAACGGTGATCTCGTACGCTGTTCGCCACACGAAAACCCGGACTTGTTTGCAGCTGCACGCTGCAGTCTTGGTGCATTGGGTGTCATCACCCGTGTATCGCTCCAAGTTGAACCTGCCTTTCGTTTGGAAGCTATCCAGAAGCCATATAGATTCGACAATGTTTTGGCAGAATGGGACGACGTAGTGCATTCAGCAGAACACGTTCGCGTCTGGTGGATGCCACACACCAACGATTGTGTCGTCTGGCGTGCTAACCGCACCGAGAAGCCTGCTGTCTTGCCTACATCCAACTGGCTCCTTGAACGTGGTTTGGGTGTCCATGTGTACCAGTTTATGCTAAATGCCGCACGTTATCGTCCATCGTTTATTCCATCGATCACACGCTTCATGTTTGATACCATTCACACACGGCCGATCCATGTCATTGACGACTCGTACAAGGTGTTTATGTTTGATTGCTTGTTCCCGCAATACGTGAACGAATGGGCCATTCCGTGGGAAAATTCGCCTCAAGCATTGAAGGAGCTCGACGAATTTATCAACACAGCACAACTCAAGGTGCATTTCCCTGTGGAGATTCGGTTTGTTAACGAGGACGATATCTGGTTGAGTCCGTCTTATAAGCGCAAGACTTGCTACATTGGTGTCATCATGTACAGGTAATACGGAGAAAGAAAAGAAGCTTTTAACTTGAAGAGACCCAATACGATGTCAAAAGCACACAAAACTCACCAGAATTCATTGCAGACCTTATGGCAACCCTGTCCCGTACAAGAAGTACTGGAAAGCGTACGAAGGCATCATGCGAAAACATGGCGGTCGTCCTCACTGGGCAAAGGTAACATTACGAACAAGCTCTACTGAAATCTGAGAGGGATCGAGAGGATATGCTAACACTGGGATTATTTTGTAAATCAGGCTCACGGCCAATCCGCCGAAATGCTTAGTGCGTCGTACCCAAGACTCAAAGATTTTTTAAACGTGCGAGAGAAAGTGGATCCTGAAGGAATGTTCTTGAACGATTACTTGAAACGACACATCTTGCCGGGGAAGCCTTTACAATCTGCTGCCATGCTGTGAGCTGCTGTGCTGTAATGTTTATATACCACTTTCATGCATTTAACTTTATCATCGTCTCATTTTTAGTCTATTCTATATCAGTTAGAATTGTTTTTTTGCATATGTTTGCCCAGTGCATTTGTATCCTCCTGTTCCCCCACTTGCAGGCGTCCACACACACCCCTTGATCGTAATAATACAGTTAAATTTTTATCATAACGATGCATTGAAGAACACCAGTGTATTCACGGTTTACAAGAAAGATACTTTGCAAAAGTATGTGCTGTATGTAGATGTTGTGCTGCTTAACAATGAATGGTGTTGGAAGGGGCGGGGAATACAAAAATGAACGGTGATATTTACAAGATGCAAAAGTAAAAAGAAAGAGACCTCCACTTTTTTACGGCCTATATGGTGGCGGTGGCGGTGATGGCAGTGGAATGAAGGGGGTATCGTTGTTATTGTGGCGAAGCGTTGAGTCTGCACCTTGTCGTTCGTCGTGACAGTATGCGCTTGCAAACTGATCAAAGGTACTTATTGATTTGACGGGCTGTAGCTGGTGTTGTTGGTATTGGGATGATGACTGTGGCGTGGCTGCTGGCGTGGCAGAGGAGTTTGCAGAAGATGAAGATATTGGTCGTGGCACAGACGCTTGTTCCATCGCGGTCGAGATAATAGCGCTATTTCGCTGCTGCTGCTGCTGTTGTTGCTGACGGCGTCGACGACGGCACATGATAAAGGCAATGACCGCTACTGCTGCTGCACCCACGATGCCAACCACAGCAGCAATAACGTGAACTACGTTGAACGCTTCGGTGTGGTGTGCAGACTGAGGAAACGCTGTTCGTCCCTCGTCTTCGACGCTTTGTTGGGCTGCTCGTTTTGCATGTCTAAATCGGGGAAAATAATGAGTTTTTGGTCTATTTTGTCAATTAAAAAAGGACATATTACGTACGGAGCAGGAATGGCGACAGGACTTGCGGTTGAGAGAACGGCAAAACAAAACAGGAATAATAGTCTACTCATGGAAATACTCAGAGGGAGAGCGAGAGAAGAGAAAGAAGAGACAGAAAGGTATATTGGTAAAACGAGGTAGAGGAAAGAAAAGAAGGAACGTTTATTATTTTCTCTCTCTGGCCTTGCACACAGGGAAACGCAAGAAAGTCCCGCGGGCTCCCAAATTGCAAGCTGCAGAACGTCGAGAAATACGAAAGCATCTTTAATTGTCATCAATTCTCTTGGAGCCGAAGCGCACAAGATGTCCTGTGTAACATTAGCCCGGGAGGACTTCTTGCTTATGTTTCAATTGTAAACATTGATGGGCCACTCTTCACAGGTCCCCGTTATCAAAGCCATTGCTTGTTTGGTGCTGTAGTTGTTTGTCTTCTCTCACATTACTAACCTGGAAACGATAAGCCGTCTAGAAGACTTGCTAGCGTGCTGTAAGATGGGAGATGTATACATGGTTTTCGTTGAGACAACTGTAACACTTTTTCATCTCTTCAGGAAAACACTATGCCGTGTTTCCGTGACAAGAGTAGCCCTATTGTTAATGACGAGCCGGCATCAAATCCCCGCACATCAGCCCGAAGAAAATAAAAAAGAATTACAAGAAGGCTCCCTTGGCTGATCGGAATCTCCGGTTCAGTCTTGTTTCATTTCTTCCTTAAACTTATTGACGACTATTTACTACTGATCCGTTTTCCAGTCTTTCCAAAATGCTACCATCATTGCTACTTTTACGGTATAGCCAAGAGCAATTAAGCAATATTTGTCACGAGATGGTACCATTTTTAATTTCGTAAATGGTAAAAATAACAATTCCCTGTATTGGTCACATATATAAATAGATATAATTCTAACCACAATCATGATAAAAAGCCTCGGCCCACTGTGTGTGGTCCAAGCATATAACAGCAGCAAGATTTTGCCCGCCATTGTTAAAAGAAGCCACTTGTATACCACTAGTGACTCAACCTTTTCAAGAGATATACTATGCACAGAAGCAGCTTGTTGTTTGCGTGAAAGGTGTCCGCACAAGCGCTGATTGTCCGAATAGACATCATCATAGGGCACAAAAACTACTCTCTCCGTCGCTGGTCTAGCAATGTCTTTTCTCACTTTTGACAAAGTGAAATGTCGGTCATTCTCCTTAGCCTTATAGCGGCCTTGTCTTTGCTCAAGCAGTGTTGGAAGATAGAAAGAACATAAGCATGCTGTGGCAAGAATGATGAAATGGGCAGAATATCTGTTGTACCGACCTTCTCAAACTAGTACCATAGTTGTGTACAGCAAATCTTTTCGCTGAACCTGTTCAAGGGTCTGCCGATCCATTCAGTTGCTTGGCTGCGTTGTTGCTGCTCTTTAGAGTTTGGTTTTCGTGAAGGTTTGTTAATAACCTTGTGCGGTACAAAAAAGAGCTAACTTTAAAGATTTTTATTAATATAGATATGATATTTATGTTCTCAACCTTTTATTCAATTCCACCCGTGAAGGAATATACATTGTGATTTTAATACATCCCACACTCTAAACCTCAACATGACAATTCTACTTCGTAAAGACTTGTGATTGCCAAACATTAATAAGTCTATCATATGTTGTTGAAAGTAGATCACGGCGTCATAAAATTAAAAAGATCAAGAGTGCCATGTGTATGTTGATAAAATATGATCCAGCAGCACGACCTTAAATACATATATATGAGATAAATGGAAAGGGGTTCGTGGGTTGGTTGTTGCAAAACAGTTGGTATGACCGTTAGCCGTGTAAACAAAGCGGACGAGTTCCTAAGAAAAAAAAAGGAAGCAGCCACTAACGCACCGCTGCCCCAAAGAAGAACGACGGGCGAGTGGCTTCGTTAGATTGCATGAAGAATTTCAGTAGTATAGCTCCATGTAATGTATTTATGTACTCGAGGCTTGGACGCTCACAAAAAAATTATATGGACGTCAACACATTTCTGGATGTCTTTTAGAATACTGGCTTGCCGGATACGGATATTGGTGTAGTTTGATATAGTAGTACCGCCAGCGATCATTGAAAGACAAAAGAAGGGAAGGGGGTAAACTGAAATGGCTTCTACTTGAAATGTAATAGATAAAAGTTAAGCACAACATTATTATTTTGACTCATCAATAGCAGCACAAAACAATGCGCTTCTAAAAACTTGGCAAGTTTGGCGCCGTTGAAAGCTATTGTAGATAAGAAACATCAATAACTTGACGGGATAACTTGTTATAATCTTAAGCAGTGATGATACATTCCATATTCAATCTATCTATGAGTATTACTAGTATACGTGTATCAGTAGCAGTAATGTTGAGAGACAGTAGCATGAGAGATTGGTGGCAAGACCCAACAAGTTGGATTATGTAACTTCCCTAATGAGCTTATGTACTGGGCCTTTTATACTGCAAAGAAATCAAGGCAAACATCATTTAGTTTGGGTTGGCGATCTGGTTCGTGTATATGTGAATATGGGGATGGTCTGTTTGCTTTGCGATACGGTTATTTATTTTGCCACCAGCAATTTGCAATCATTGTTGGTATAGTCGTGAAGGTAAACCAGCTGTATTGTTTTTGAGAGCACACATGCGAATGCACAGCCTACGGTTTTCTCGACGACTCAAGCACAAAAAGGCTCATTTGCAACTACATAACTGCTCCAGAGAAAGCACCAACAAGTACCAAGCGCAATGGCAGTAGGAAGATGTAAAAATAAAGATCGCGTTTATTACAATCGTCACTCGATCTGCCCAATAGTCACAATTACATTATTTAAGAAAGTACAATAAGAAACCAAGTTTATTTGATGTTGCCTGACAAGTCGACCGACTTTTATGAATCCTTCGTTCCTCAAGGGAGGTTGCCCTCCCTTGTTCCCCGCAAGCCTCAGTTCCGGCAGAACCTACACCTCTCCCTTTCTTGTCCACAAGCCTCAGTTCCCGACAGAACCTACTCCTCCACAGTTCCTACAAATAAAAGAAATATGATAGCACAAACGTCTGTCAGCGGCGAACATATACGTACCCACAAGGGAGGTTGCCCTCCCTTGTTTTCCGCAAGCCTCAGTTCCCGGCAGAACCTACACCTCTCCCTTTCTTGTCCACAAGCCTCAGTTCCCGACAGAACCTACTCCTCCACAGTTCCTACAAATAAAAGAAATATGATAGCACAAACGTCTGTCAGCGGCGAACATATACGTACCCACAAGGGAGGTTGCCCTCCCTTGTTTTCCGCAAGCCTCAGTTCCCGGCAGAACCTACACCTCTCCCTTTCTTGTCCACAAGCCTCAGTTCCCGACAGAACCTACTCCTCCACAGTTCCTACAAATAAAAGAAATAGCACAAAGGTCTGTCAGCGGCGAACATATACGTACCTCTTTGCACACACTCTCGCTTTCAGTTTTTGAGGAAGATAAAAAACCAAGATGAAACAAAGAACTTTGCAACTGTACAAAAGATGAGCAAGAGCCAGTCGTGCACGACTAGCTCCCTTCAACTATGCACACCCACAGGGACACTCGAGCGGGATGAAAAATAAAAGAAAGGTAAAAAGTGATAATGAAAGAAACACTGCAAATGTACAAAAGATGAATATGAAGACTAAAGAAAAGAATAAAGGGCAAAACGCGCAGTCGA